AGCTTACAGCAGACACTGTTTGTTTTGGGGAAGAGCTCAAAATGTGTGATTACCGACGAGCTTCTTTGCTGATGGCAGCAGCGAAGAGTAAACTGTTGTATTGAGATTTTGGAAATTCTGACAAGCCAAGTCGAAATCAAAGCATGGTGTGGCAATGGGGGAAAGGCGAACAACTGGCCACATGATCGACTGTTGCACGATCGCATTAATTTATTAATTTAATGGCAAAAACGTTATGGCCAGAGATCGAGGAGGAGCTGGGAGAAGCTGGGAGAAGGAGGCAATTTACCCAGGGGCGCACACACACGGGGCGTTTCTAACAATTTTATGCCAGATGAGCGCCTAAGTGATCGCGATCGCAGGCTTACCTGTCCGTTCCCCCTTCCTCGATCGGGAAAAGGACCTGCTTCCCATGCCCAACGCAGTCCAGATTCAAGGCACTCAACAAAAAATTGTAAACTTATTAAATGGAATTCGGTTAGCTAACTTGAATACATAAAATAAATTATACAATATTTGCTTAAATGAAAAATCGTTCCTACTATTTGATTTCTATTGATAAGAATACCCATTAAAATGGTAAACTTTTTCGTTGAATATGTTGCAAAAGTTCTTAAATTTTTTCCAAGTGTCCATCATCCGAGGATGCGCTGCCATCCATCTGGATATATTCCGATGCAGCGGCTGAGCAACGTGCGTCCACTTAAGACGCAGACAATCTTCATTATGGTCAAACTCCGGGGCAAACACAGCTGCAAGAGCTGGAGCTCCGCTCGCGATTGGGGAGATACAGCCGCAGTTCCCCCAGCTCCGAGTTGCAGCTCCGATCCCACTCCCACTCGGCAATCGCTCGCCAGGTGAGGTGTTTATTAAGGTGTAATGCAATTTTTCATATTTCATTCGGTTCCTTTTGGTTTGCTGCCTTTCGCTCCGCTTCCTTGAAACTGCGGCGTGGGCGGAGCAACTGGAAAATTGCAATAATATGGCTTGTGTATCTTTCTTTCTCTTGGCCGAAATGGCAAATGAAATGGATGCACAATGCAGGCCAAAAAGGATCCTGGATCGGCGGCGGTGAAGGTGGCGGTGGCGGTGGCGGGGGGGCAAAAAGTGTGGCAACATGTTTGAGGTTTTCGCTTTTCCGACATAAATAATGGCCATAAATTGAGCATGGCCGGAGCTAAAAATTCAGTATTTATAGCCAAATGATAAAAATAAGATTTATTAACATTTTGCTGCCCCCTCGCCAACTCGCTTTCACACACACACACACACATACATTCACCCGCACCCCTGGCAGGAAAAAGCGAGCTTCAGGATGACCTGACGGGGGGAGGAGGTGGGTGGGTGGTGGACCGGGGAGGAAAATTCAGGAACGAAGCCAACGCTGCGCGAGGGAACATCCGTTTCGCTTCGCCGTGTGGATGATCCTTGGGCTGCGGGTGGCTGGGGGGAGTCCTCCCACTCGAAAGCACCGCCCATCCATTCATCTGAAGAGGCTCCGTGTGCAATCCAGAGGAAAAATTAACGCTCCACTGGAACTAGGGGAAGGGACGATGGAATCCTGGCAACTAATTAGCTTTTACCCCCATTGAAAAACTGACAAGAAACCAAAGAAAGAAAAAGCACTGGGAAAATGCCACAAAATTAGGCTAAAGAATCGTACTATTAAATCATAAAAAAAAAGTAATGTTTGTTATTTGTTCAATATTTATGAAATATGGAAAGGTTGCAATTTTAATTGTAACTTAAAATTTGCTGTAAATGTAACTAGGTTGATTTTTTTCCATGCAGGGGCAGAAAAAGAGGCAGAAGTTTCAACCTGGCAGCTGGAGCTCATTAGCAGCCAGTGCAATGAATAAAGAAATGCATTTTCCTGGCCCGAATCCCCATATCTCTCCATCCCCTAATGATGGTTATGCCTTGCAATCCAAATTCAGCATGAACTATTTAAAGCAGCGATATTTGCAGGAGAGCGGGGCACTTTCCCAGGCCAAATTTGGCCTTTCGCAATTAGTGGAACCACCGCAGCACCGCCTGCAGCCGAGTGGGGCAGCAAACGAGATGGTCATGGGCCGGGCTTCGCGTTCAGTATGTTCTGTTCCTGGGAGTGCTCCAATAACGACAAAAGTCTGGGGCAGCCGAAGGAGCTCGAGGAGCAGCCAGCCAGCCAAGTGGAGACGCACACGCTGGCTGATTTTAATCAAATTCACAGCATTGTTTGCCTGTCAGGATCTGGAAGGAGGAAGGTGGAAGGAGCAGCGAGGAAGGAGAAAGGAGGAGTGGACGACAAGGCGAAGGTATCGCCGATATATATTTTGCCTCTTTTTTACTTCTGCTGCTGGCGAATTCCGAGCGCATTTCGTACGACACCACAGGCAATACCACAAACGAGGGCCATAAAGCCGCTCTGCCCCACATTCTTGGTGGGCATGAAAGCGCGTGACCACACTTCCCCCACTCGCAGCCCCACCCACCTGGGGAGGTGCTTTTATTTTATTATATTATTTCGCCCTCTTTGTACGCGCCTTTATCTTGTAGAGGACTGCGCCAATATAAAACTCATGAATATCATTAAAACCGCGGCTGGCCACTCGTAAAATTATTGTAATAACAACAAATGCGCTGACATGCGATGCTCAGATTTCTAAAATGCTAAATAAAGAGCCATCTAAATCGAGTAAGGTATGCTAACTAAAAACCAAACTCAATTTGAACACCCGATCTTCCAAAATAAAAAACAGGTAAGGATTGTTTTAAACTAATTTTTTATAGGGTCTTCAGTTTGTTTAGTGCTTAGCCAGCAGTTTTCTTGAGGACCTTGTCAGAGATAGAGACAACACCTCCGGGCTTAATTTGGTCGTCCTCATACAAGGAGATTCTGTCGGCCTGAACGGCGACCAACACGAAGACCAGGAAAGCGAACAGGGCTAAGAACTTCATTCTGGAGACTTTTGATACGCTCTGAAGCGGCGCATCGCCTTTTTATACCCGCTCTTGGGAACTCTTGGCCAGACTCGTTTCTACATTCCAATTAGCACTCATATGATGAGTATTAAATTTATAATGACGTTTTGCATTTCATTGCTTAGAGCAGCTCACCTTTGGTAACTAAAACAGGTTGTTGTTTTCGAGACAATTTATTTAATTTCTCTGAACTACGTCAACGGTGACTGCTTTTTATTATTTAATCAACTCTTAATTTATTTTGGCCTGGATTATAAAATAACAATAAAAATAGAATGCTATTTTTGTATTTTTAGCTAAATTGTTTGAATATATCGTAAAAATGCTGTTTATTTTTTATTTATTTCGGCGCTGCAACTCAGGTTATTTGCTAATTCAAATTTGAATACCTGCTCAGTATATTACTTTTATTGTCTTCGGTACTAAAGGCTGAGGATTTGCCTGGACAGCAGACAAAGCGAGGAGCAGAAAAGCACACAGAGAAAATATCTTCATTTTGAGCACTTTGAATGCAGTCTGAGTAGTTAACAGCCTTTTTATACCTTATAAGCAGTTGGTAAAATGCGCTATCTTTAAAGCCAATATTTTTTTTTTTGCTTAGTTAACATTGAATAATTTATTTAAAACAGGTCCGATTTTAAACTCGTCTTTAAGCCGTAGTAATACGCCAATGCGTATTTTGGGTTATTTAATAATTGATGGGGCCTTAATACATGGTAAGGTAAGGTTATTTTGTTTTTAAAATGGTTAATAAAAACATTTGAGCAACAAAACTCAGATGCTCCTTAACTCATTAGTTTAAAAACATAGAAATGAGACACTCATTTTGGTGTCCTAATTCAATTAAGAAAACAATTATAATAAATATAAATGGTGCATTTATTTTGTTTTGTAGTCTGAAATAAAAATTCTCCGAAAACCTGTTTACGATTTCCCCATAAATAAATTTGAGCTCCCTTGATTTATAATAAGCAAAATCAATTTTATTTAAATCAAAAACATAACCATTTAAATGTATATTTATTTTTTCCTCAATCTGTTGCGGTTCCTTCAAGGAAAGAATTTTATTTTCCTGGCGAACTTTTAATTGCTTTGGTGCTTATGGGCTGCGGATCGGCCATGACGGCAGCCAAAGCGAGGAGCAGGAAGGCACAGAGAGCGAAGATCTTCATTTTGGACACTTTGAATACAGTCTGAGTGATCCACTGCCTTTTATACTAACTTAGCAGTGGTTGAAACGTTCTAAATTTGGAGGGTGATATGCATTAGCAATTTGCATATTTGGGCTTATATAATATTAAGTAACTTATTAAGAATTAGTCAGATTTTAAGACGTAGATCTTTAAGACGTAGAAATGCGCCAATGCGTAATTTGGGTTATTAAATAATTAACGCGCCTTAATGCAAGGTGTACCGAATAAATATTAAGCAGTTATTTTGTTCTTTGAACTTGGTGATTAAATATTTTGGCAATAAACTAATTCCTAATTTTAGGAGCCATTTAAAAACAAAGCATTCAGTTATCTTACGTTGATGCAAATAAAATCTTTAATTTAACAAAAAGCATGTTTTTTTACAAAATTCTTTCGGTCAATAAAATCTTTTCTAGAAGAAGGCAAAATACTAATTTTCTGTGTGAATTCAAAATTTAATTTAATTTAATTTTAAATTTAAAAAATTTACCTTCTTTACTCCACCCGGGAGCATAGGGCCTCTACAATTTTTGTAGAGGATTCATTAATCTTTGGTTTTCGATCGTACTGGTGATTAGACATTAAAATGATTAAAATTAAATCACCAAATAAAATTAGTTCTTAACAGAATATTTATAATTTAAATTTGAATTTAAATTGATTATAGTGGTAGCGCCGGTCCCATGTTAAAATCAAGGTGGCAACGCCATCGCGAGATGCCACCGCTTGCTGTTAGCAGGACTGTAAACCAATGCTCAGGTTTTTACCCAGGGTTGCTCATGCTTCAGTGCCACTTAAATCGATTGCACTAACCCAAAGTTATCGGCCATCGCTAGTGCCATCGGTGTCTCCACCTCTAGTTTTTAAGGTAAATATAAACCCCAATTAAAAGTAATAAATTGCGGCAGGTGTGTGTTTAGGCTTTAAATCGTGTATTCAAAGAACTCCGGTAAGTGGTGGGAATCAGTGAAGAAGTCCGAAATTAAAGAGGTCCAGAAATCATGCGAAATCTACAGTTTTCTTGATCACAAACTAATGCGTCATCGCCAAACAGACAGCTTTGTGCAATATTTTGTTTTGGGGCCCCGTAAATGTTTAGCCGGCACTCGTTTCTAGGTTGTGTGTGTGCGCGTTGGCGTTTGGCTTGGATGTTTTTCGTAATGTTTGATTAGAAAGTCGGCAGCGCCAGTAGAAGAGGAAGAAATTGCGAGCAGATTTCCCACTCCCGAGAAACTTCTCTCGTCGCGCACTCTCTCTTTTGTGTTTTGCTTTGTTTCACCGCCAGCCACCCAACTTGCATCAGAATACCCTGTATTTTTTTGGGTATGCTGTACCTGTTATGTCTTCAAATAGTATATCATTAATAATAAAAATATTGAATAATGCATATATAAGCAAAATATAGCATCCTCTCTGTACAAATGTGTGTAAACATCTACACTGAGTATCCTAAAATTGATTGCCTCTTGAATACCGACTGTGTGAAATCTATTTCATGACCTTTCGCAATTGCAGGCGCTCAGAACCGTCATGGACTTCGCCAGTGTGCTCGGCAAAAGCGAGGCGCACCAGCGCACCATTATCCACCTGGACATGGACTACTTTTACGCTCAGGTGGAGGAGATTCGTGACCCAACGCTGCGATCGAAGGCTCTGGGGATTCAGCAGAAGAACATTGTGGTCACCTGCAACTATGTGGCGCGAGCCAAGGGAGTGTCCAAGCTGATGCTCATTGCCGAGGCCCAACGCATCTGTCCGGACTTGGTTCTGGTCAATGGAGAGGACCTTGCCCCGTATCGACAGATGTCGCAAAGAATCTTTGACCTTCTGCTCAACTACACTCCTTTGGTAGAGAAGCTTGGTTTCGACGAGAACTTCATGGATGTGACGGCGCTTGTAGAACTCCGTGAGGCTCATGCTGCCGAGGCCCAGCATAAGCCGTTTGTGGGTCACATATATCCGCCGGACGGCACATCTTTGTCCGCTTGCGACTGCGGCTGTGCCCAGCGACTGGCGATCGGCACTCGGATAGCCCAGGAAATCAGGGAAGAAATTAAGCTCCGACTGGGCATTACCTGTTGCGCCGGAATCGCATATAACAAACTGCTGGCAAAGCTGGTCGGCAGCAGCCACAAGCCAAACCAACAGACCGTTCTTGTTTCCACGTACGCAGAGCAATTTATGAGGGAACTGGGTGACTTGAAGCGAATCACTGGGATAGGCCAGAAGACGCAGTGCCTCCTGCTCGAGGCGGGAATGTCCTCCGTGGAGCAACTGCAGCACTGCGACATGGACGTGATGCGCAAGAAGTTTGGCTTCGAGACGGCTACAAGGCTGCGGGACTTGGCCTTCGGTCGCGATACCAGCTCTGTCCGTCCCACTGGAAAACCCAAGACCATTGGCATGGAAGACGCTTGCAAGCCCATCTCTGTGCGAACCGATGTTGAAGAGCGGTTCCGTATGCTGCTAAAGCGACTTGTGGAGCAGGTAGGTTAAAAATTTATTCCAAGGTTTAGCAAAAGTGTTATAGTTGTTAAATATCCCTTAGGTGGCCGAGGATGGTCGCGTTCCTATAGCCATCAAGGTGGTGCTGCGAAAGTTCGACACCCAGAAGAAGAGCAGCCACCGCGAGACCAAACAGGCCAACATTCTACCCTCTCTGTTTAAGGCCTCCGTGTGCCCAGGAGAAACCGGTGTCAGCAAGGTACAACTGGCTGATGGGGCCCAGGACAAACTACTCAAGATTGTGATGCGACTGTTTGAGCGGATCGTGGACATGAGCAAACCCTTTAACATCACATTACTGGGCCTTGCTTTCTCCAAGTTTCAGGAGCGCAAGGTGGGCTCCTCATCCATAGCTAATTTCCTAATCAAGAAGGCGGATCTCGAGGTGCAATCGATCACCTCACTGACAAATACGAGTCTCACGAGTCCAACTGCCGAAAGTCCCACATCGGACGAAAGCGCCTTCCGTTCGTCACCGACAACATTCAAGCCAAGCGATCAATTCTATAGGAGGAGAGCCACCACGGCCTCGCCGGTACCCATGCTGCTGGATAATGGTTCCGAATCGGCGGCCACGAACTCTGACTTCAGTGACTTTTCCGAGACGGAGGTAGAACCCTCGCCGAAAAAGAGCCGCATTGGCCGGCTTTTGGTGTCCAAGCGCAGTCGATTAGCGGCGGACGTAGGGGATACAGCCGCCGAGGTTGCCTCACCAAGCAAACTGCGAGTCTGTGATCTGCGTCTAAATTCGAGGGACAGCGAGAAGGACTTTCCAATGAGCACAACGCCCTCCACGTCAGCGGCTGCTCCTCGATTCCGCACCGTCCAGCCACCGAATACGCTGTTACAGCGAATCGACGGCAGCCTCCGCTTTGTGACCACGCGCACTGCTAGTCGCCTAAGCTCAAACGCCAGCTCAACGGCCTCCTCGCCACTTCCGTCGCCCATGGACGATTCCTCAGCAATGAGCGCACCCAGCACACCTACCATGTCGTTTGCCTCGTCTATCCCAGCCTCTTCCAACACGTCCTCTAGTGATGCACTCACCGATATCGCCTGTCCAGCTGGCGTGGATGCAGAGGTGTTCAAGGAACTGCCAGTGGAACTGCAGTCGGAGTTGATCGCCTCGTGGCGAAGTTCCCTGGTGGCGGCAGTAGAGCAAACGAATGGAACAGGAAGCAGCACAACCGCAGCGATAACAAGTGCAGCACCAGCCACTGCCACCACCGCGAGCGGAGGTCAGAAGAACACGCTGTACCGCTACTTCCTGCGGAACAAGTGATGTAGTGCCTTCGAGCACACCATCGTTTCTAGTTGTAAGGAAAAAGTGAATAAATCCGTTTCTATATATGATATATTTTTGTAGGTATAGGGTTACAGTTTGTAAGTTTTGAGGGCGCCGCTTTGGACGAATTTAAACTAGGATACGTACATTTAAGGACAGGACATCAAAAAACTTCCACACAAAAATATTGCATTATTTCATCTCAGTTATGATGATGAGTTTTTTACAAGGTTATATATTGAATATCTTTTATCTACATATGTCGAAGAGAAATTTATTAATTTCGTTTCTTGTATGGAAAACTACCTACTAGAGTGAATAATTACAAATACAAATACTCGACTGAAACAGTATCGTTTCCAGAGGCTTCCTACATAGCGATTTTCACAAAAAGTAAAGTGTATCCCCTGGTGTGATATAGTCCCGAGCGGTTTCCCTAGCAGCTGTGAGTTCCGAGAAACATGTCCATGTCCTTGTTGAACACTCGCAGTATATTTATTACTTCTTTTACTCTTCATATCATACAAATTCAATTGGTTGGGTCACCTACTTAAGCTAAGTTAATACAGAATATTTGAACCTCGACATTTCACACAAAGGAACAAAAATTTAGCTAATTGAGCTTAACTTGATACAAGTGAATTGATTTTATGATTTCTGTAGTTTTTACCTCAAAGAAAATGGCAACGATAGTTGAACAGTATAAAAAAATGTCTTTACCTTATGCTAACGATTATAAAATAAAGTGAAGTCCTTAGTTTGAGAAATGCTTGTTACTCTTAATTTAAATGGAAGTGGTTCCATCAGTGGCTCAGCCAGCCGCACTTAATGAAGAACTTGCGCAGCGAAGTCTCCATGGGACTGCCCAGCGATGGTGCTCCGCTCAGGCAGACAGTCTTCAACGAGAGGTAGGTAGTGGGTGTGATATTGTGCTTCCTGCACAAGTCCAGCTCGTTGTGGCTAAGCAGGTCGCTGCCCAGAGGCTGCGGTAGGTGCTTCAATTCCTCCAGCTGAGAGCGTAACTTAAGGCTCATGGGCACCTGCTCACTGCTTCCGTCGACGGCCTCGCTTGGCGTTTTGTGACTGCCGCTTTGCTGGAGCTGAGGATGCTGCTGCAGCGACTGCAGATGTTGTTGGCTTCCCTTCGCCGAGTTCGTGGGCAGATTCGCCATCGTCGTAGCCGCGGAAATCGCTCCCGTCGTCACTCCCAAGTCCACTGTTGTCCCCATTCCCATCTCTGTCGCCTGCAGCATCGTAGCTGCCGACGATCCCCGACAGCTATCCAAGTAGCTTTTGCTGGGCAATAATGCGCCGGAGCAGGTCGGGTCGGCGGTGTGGAGCGTGTTTTTTGGTGCGATTGAACTTGAACTTGCCTCGACGCCGCTTGACATTTCGCTAAATGGAATAAATCAAATATATTTATTAGGGTTTAGGCTCTTAAATCGTGCTGCAATCTTCCCAGTGGCAATCTCAATCTGAGTAATACAGCATCGGCTTCAAGAATACTTACACCTTTCTGAGATTCGGTTGTGGGGAGTGCAAGGAAGAGCTTGGCGGCCGATGACTTCCATTGGACGGTTGCGTGAGGTCCTGTGGTTAAACATTGTCTTATAGAACCATTCGAACGCTCGTTGTTTGGCGCGTTTATTATGCAGTGGAGCTGAATATCGTGAGACAAGACGGAAAAGCAATTGTAAGAGTTGGATCAGGTCAGGTCAGGTCGAGTCCAAAAAAAGCAAGGCAGCACACACGATATTCAACTCGTCATGCATAGTCATGGGAGATGAGCAATCTCCAAGGGGAAAAGAAATTCAAACTTGCTTCTTTAGACTTTTAAAATATTTTTTTACGAAACTCAAACCGAAGAATGTAGTATGTACTTATTTTCTACGTCTTGTCTATCAAAGAAGTCTTTTAAAGACAGATTTATTTAAAGTTCAATACCAAATAAATAAAATTTATATGACACCTCCTAGCAGTCAAGTTATAAACATGTTTGGATAGTTTGATTTCATTTCCCCGCAGTAAATGCTTATACTTACGGTCTTGCCGTGGCCATATGGCCCAGTGGAGCGATGCGTAGCTGTTGCAGCGTGCTGCTCAAAGTGAATACAATCCTTGATCTTGGTCAGGCCATTGTAGCGATACCTATACAGCTCAGCCTGTCGGATGCGCAATTCCTTTTCCCGCTCAAGTGATCCTAATAGCCGCTCGTACTCATTGCATGTGTAGAACTGGGCATAGACCCGGAATCTGTCTCGAAACTCGCGTTGCTCCTTTGTAAGTCCTTGATGCAAAGCATAATTTCGGTTGCGAAAGAAGTTCGAGACCAGCTGGTAGTCCCTGACCATCCGTTTTCTGCGAGCTCGCTCTCTAAGTCGGCGGGTATAGATATCCACATGGGCTAGCTTGAGCATCACATCCACCTCCGTGTCTTCGGAGCTGAGTGAGATGGTCGAGATCAGTTGCTCAGCCGTGGGATCATACTCCCTTTCGAAGCTGTCCCTGTTTGGCATGTAACCCAGTTGCATGGCCTCGTCGGAGTTAATGTCCAGCGGCGGCAGGGTGGCCAGGGCATTAGAGCCCAGAGGACCGGCATCGTCGTCGCCCGTGTGATCGATGAGCCGAGGTCTTTGGCTTTGTGCCGGAGTCCAGGTCGCTTTTCCAATCGTGCCATTCACAAACTTATTTACATACTCTTCTTTGGCATCCTCCGCCGACTTGGTCTCGATATGCTTGCTGATGTCCTCCCAGTTACCGAAGCCGTACTGCTCGATTGCGTCCAACAGGCGGATCTCCTCCCGCGCCGTCCACGCCCCCTTTCCACGGAACACACTCAGTATGGAGGTACCTGTGTCCATAAATTGGTAGGGATGGTTGTTGTGGTGGCCGCCGATCTCCGCCCCAGCGGCAAAGCACTGCGCAAAATAAACAATAATACAACGTAAATACAGAGTCAGCTGTTTATTAATCAACATGGCGAAATTGCCGGCGGTGTTTATGCATATGTATTTCCAGATGAGTCAGTTTTTCGGTTCCAGGTCGGCGACGCATCTCTAGGTTGTACGAGTGTTGGTACAGCAGGGTGGGTCGATTTTGTTGACAAAGAAACATTGGTTTTCCGAAAAGATCTCTTTTGAAATTCTTAACTATGTTGGAAAACACATTTTAAGTTACTCTTAAGTATTATTACTTTGAAAAAAAATAATTTTTGTTGTGTAATTTGGAGATAAGAAACTATGGTTAACTATACTAACTGTACATTCAAACATTATTGAACACTAATTTCAAGTATAAAAATCGAAATGAAAGAAATAACCTTTTTTAACTTCTTTATTTTTATTTTAAAGATCTACATTTATGAAGAGCACTAAAAAGTCGACCCACCCTGTCGCACACATACGTTAGTGCGTCGATTGATTCCGTGTATGTGTAAGTTACTTACTTGCAGACACAAATCGAAGTTTTCGCACTCCGCACAGTGCACCCGAATGCCCTGAATATCGTCCTGGCAATTTGTGCAATTATACTTTGTGAATAAATCCGCGATTGTGGTCATTTTGGCCCAAAACGTGGACTTTTCTCGACAAAAAGAGTTGTGCGAAAAAAACCTATGCCTGCAGTGTGACCAGACGAGTTGACAACGCCATATTGCTTGCGGAGCATTCTAATATCTGCCGCCAACGAACTAGTTCACAAGAGCAATGATGTCTTTTCCGCCGTTTTATGGCTGTCTAACTTTGAATTTAAATATTTTTACTTTCCGTTGAAACAAAATTGTGAATTTAAGAAAAAACTTTATTACTTACCAGCGGTTTTGAAGTACCAAATTTAATTATAGAATAAATATTGCAAACACTCACTGGTATGCGTTTAATATTGATAGTAGTTTATTTAGTAATTTCAAAAGTTTAATTCGAGTGTTTTGCCTTTTCTTTAAATTGATTTTTACGCTAATATCACAAAAATAATATATAAAACTAAAATATATAAAATATTAATATCAAACCGAAACCAGGTAAAAATAAATACGAATATATATGATTGTTAAAACACTATCCGTGTAGTGCTGAACTAAAATCAGGAAACTTGAGATGCTTAAAATGCAATTGGTTACATAATAAAACGGTGGTCGGGGACTAAAATTTTAAACTTATAAATATTGATAAAACGGATGTTAATCTTTTGTCTCAAACAAAAAAATTCAAAGCTGCCGAACAATATTCTGGAGCTTACATCTAACATGAAGTGGGCATGGGACTGCCATGATATTGTAGGTTACAATCGTTGCAATCATTGGAAAGGATTAGGATAAGGATTATATAAATAGTTGATTATTCGATTAGTTCATACATGTGTATATGCTGAATACGTTTAGATTATTGTTAGTATTGCTGTCTTACTCCGAGCAGTAGCCGAATTGTTATGGGTTCCGGATATCTCAGTGGGCGGTGAGGACTAGTTTGTGTTGCAAGTGGCTTTGGTGGCATTGTTGCTAGATTACTGTTGCTAGTTTGCTTGGACCAGAGGAAAACAAACGAGTTACACGATACAAAATGGGTTAACAAATCTTAAACAGATATGGCAAGTTTCTTGTGCAGCTGCGTTTTTTAAATACGCACACGGCCAACAAAATTCATCAATTTGAGTACCTAAAAACGTCTAAATAAGTCTATTTGAGCGCCAAATTCGGGTTTGGTGTCGCACCTGCATCTGATCCTTGGGTTCGAAAGAGGTTCAAAAATACTGGTCGTGGACATAAAAGAGTTTGAGATTCAAGTTTTTCACAGATACGGTTCAATTCAAATTCGCTTGCGTAAGGAACTAAGAAGAAGTCACAGCGCAGGCGCGACCCCAGTCGTCATAACCGACGACTGGCAACGGATACGGATTCGGATCCAGATCCGAATCGGTCCGGGCCGCCTGCTCCCGGCAACGCGACTCATAAGCAGGCGGCCACCGCGGCGGATGGGCTCCCAAAATTTGAATAAGCGAGTAGTCCTAAAGCATAACTATCAACTAATTTGGTATGTAAAGTCTTTCTGTCTTTGTCATGGGGATGGGCGCGATGAGAAGTCGAGTTCGAGGTCCAATGGCTCCAATGACTAACTAGCAATAGTAGCACCAGCATGCCAGCTGACACCACAAACTCCTGGCCATATTCACTCAGATGTGGGAACCGATTCGCTGTGCTCGGTGGCTCGTCTTTGTCTCTAACCTCTCGCGCGTCATCGTCGTCGTGTTGGGAAGCATCTAAACGTTGGCTAAGCTTGGCGGGGATCACTGGCTTGGAGCTGGGATGGGTGCTAGCATTGCGTATGGCGGCTGTCAGCCCATCAATATGCATCTGATTGCATAAACTGTGCTCGGTTATGGGATGACTGCTGCTGCTGCCGGTGGATTCGCAGCTACTGCTGCTGGCGAAAATCGGTGTCGAGGGTGCGGATAAGTTACTGGGGTGTGGATTAATTTGCTTCTTGATAAAATACTTGAAGAGGGTTTTGTTCCTCTTTAGTTACGGTTGAATCTGCTTCTTAGGTTTTTTTAACTCAGCATCTTCGTCACGCTTGATCTCGGTGTAACGCTCGCCCTTAAGCGACACTATCTTGTTGTCCCGGTAGCGGACCAGCTTGCGCGGCTCCATCTTTGGCACCACCGGCTTGTACTCGCGCTGGGTAGCGTTTTTGTCAACATAAGAGTACCTAGTGGGGTAGGTCGTGAATAGGGTATTGTTATACACTTGAGCTAAGGAAACTCTTTTTTCGAATTTCTATTTTTCTAAACATTTAAGGACAGAATTTATCCGTGTATAGATAGATTCTTACCTGGCGATGATACGATTTTTAAGTTCATTATCGTCGACCACAACATTTTTCTTGATGTAAGTAGTATGCGACTTGTCAGTAATGCACTGGTTGGTTTCCTGGCGATGCAAGAGAATCTGGGTGGCGCTATCGATATCGCCCTTGGAAATAGCGATGCAATGCTTGATCTGAAAATGATTTATGATAGAAAACATAAAAATATGTAGAAATAAAGAATTCAGATCGATCAACCATTAGATATAAGACTTGGCGTGCATTGGCCCAAACTTCTCACCTCGGCAATGGCCGAATCCGGGAACATTTCCTGGAGCACTTCGGTCTCATCCAGGAAGTAGTCGCAAGTAGAACTGGAGCTATCGGTGGAACCTCCATCGCTGGTCTCCGACAAGTGCTGGGAACGCTTGCTGCCTCCACCGCCGCTGCTGCTGCTGTTTGAGGAGAGCTCGTCCTTTTCGGAAGTAGAGGAGTTACGAGCACGCAGTTTGGACTCAGGAATAATGCTCGACAAGCTAAGGGAGCTTTAGGCAAAAAATAGATTAAATTAATACTATTTAAGGCAGATATATGCTGTGAAACTCACTTGAGCGACAAGTTCACGGTGTCATGGCTTCCCTGATTTTTCTCCATCTCGGTGAGCTCATTGGCCAGCTTATAAATCCAGTCGCAGATGATGCCCTGGTCAATGGTGGGGAACTCCTCGAAGTAGGCGCCCATCATCTCCACGAAGCCCTCCACGTCAAAGCACGGGTCCTGCGAGGCCTCCTCCAAGATCGAGATGATATACGACAATACAATCTCGTCCACCACGCTAAAGTCGGCCCCAGGGATGTGTCCACTGATGAACTGCACCAGGCTCCGTTTTACCATCTCGTGCTGCTTCTCCAAATTGGTCATTTTGGCTGTAAGGCTGAACGCACTTCTAGAAGTATCTCTCGCTGGATCGGCGAATTTTCGGAGGCTCGGGACTCGAAAGGCTCACTCTCGCTGAGGGTCACTCAAAACGCTGAAACTCACTCGATGGGCACTTCCCCGGACCTTAGAGCACGTTCACTGACAGTCGGTTTACCTTATTTTAGTTTAGTTCTGCAAAAAACTATGTTTTAACCGTTTTGCTTTACAAGCTGCGCCTTTCTTTTGCTGCTTCTTCTTCTTCCTGCAATCAATAATACTCCGATACACATCCAGGTGCTATCGATTGCGAAAAATTCAGGAGTCCTCAAGAGTCTATCGGTATCGGGCATTTGAATTTATTTTGAATCAACATTTTTTTTAAGGGTGTAATTAATTTCGTTTAATCATTTACCATTGTTCACCCTACATCCTAAGCTTATACATTTTCTTTCTCTTAAGAGGCTTATGATGTATGTTGTAATTTTATTGTAAATTAATTGTTTAACAACACTAAGCCAATTTGAATTTAATTTTGTTTGAACTTAAGAAAGAATTTCAAAATTTGACTATATAGCTTATTCACAAATAAAATAGGGTAAAATTAAATTAGGCTGTCATGACTTCCACCACTACTCTTTGGCGATAGCTCTGTCACGGCCGCACCTCTAGTGGTAGAGCGAAAAGCAAAAGTCACGCAGCACGTAAACAACTAATAAGAATATCGATAGAACCTGCAGCCCCAAAATCACAAATTCCAGCCGGCAGCTTTCTGAATCGTAGCCTCTCCTCAAACGTCAATTTAAGTGAGTTTGGAGCAGTTCTGTAGTTTCAAAACTTACCGAATCCTTGCAGGACCCAGGCCAATCCGATGGACAAGCGCGTCACAGTTCTGTTGCCCAACGGGCGGAGGCAGAACGTGAGCGTGACAGCAAACATGACGCTGCTGGAGATCCTGGAGACGGCCTGCACCAAGCACGGCTACGACGCGGAGGAGCATTGCCTCAAGTTCCACAACAAGGAGGTCGGACTCACACAGCAGTTTCGCTTCAGCGGACTACCAAACAACTGTGTTCTGGAGATGGAGACCACGGAGAAGCGACGAGTTCTGAGCAACGTCCTGGTCTGTGTACAGCTGAATGACGGATCGCGCCCCCAGGCCGACTTCTCACCAAATGACACCGTTTGGCTAGTGGTCCAAAAGCTCTGCGAGTCGCAGGTTAAGGGTTTCGAGAGCCCCGTGATTGTCTACATGCGCAGCGAGGTTATTGGACAGGAGCAGATGCGGCAGACAACTCTAAAGTCCCTTGGCATCCTGGAGGGTCGCGCGATGATGCGGCTGATCGACAAGAAACCCGAGGAGCTTAAGACCCAGGCAAATGTGTACAAAGCTCCTGCAGTCAAATCTACAGCGGTTAACGACGATCAACCCAGCACATCCCGCTCTGCAATGGCAGCTGGTGGTAGCGGCCGAGGTGGTGGCTTTGCCCTTACAAGTAACATGATAAAGAACCTGAAGCGTACTGCACCTGAAGAAAACGCCAGTGGTAGTGAAGCAGCAAAGCCATCGGAAAAATCAGATCAAGAGCAGAAGTCACAGCCAGAGCCACCTAAATACGATTGGGGCACTGGGTCTGGATACTCTATGCACCATCCACCTGGGCGGAGACCGGCTGAACACGAAGTCGAGGAAAACCCTGGTCGAGCACCTCCAGTGGTAAATGTGATTGGGCCGCGCCAGGCGGTGCTCTTCTCTTTGGACGAGACCAAGAAAAACGCGGATGATCTGCCGGACTCCTTTTTTGACCTGACCGTCAACGATCTAAAAATGGTGCTGCGCGATTTGAAGCGGACTTCGAGTGGAGACGACGACGCTCCCTTGCTGACAGCCAAGCTTAGGGAGTTGGAGCGCCAAAAAGCAATGTTGGCTAAGCTGAATCAATACAAAGACTGTGTGCTGCGCATCCAGTTCCCCGATCGCTTTGTGCTTCAAGGCATCTTCAAGCCGCACGAGCCTCTTTCCAAGGTGGAGGACTTTGCTCGCGAGTTCTTGGCCCAGCCAGGCGAGCAGTTCCACCTCTTCACCATCCCGCCGAAGAAGGTACTGCCCTCCAATGAGACGCTCCTGGAGCTAAACTTTGTGCCCAATGCCATTGTGCACTTCAGCTTCCTCAAGGACACGTTAAATGCGGTTAGCAACCGCTTCGTGAAGGAGCAGTACGTGAGTCAGCTCACCTCCGAGGAAGGAGCGCATTATGCCGTACAGAAATACCGCCTCACCCGGGCAACGGGCACTGGATAATAAATAAATGGCTTTAAGCGAACAGTTTGCGTGATATTAAAGGAATCCGCTTTATTTCTATATCTCTTAAACACGTTTTTTTTATGATAACATAAAACTTATTGCTTAAAAGTTAGGATATAAAAACGGTATATGAAATCCCCGTGAAGAACTTAGTTGGGGTCAATAAGGTTTTCTCTTAAGATGGCTTATTTATACAGGGGGTGGAAAACATTTGAGGCAACTCATTTATCCACTTGGTAAGCACTGTGAAAGACGATTGTAAGTTTTCAATATAAAATTAAAACCAGATTTTACCATATTTGGAGCCAACAATAACTGGACAGCCAGAGTGCAGGGTTTTCTTATTCATATCGCCAGAGTTGTGTAGATTGTGCCAAAACACCGCAGATCCCTTTTTTGGCGTAACTGACACGTTAATCATCGGAAATATGGTGTCACCACCAGAGTCCACATCTCCCAGCTTGAACAAATTGCAATTAATGCCAAAAATCGATTAAATATCTCGACTTACATAGAACAAAACTGTGGCTATACGATCGCCTTTTTTCCATCGAATCTGCAATAAGTTTTGTAGTTAGTCGAAAGTGGTTTCAATATTCTGGAATAAGTCACCTGATTAGAGTAACCATGATAGTCGGTGTGCAATGAGAAGTGGCCACCCAATCCGTAGTTTATAAGGGAGAAATCATCGCTCATTTCCATACTGAGACCTGTCATGTCGGTCACCCGCTGGGTGAGCGTTTTGGCTACCTTGGTTTCCGATGATTTAATTTGGGAATCCTGAGAGGCTCGGAATTCTGATAGAGTTGCCGTTTCGACCAGGGATAATTCGAATTTGCTTGTGTTGAGCAGCAAATTAATTTCGCTTTCATAGATCACATCATGATAGATAACCATGTAGGGATCCCGGCTTAACTCCTCCATTCTTAGAGGGGCGATGCGGGTGAAGGGCGTTGTGGAACTGTTGTAGCGGCAAAATAGTCGACTGGCTTGTCGAAGGTAGCCTCGGCAACTCGGTTTGGTGATCATCTCCTCATTCATCCATTGGGACAGTTGGGTTGTATGCGATTCCTTTGGTGGTTTGTAAAGGATAGAATGTTCTTGATTCTTCATCAGGAGCACTGCCCAGGTCTTGTGGACAGAGGACCTGCTAAACAGATTGACTTCGTAAAAGGGCTCGTCTGCAGTGAATTGGGCCAAAGAGGCGTTGAACCAGGACACCGCCAGATCTTGTTTCCTCTCCCTGACACTGAATTCCCCCAAAGCATAGCAATCTTGAGCTGACAGTGCTGTTCTGAATGTTAGAAAAAATTAGTTTATAAGTTAATGTCCACCTGTGTCAACTTACTCTGGCTTGGAATATCCCGCCAAATTACCACCAGCTATTTCTTCTGGTTTCAAATCATAAACGAATACGAGGTCATTGATGCCACGAGAGGCTTGCTCTAAATCCAAAGCCGTGGGCAGCTTCTTTCGCATCTGATGGGCCTTTCTAATGTGAACTTTAATATAAAATTATTGTAATGCACTCTAATAGAAGTCTATATTAAGCTATACCTAATTCACGCTCATGGGCATTTGCGCTATACCGATGCCACTTTTTCCAATCCGTATGCATTCGGTGTATAAGACGAAAACTGTTGAGGGGATTTCCTAAATAAGTTTCATAGTCGTCATTCATCTTTTCATGCTCTGCTTGCATACCTAAAAGAGACCTTTAAGAAATTCCAGGTAAAATATAAATATATTTCGTTGCGTTTTCATTCATACTGCTCCAATAAGATCGTTTTCTTCTTTAATTTTTCCACATAGCCATTTAAGTTTTCGATTAGCTGATCCTCAGTCTCGAGAAACTTAATCAATTCCACTGACGAGGAGGCACTACAAAATCCATTGCAACAAATCAGGATAGTAATAAATAAGATGTACATCTCGCTTGAGGGAGGAAGAGGTAACTAGCAACTCCCTACTTTTATAAAGAACCATTCAAATTTGCTAAGGCCAGTACCTTAAGATCTAATTAAATTAGTTAAGCTAACAGCGATACAGACAAAAAAATTTTACGAATGCAAAGTTATAAACTTAGAACTTAAACAACGATTAGAATTTTGCACATATATTATGCTTAACTTAAGATCTGGTAAGTTAAATTTTCTTTTATTGATTATATTGGTAATATCTTTTACAGTTAACAGCTCGGGCAGTGCTGCCAAGCGAGATGAGAGAGCCAAAGAGAGGAGTTTCTTCGGCTTGCCGCGATACCAACGTCGAATCGGATTCCGATCCGATCCCGCCTGTGTTTCAGTTTGTGATTCGGCTTTCAGTCGGTGGCCGCGCACCAGAGCAACCAGTTAAGTTTCGCACCTGGCCAAGTGATCGCGATATACGCAGGTTGTAAGTCGCTAACGTTTCGCTTTGGCAACACAGTCAAAATATTTTGTGAAGCCAAGGCGATGTTTATAGGGCCCCCCGCTAAATATTGGGCCGTGTTAAAAAGTCACAAAATTAAAACGAGTGCCTGATTTCGGGTTAACATTGATTTTGACAGTGCTGAGTGTTTGAGTGTGCTAATCGGTTTTGCGCTAATTTCGGGCGAAAAATCAACGCGGCCAAAAGAGCTAACGAAATTAAAGCGTATCGAAAACAACTTTTACCTATGCTGCCAGTTTCAAAACGAGGCAGAACTGTTGTTGTTTCAGTTGTTGCCGCTGAACGTGCCGTCGCTATGTTGTCGTTGTTGCCACTGTAGTGTGTTTGCTTTTGGGGGCGTGGCTGGTAGTTGGCATGTGCGCAGCCGCCTTAAGTTGGCAGTGACAATAGACCAAAAAGACGGACAGCCGAGGAAATTATGGAGCGCTGACCAACAAACCAAAGCGCTGGCAATTGGAAAGTTGTTGTTATGCTCAAGAGAGCAGCGAAGGAGCCAAGTGCCATACTGCAATATCTCTGGATGTCGCTAAATAAATCACCAGAGATTCAGACGAAAATTCATGATGAACCAAGACATTTTATTACGTATACGTCTGGCTTTTAATTAGCTTTTTACCGAAATTTTATGAGGCACTGTGACGAATGGCATAATAGTTTCAAATAAATATCTGTCTTGATTAACACAACTTTGATTGAATTGCCGCAAAATTGCATCGTTTCTATAGATTCATAAATGCAAACCTTAACCACTTCTTATGAAGTTTAAATACATGCATTGGTTTAATTTAACTAAAATAGTTATTTGAGTGCAATTTAAAAACACTGTAGCGGAAATTAGTATAGCTTCAAATGAATATGTTCAAAGACTGCTATGTAAAATGATTTTGGTTGAAAATGATTTAAATTGCGGGGTAAAAAGCTATTTGGACAGTATGTATAATACAAACGTACACTGAAAATAAAAACCAAAGTTACGGAATATGAAGTAGGCGCCTACGCAGGCGTAGCGCGATTATCGGCGCATCTCAGTCGCGTCGCCGCCTCCGTCCGCCCATCTTCACTTTTACCGCCGAAAGAGAGAGTGAGAGTGTTTACCCCACTCATTTGCGTTTCTTGTGTCTACCGGTTTTATTTTGGTTTTTTTACGTATTTTCTTTATTTTCGTTCAATTTACGCGCACTGCCGCCTGGCTTTCCTCAAACCGCAACGCTGAAATAATTGATAAAAATAATAAGTTCATTAAATTTAATTAAATGAACTATCCGCTTCCGATCTGCGGCACGAGTCGCGAACGCAACGATAATAAAAGTTTATTGTGTTTTCCTCAGTTTTCTTTTCCCCCGCACAGTGAGTGAATGAGTGAGCAGGGAAAATCGTGAAAAATTACAATCATTCGACGAAAATAACTAATCATCGTAATTATCAAAGAAAGAAATTTTCAAGCAAAATTCGAACGAGAAAAAAGTGGCAAAATGAACTTTTTTGTGATTGGCTTTCTGATCATGCAGGCGGCAAGTGAGTAAATGCTGTTTTCATTTTTCCCGTTTTAAGTTTTCGGAATAATTGCTGTTTCTGTTTCTGTTGTTGTTTCTTGTTGTTGGAGACGGGCCTTAATTGCTTTTCACGGGTGTCGGATAACAATTATTTAATTCGGACTGGCATCTGGCTGAAAAACAAATGACTGAGACAACGAACTTTTCTGGGATTCGAGTTTGTGTCTTAAGTCTTTAGACTCGAGCCAGCCGCTATCTTTTATGGAGAGTCTTATGGCACCTGGATATGCTGTAATACTAGACTTTAAATCTTAAACAGGTTGCCGGCCAGGGAGATTCTCGTTGAAGTTGGCCAAATCCAGCCAGCAGGAATTGGCTGATTGCTCCGCCAAATCCAGTTTAAAAGCGCTGCCACTCAAGAGCCACTCCACTTGATGTGCGTCTTTATTGATGAGTATTTCAATTAAGTTTAGACAATGTTCCATCAAGAGTTGGACATCCATTTAAATTCCAATCAACTCAAATCAAAGCAAAGAGTGCGCCACAACCATAAGAGGCATGGAGATAACAATCTTAACCGTACATTTGTTTATGCATATTTTGCCACCGACCTGTGGCTGCAGTTTATTGGCATCGCTTTTTATATGGATTCAGTTTCGGTTCATTGTCTGCGCCTCAATCGGTCCGCTTAAGCGAAACCTTGCTGAAGAAACCGGATTGGTTTTGGGTTAGTCACGGTGCCCATGGAGCATTCTTGACCTGAAGTAATGTGCCACTCATTAAGAACAGATTTATATATGTGTGTTTTAAGATCTCTGTGTTGAAGGTGGCTTTATTTGGAGCAGGCTGTTACCCATTTACCGACCATTCGCCAATTAATCAATTTGCAAATTCGCAGACATAAATTAGCCTCGCTCAACCTTCGCACTACAATTCCGTCGGCTTCATTTGATAGAGTGTAACGATGTTCCGATCTCACTTCAATATGGTTATGGCCGCTCTTAGGCCAGAATATCGGTCAAGATCAGAGGAATAGTGGTCCACGAGCACGCAGATTGCTGGGTGTTAATTCCGACAATTTTCGCTGCCCAATTTGCATAAAGTTTATGGTGTGTTTGCTGACCTTTGCTTGGCCAAAAAGAGACGAAGGAGGAACTAATGCTCGCACACATCGCCCAAATATGTACCGACATTGCCCAGCCCAAATCTTTTGATATTCCCCATTGACGGCTTCATAAAAATTAACCAAACTCCGTCCGGCAATCGCGAGCCATGAATCATCAATATAACTCCGATTTGTACCCAAACTTATTGAGATGCGCTGGCCTGCGATGTTTCTCTTTTGTGTTTTCTTTTCTTTCGCTCGTGTTTGACTCAAAATTCAATAGCTGATTTGTGGTCAATGACGCAGCGCTTTGGAGGCATCTTCAGTTGTTTCTGATGCTGTTGCTCTTTCTGTGCTTTTATATAACCCACATTCGGACCGATGGCTGAGTGCTTTATGCAATACTTCTTGCCCGAAACACTTCGCTGCGTTGTGTGAAGACCCTTCCTGTCCAAATGTTACAGCTAATAGCCAATACGTTAGCAAGTATACGCCCCATGGGACGGGTAAACATAAAATATTATAAATGTTTTCTGGCAAAATGTACTCACTTTCAACGGCAATTAGCTGACGCCGACGACTGTTTTTCTTGGACAAACCGTGGGGCCCTGGCAAGATGCATTGTTGCAACTGCAAAGGGGCTAAAGGTGCTGGAAAATAATAAGAGAAAGAAATTGCATTGTCATTCCATTGGTCAATGAGTAACAGGCTCCTCGGGCTGGTATTTTGCGAAGTGAAAGGCAGGCAGACATCCGTGCACTCGGAAAAAAGTATCCCATAAATTCTAAAGGAGATATTTCGCATTAACTTGTACGGACATAAACAATGCAGATTTAAAACGCTTTCTATTTTTTGCTCATCGTACGTGTGGCAATTGTTGTGTCAAAATCTACAACATTTTGCGCGCTTACATGGTCCAATGAACATAAGTTGTAAGAAGTATTACTGTTGAAGTGTTAGTCAAATAATAAAGCGAATACCGTGTGGGAACAAATTTAAACAGCAAACGCTGAACAGAAGTATATGTTTATAACTTTTAGTTTACCGAAGACTTATTATGGTAATTTAATTTCATTGTAGGTATGTTGTGAAATTTATCAAAATATTTTTAGGAAACAGTAATATTTGGAAACCGAATTTGCAAGCTCCATTTGAGTAATTGTTTGCAGTGCATGAAGACACTTCCGGCTGGGATTGTTGCCGCACAAGGGTCATGTCCTTTCCCTTTTTCAATTTCCCCCCACTGCAGACTTATGCTTCGTTTTGTTCGCAATTAGGAATAAATTAAGGCATTATTATCGCTTCTATTGTGTGGGCCCATCTTCACATACTATAAATAGAGGGTTTCTCGGCCCGTCAAGTGAGTCGGGGCATTATTTCCGAGCACGCAACCTGCTCACGTAAGACCTTCACATCGGAGATGCTGCACCGCTCTTCGGGCATCCGAGTCTTGCATTCCATTCCACACCTTTGTGGCCAGATGATTGTTTGGCCCACACGCACACACGCTCAAATTGCAATTTAATTCGATGGCACAGAGTGGCTTTGTCAAAGGTTTTGTCAGCCGGAGCTCTTTTGTCCGGCCTATCGCTCACTGTCAAGACCATCGTTCAATTAACATAATTAACCGGCAACGGGGATTAGCAAGCCGCGTTTTCAGTCTGACACTTTGAAGCCCATTTGGACAATCCGAGCCGATCCGAAACAATCTCCCCCGAAGCCGTGCGATAATGGTTTCACTCGGATTGCTTATTCAAGTCACAGGGGCAAGGTCAGGGGCAGATCGTAAAGTCCCCGAAAAAACATTTAGATTCTCCCCCCATGGAACAGAACTTCGATGGAAGTCGATCCAAATACAATCTCCGCATTTAGTACTACTTAATTAAAGCAGCACTCCAAGGTCATTGGAAGGGCCTGAATCACAGCAATCATTTTACTTTCCTGCTGCCATTTACAATGAGAACAAAAACGAAGACCCAATAATTTGGGAAGTTTAAGGAGAAATGGAAAGTTTAAGCAGTAAGTCAGCGAAAAAAAAGGGAAAGGTTGTCGCCCAAAGAGCCTTCGCAAAAATCATTGACAGTGAGATAAAAAGATTGACCGTAAAACGTTTTGCCAACAATGGAATGTTAAAATATGAGTGCAGAATATAAAAAGGGAAACCATTTAAAGAGGCGTTGTCGGAAAGGTTTGGTCTGGGTTAAGGTTCGGCCATCATGAATGGACGGCCTAGGCGCAGATACCAGATAATTTATACAAGATATTTGCATTTGCGTTTGCCAGCGGAGATCATCAAATTGAATTAACGCTGAGCTCGGCCAGCGAGTTTTGGTTTTGGTTTCGGATTCGGATTCGGTTTCGGTTTTTGTTTCAGTTTCAGTTTCGATTTCTGTCTGAGCAATTAATATCAATGTTTTTGAGACGCAGATGACCCACTTTCGCGGGCAGAGGTGCTAACTATACGGGGTTTGTCGATCAGGGGAGGCGGGATGCGGTCTCTAAGGAAAGTAACTAAACATTGACGAACGGTGGTCAATGCCTGCTCTCTGCCGACACTGCCCCACGTGCATATTTATGCCTCATTATTTGTTTAGTTTGGATTTCTATTTGACCACTTGATGCCGGGCAGCCGCGACAAGTCGTAAACCCGCCGCAACTCGAATTTCGTACCCGAGATGAGAGAAAGCGCTCGTCGATCGCCTGTTACTAACTGCAAATGCCTCTGGATGTCCCCCACTGACAATTCGAAGCTAAATTCATATTTCATATTGCTCTTGGGTTTCCCTGCTAATTGCTGGTTTCCCTTTGCCATTTGTCGCCCATTTGCAGCCCATTTGCAGGCGCAATTAAAATAACTGCTCGCCCACACGGCGAATGCGTAATGCAAATTGGCGAGTAAAAGTCTGCCAAATTTTAATATTTACCTTTGGGCGGGGGCGCAGGGAAAATCAATTGCGGTTTCAGCCTAACGGATGGGCATGATGATGATGACGACGTCGAAACGAGGAAGTGACCACATCGGGTGCGCACTCTGATCCCGCGGAGATGGCCAAACATTGCCTTGCCATGCTGACACTCCATTAGGCGGGCGGTTATAAAACCAGCTCCATTTTCCTTGAACCCACAAAGCAAAATGTTGGACTTGGATCCGACCCGTAGCGGCTGTGCACTGAAAGAAACGGCTCAATTTAGGCCTCGTATTCTATAGTAATTGGCATTTAGATAGTAGGTAATTTATTCTTTAATTTCTGGTTAAAGCTATAACTTTACTTAAAAGCGTTTACTCAAGTCTTTATTTCTCCTATGGATAACACACCTTTAATGACTTTATTTATATTTAATCTGTTTATTATATATAGTATTATAAATATTGATGACATCAAACCAATTATTTTCTGTAATAAGCCATTACTCCAATCTAGCCAACTTGAAATACATTTTCGTAAGTGTAGCATCTGAAGCGATTACCACAATTGGCAACATGTGCCACTCGCACATAATGGCCACCCATTAGCCGCCTTAGAATCGGTTTCAAATGCTGCTCCATGAATATGGATGCACGACTCCGAGGTGGCGGGGGAATTTTGAAAGAATTCATTCGAAACACGTATTACATGTCCCACTTGACATGCTAACAATTTAATTTGAACCCAAGACGCGCAATTTGGCTCACTTGTTTTTGGCCTGAAGTCTCCAACTCCAACTCCAACTCGGTTCAGGTCACTGGGGTTGCTCTCCACAGAGCTTGGCTAACCCCAGCTAATGCGTGGCCTATTGCACCCCAGAGTTGGCTCATAAGGAAGTGCCATTTGTCGGTCCGTAATGGATCTGCTCACGGCATCATTAATCGATTACGGCCACGTTAAGATCGGTGGGAGAATGCTGGCGGCCTGGTTTTATTACTCGCATGTCTTGCGGTCGGATTGGGCCATCTTCGCAGCCCCGATCTGGGTCATTCTGCGGTCACACCCAAGTTGGCAGATGGGAGATAATAAAACACACATACCTCGGATTCCACGCGCCAAATCAGATACGTATCTGAGATGTAAGCGGGCCATCCGCACATCAATCAAGACATCCGCCACGCAATTTAATTCGATGCGGGATAAAACTAAACTCTGCGCCGACATTTGTTTAATACTTTACGCTTGACAGTTATAAAATGTTTATTCATTTATGCCAATGCCGAAATGTGATCTAACACATGCCAGACTCAAGCCCCACCCACTTTAACCCAGCAACGACACAATTGGAAGTAAATCCTGTTTAAGTTTAGTATTGGTTGCGGTACAATGTTGCATAGAGAAAACAACACAGAAGCTTTCCTGCCCCTCCCCATTTCCATCCCGGAAATACCCCGGAAAAGCATAACATAATATTAATCCCCCGTTGAACTAATTTTAAACATTACTACTGTATTATATGAAAAACTATCCTATTCTGTGTTTGCTTTTTCTATTCTTTATTTATAGGATTGGCTTGCGGGACGTGTGTTTTATCGTCCGATTTCGGGTTCATAATCGATTGTAACTTCAAAAAGTCTGGACTGTTTCGTGTACGAAATTTGGGTGGCCTAAAGGCCCATTTCGGTTTAGGTAAATCTCTCAACCGTTCTGCCATCCAACCTCCAAATCATCTCCCACAAATCATCCTCCATCCTCATGTTCCCCCTGTACATATGGCACCCTAATAGTTCAAGGTGAATGTAGAGTACGTAGTGTTTCCAAGGCTTCCGATTCCCCCACTTTTCAAGTGCAACTAATTGGTCAAGTAATCGAACTCGACCTGATCTCAAACGCACCGCGAATAGCGATTAAGTAAGTCATTATGCATTAATGCCAATGTCAGTGGTACGATAAAGTGGAGCACCTCAGTCGGAGAAGCAGACCAAGAAAACCACTTCGAGATTGACCTGCAGTTCAACCGTCAGGGGCGTGGAAAGGGGGTATCTAAGACTCTGGCTAGATCGGACTCTACAAAGTCCAAAGAACAACAACAACAATCAATTAATAGGCAAAACGATGATTAGAAGCCACTGCAAACTTTTTTTAAAAGATATATATATATATATATATGTATAAAAGATATAGATACACGCAAGATATGAAAAGCACTTGAAACTGAACTTAATGAGAGTTTAACGAGCAGGTATATTTGTGCCATCCACCGAAAAAAAGTAAATTGAATCGTTGTTATTGTTATGCTATTAGCGTTTATAAAACGAAAACAAAATCAATCAATTTAAAATATAATTAGTTCATTAAAGTAATTTATATATGAATATAAACTTTTTAAATAATATGCGGTGGGTATGAACGAACCTCCGTTTAGTGTGCACTGACCCCCTTGGATCTTATTAGGCCCTGTGTACATACAAACCCACCAAGTAGATTTAAGACTCGAAAAGACCCTTGCCAAAGCCACGTGAAGGGAGAAACAAAGGCTATTAATTAACACATCATTGCCCAACCCTCGGCCGCGATTGAAGTGACTGAAGTGATTGATGGGTCGTCGTGGGCCCGACCTAACCCAAAACCTTTCCGCTTGCAGGTTTCAGTCTGGGCGACGAGCTGGGCTTCCCGGAATCGCTGGGCAACACGGAGAGCGATCGTCGGCGAGCCATCAGCTACAAGAATGGAGCCCCGCCCGATTTGGTGGGCGTGCTGCCCTCCACCCAGCAGCAGGTGAGTTCGGTCATCAGCCGTGAAAATCGGAGACGTCATTGCAATATCACATTTTCCCGAAGGTCAATCCACCTGTGCAACACCCACTGCCCGAGAAGCGGATCAGTTCGCGCTCCACCGGAGCGGCGCCCTATAACCTGCAGCTGGTGCAACAGCAGCAGAAGCTGCAACTGCAGCAGCAGAAGCTGCAACAGCAACTGAAGCTGAAGCAACAACTGCTGCTACTGCAGCAGCAGCAACAGCAACAACAGCAGCAGCAGCAACCACTCATGACCGAGGCCCGTCCACTGCCCTTGGGAGTGCCCGCCTTCCGCCCGATTCCCCAGAAGCAAGCGGTCGCCACTCAGGCCTCCGTTTCGGTGCCAACCACGGCGGACAGAAGGGTGGCCGTGGACACGCCGGAGCCCAGGGTCAGCGTCAATAACAAGCTGATAAGCGCCAACGATAAGCCGGTGAATAGCCTTCCATTTAAAGATTATTGCATCACCAACGGTGCCGAAGTAGTGGTTATACTAATCCGCCTTTTGTTATCTGGATAGCACTCGAACCGCACCTTCCACGTGGCCAATCCGGTGGTGTCCCAGCCTGTGGCCGTGCCCGTGTTCCAGGCGATGCCCCAGTCGATCGCCAGGATCGCCAACGTGGGCAAGGAGCACCGGACGGTGGCCAGTCACCCGAACTACCTGCAGTTCGAGGAGCCCAAGTTCGACCTAAAGGACGTGACTGTCGAGGAGCTGGCTGCCGCCGCCAACGTCACAGTGGACACCATCAAGCACGCGATCTACGTGCGGGAGCAGCAGCTGAAGGCCGAGCACCGGGCCCAGCTGGCGGCCAAGTTGCGGGAGGAGTTCATGCGCACCTCCACAGTGAGGACTACGACCACGACTACGACGACAACCAGTACGCCGCGTCCACAGAAATCATTGGCGGAGCACAAGGTGTCCAAGGTGGGTGTTTGACTAGAAGCTGGCACTTCTGGTATTGCAAGGTACCACTTGTCGTATGCGTAACAATTTATAATCCATTTCACTATTTGCCCAGGTGATGAACGCCCCCAAGGAGTACTATCCGGTGGGCTACGACAAGAACTTCGACGACAACTTTAAATCCAAAGTGGACCTGCCGCCCACGAGCTTCTCCTGCGCAAAGCAGAAGCATTTTCCGGGTCTCTACGCCGACACCGATCTTGGCTGCATGGTGGGTTTCCATATGAACAGAGAGAGTCTGGAAGGAAGATAGAATTTAATTGACAAATCGCTGCTAGGTCTTTCACGTATGCGCCCTCACCGACGACGGCATGGTGCGGAAGTCCTTCCTCTGCCCGGAGAACACCCTCTTCGACCAGACGATCCTCAAGTGCAACTGGTGGTTCTACGTGGACTGCAGCTCCAGCACGAGCGTCTACGACTCGAACATTCCGATCTCGAAGAGCTACCAGCTGATGAAGTCGCTCACCTACTTCTCCAAGTTCGCCGGGGGCCAGCGGCAAGAGCAGGATGGCGACAAGGACGAGAACGCCCTGGACATCGAGTCGCTGCGGGAGTCGATGGAGGGCGTGCTCCGGCGCCAGGAGGAGGCCAAGAAGGCCGAGGAGCAGCGCGCCCTGCCCAAGGAGGACCATGAGCACGTGGTGCCAGCGGAGGGAGAGCAGCAGCTGACCAACTAGCCTTCACCTGGGCCCAATCCAACGCTATCTGAGATCTAGGTTAAGTGTTCACGATCGAGCGTTTCTGGTCGGTTAGCCGTACGTAGTCAAATCCTATGCTCCAGTCAACGGTTTCAATAGTCTCATCCACTTCCTGGGCGGAGAAAAAATTCCCCGAAACTGCCACCGATTCGGATTTGATTTGGACATCACAATCGCCTATTTGTGGCGCTTCAAAATTACTTTTAAAATATCAAAATAGTTTTCTTCATATCAGCAAGCACAAAGATCGAATGGCTACTAAATGCTGGCATGATATGGTTAAGATTATTTTGACTGAAAATAGTGGACACTGGGGAACTGATATTGCTATGATTTTTTCTCTGTTTGCCCCATCACTTACTGTGGCAGCTCCGTGCTCCTGAGCGCCCCTTAGATGTAGTCCCTTCCTTAGGCGGTTAGTCTCTAGTTAAGTCCCTTCACCAAGTGCAGTTTGGTTCGGGCGGTTAATTTTATTACGTTCTATTTATTTATTGTACAAGTATTTTTCGTCAATTAAACATCGTTTTTTACAAGACACTCATTTTTTTTACCTATACTTTCACTTAATTCCCAGAGACCTCTACTCTGACTGTTCGCCATAGGCAAAATACGATAAAAAATTGGCTACTGGAAGATGCTTCCAGAAGTTTATTTTCTTACTCAAGTTGAACTGATAAAAAATAAATGCTCTCGCTCAAAATAATAAAATATTGTTTTTACTTTACTCTTGACATTTATCACAACGCTCTCAGAGAAACATACATATGTACATGTATACTCAAGCGATGCTTCTCGAAGGTTCTTTGAATATCGCGGCTCAATTTGATACATTGAGGTAAATGTTGGGTTCATAAAAACACAGTTCTTGCTATTGCATTTCAGCAATTTATTTCACAAACAGATACATATATATGTTGACATTAGTGATAAATTATTTAATAATTGTTGGAGAGCCTTTCCCGCAACTCGTGGGCTTCTTTAATATCAGGGTTGATCTGCACATAGGCGTAAAAATTGGCGTTCAATTTCATTTCCTCGTTATTGAGCTGGGCACGCGCCCCCTTGACAACAATTACGTCACCGGGTTGACCCGCAAAGCTAGAAGCCTTCTTTTCCCAAAGATTTAGCGTTACATTTGCTCCATTGCCATCTACAAGCCGAATTTCGCGAATCAAGTGACCGCCTCTCTCATCAATACCGTAGTCTTCAGTGCAGATGCCGATGACATCGACTGGCTTCAGGTCTGGAGTTTCAGAAATCTTGGAGAGCGGCACAAAGTTATATCTTATTTTAGGAATATTTGTAACCTCCGCACTCAGTTTTACAGATGTTTTATCAAGGAATACAATCTGATCCGGGTTATCCACCACTTTAAACCTCATTTCCGCTCTTCTCACCTCAAATTCGGAAAACACGTATGAGTTGCCAACTTGAATCTGATTGTAGAAAGTGTTGCACAGTTCGTCAAACACTACGCCGGTTATTTGGCCAGATTCATCCAAAAGATTCATCAGAAAGACCGTTCCACTTTTTTTTTCTTTGTGATACGGAGTTATCTCCGACTTCCACGTAACACGAGCCCTAATCGGTAAATTATTGCAACGAATTGGGTGCAAGCCGGAAATAGACTGTGATATTTGATAAAAAACAATAAAAAAAAAAATATGCTCTTTGTTTTTATACTCACACAAATTTCTGTTGAGGTCATTTTATTTCGCGAGACGTTTTAAAATGTTTGGACTGCCTTCTGTTAAATAAAGGGGAAACGCCTTTTTTCAAAAACTTGTGAAATTTAAGGAAAATAATCTTAGTTAAGCGTAGCCTGGGGTGAACCTGCTGCAACGGAGAATGTATTTGAACTGTGCTCAAACATTCCTTACCAGCAGCTTAAATAGGAAGAACAACAACAAATCTGGAGTGATAATATAATATATATAATATATTTTGAGATGTATATTGCGCCTTGAAATGGAAAAATATAATATAGTATGTATGAAAGGCCCAATATACACTTGGCCACTTGTAATGTATATTGGGCCTTGGAATGGAAAGGCGCAATTTGGTCTGTTTTTATTAAAATTTCATTCATTTGTTAAAAATTAACCAAAAGTTATTATGCATATGCCTTTAATAAATGCATAACATCCTTATCAAAAAATCATCGTGAAATCGTGTAAGAACGAGGTTCTTAGCGTGTCAAAAGGGGGATGATAGCAAATTTGTAACCGTTTAAGACCGAGTTCGTGCTAAAAAAGTCCGTGTTAAGCGAGGGCCAAGGGTATTTTAACTCTAGCAAAAAAATAAATTCAGATTTCGAAATGGCATACCTCGTTGAAATCGTGGTAAAATTTCCTGTCGATTTATGAAAAATGTGTGTTTTGTGACATGGATCAATAGATGAGGTTCCCAGTTATGTAAAACGGTGGGCCTTTTAGCTGTATGTCATTTTTTGGCCAAGTTATACCAAACTAACAAACCTTGAAAATGTGTGTTTTAGCTAAAAAAACCTTTACCATTTTTTCACCCAAAAATATCAGTATTTTAACTCTAGCAAAAAAAATAAATGTCAGATTTCGGAATGGCATACCTCGTTGAACTCGTGGTAAAATTTCCTGTCGATTCATGTACTCACCTTATTTTTTTTATTTTGATAATTTTTCGCAAAAAATTGTGATGGTACCCCTTACAAAAAATGCAAAAAATTGAAAAAAATTAAATTTTGTTGGGTCGTCAAGTAGGTGACATGGATCGATAGATGAGGTTCCCAGTTGTCTAAAACGGTGCGCCTTTTAGCTGTATGTCATTTTTTGGTCAAGTTACACAAAAGAGCATACTGGAGAAAACGTATTTTTGAAAGAAATCGACATTAATATTATTTTCTTAGCACATCAGATTTTCTTACTAAGCAAAAACAAATTAGTTGCAGCACATAGGATTATTGCGAGCATAAGTCCAAAAAGCATATGCGCTACAAAGAAATTCGATATGGGATCCCCTCTCCCCATGAAAATTGCAGACACACTCAATGAATTTCCGAGAGGGGGAAAAAGTACGAGTGCAAAACGTTTAACAATATTAATTGTCGCTGCTAGTACACTGAGAAAGTTAAGGTGCCTTTTGCTCAAAGTTTAAATTTAAAAATTAAAAATCAATTAATTTTAATCGCGATTGAGAATTTATGCTTTTCTCTTTAAAACTAGGTTCCCTTAAATATTGCATAACTTTCTTGTTTTGTGTAGAAACGCAGTGTTGATCTGCACTTGGCTGCACTTCTCACCACTCGGAGTATCCAGTTACTCCCTGGCCCCAACTTTGTATATCCCCACCCCTAAGCGATGTGCATTCTGTTTACCAGCCATATCCATATCTTATTTACATATGGACATATTTGCCGCCCCACAAGCGCGCATTAAACACATTTTAATTAAGACGCAGCTCCAGACGAGCCGGGTTTGCTTCGGCTTCTGTTCAGTTTCTGTATCAGTTTCGGGTTCTCAGTTCTGCGATCTGGTTGTGGCTGTGGTTCAGGCAGTCTAGTCTGGGTGTTTAGTATTCAGTCTTTGGCGGAGCGCAAAAGATGTGCGCCGGGCGCGGCGATCCCACCGATCCACCGAATCCAAGGCCGCGGGGATAAGACGCTTCATTTGTTCGCCGCCATGTGCTGTTGGTGTGCACGAGTCTACTGGACGGTTCTGCACAATCTTCTGGTCCGCCTGCTGGACAACTTGACGGAAATAAGATCGCCCCTCTGCTGTAGCTCTTGTTTTGGCTATCAGCGGCAGTCCGCTGGTGAGGAAGGTGACGTCGCAGCCGTCGAACGGGTTTCCAGCACCGATGACGCTCCACATCAGCAGCCCCACCAAGATTACGTCATTGTGGGTGAGTTCTCGCAGTTCTCTCGGTTTCAAAACAAAACCATAACAACACGGGGCAAAACATAATCAAAAACAAACAACTGTAAAATACAATATAAAGCCTTTAAACTGGCTAACATAAGATAGATTCTATCTAGTGCTGCCTTTCCAACAATTCGCAACATTGAATGCTTTAAAACAGAATTGCAAGATAAAGTTCTTATTGAGCGTTTCGACCTGTGTTGTTATATAAATAATTCCCAATGAAAAAATATCACTAATATTTTTATTTCAAAGAGGATTCCGATGCATTGTATACGGAGATTGAAGAGCGGCACGTGGAGAAGGAGCCGTATTACTTTACGGTGGATCGTCCCACGGCAGAGCGGATGCTCCACGGCAGGGAGGACGGCTCCTGCCTGGTTCGACCCTTCAAGGCGGCCGACCAGTGCATCCGCTACATAGTGAGCATCTGGGCGGCCGACCAGTTCTACCACCTGTTCGTGAGACAAGTGGACAGGAGACAGCGCTACGCCATTGGGCAAAAAAAGCCGCGGGAGCGCTGCTTCGGATCCCCCTCGGAGATCGTGGAGTTCTACACGCAGCACCCGCTCCTCTGCACCAACAAAGTGCGGAGCCAGTGCGTCCAACTGCGGCCCATCAGTTACGCTTAGCTACGGGGTAATCTTTATTGCATAAGAGTGGGCATATGTACAAATGGGTTAGCTTAAGACGCTCCTCAGGTGGCCACCACCGCCTTGAAGGCGCACTGGTTGTTCTGCATCAGGGCGGGCCACAGGAAGGCTTTTTATCAGATCCGATCGCCGGTCAGCCTGGGGATGCCGCTCGTGTTTCTCGGGCCTCAGGAAGCCTGCGACGGATGTATTTAATGTATAAGATTGCAAACCAAATAAACCAAACAGAATGAAACCCACCCAGGTTGAAGTCCATGTCCAGGTAGTAGGGCGCCTTCTGGTTGATCATCCGCCAGGCCAGACGCACACAGGCACTCACGTAGTGGGTCAACGGGGGGCAGGACTCCAGGCAAGGATACTCGTGCAAGGTGGAGAGCACCTGGTTGAACACCGACCGCTCGATCTCGCCCAGCGGAAAGTTCTCGGCGGTCTCGAAGAGATGTTGGCGAACCGATCTGTCCAGGGACAAGGTGGTCTCGCTGCTGCTGTCCAGCGGGCAGTTCAGGACGCGCCGCACTTCCAGGACCTTCCGTTCCCTCATTCCGTGGCACAACCGAAAGGAGAGCTGAAGGAACGTATTTACAGAAATCAGTTTAATAAGTAAGCGCCAATAAATGCAATTTCTTTTTTAACATGAGAGATCGCTTTCTTGGCTCCGAATTTAATGTGCGGATATTGAGATTGCTGGTGCATTTTCTCTGGGAAAATGTCATTCATCTCTGGTCGAAAGTGATTCGATTACTACAGGTTTGATCAGCAGCGCCTACATAATTTCTGGCACCCTGGGGATATCCACTTTCCCTCGCATTTTCGCTACTCCAACGCCTAATCATCCTCAAACGCGATTTCGATCAGGCGAAATTGATATTTTGCAATCGCAATTTGCGGTCTGACAGGATCTGAAGCATCAGAGCCCACGGGCTTCGCGTGAGTAATTGATAGCCAAGCACTTGAAAATTGAAAGTAATCTTTACGAGCTGCCTTGGTCTCACAGTTTGGGAGTAATTGTGCCGTGCTTATTTTCTAAGCAAGCAGTTGAACCTCTTGATGCTTCTGTAAAGCAGTTCATAACCCATAGAATGATTCAAACCATAATTCTCATATTGTTATGAGAATTATTAATTATAGCCAAGCACTTGAAAATTGAAAGTAATCTTTACGAGCTGCCTTGGTCTTACAGTTTGGGAGTCATTGTGCCGTGCTTAGTTTCTAAGCAAGCAGTGTAACCCCTTGGGGCTTCTGTAAAGCAGTTCATAACCCACTTAGAATGATTCAAACTATAATTATCATATTGTTTGTTGAATCATTTGCATAAAAAGGAAGCCCAATGAAATTTACCATTTATATTTATGGCCAATAACTTACTCAAAGGCCAAAAGAATGCGCTCGCCCTATTTTTAAACAATGGTTTTTTTAACTTCTATATTGACAACAGATTTTTTAATTTAAACAGCTCAAAGAAAAGTATTTCTAAGCCTCTGGAAAGATAAAATGCTATTGACATGGAATTGGCACTTTAAAAGATTGCGAACGCCCATAATAAATTGACTCCATTCATCACAAAAATCTCTTCGTTGTCTTGACAAGTGAAAACGGAGGGGATAATTAAAAAAGTAAAAATCTCCGGTGAGCGATTTATATTCCACCGACAAGTGAATGATTGACTGGCGATGCAATTGGCAACAGTTTCTCCGCGGGACTAGATCTTTAAATATTTTCAGCTTCCAAAGTTGAGTTTTACAGAATTAGCCTATCTCAACTTAAAAAATACAATAAAAATATTTCTCCGAGGCACACCTAAGTAGAAATTTATTTACAAAAAAAAAGTGAAAAAACTGTCTGAACCGCAATTGGCACTTTTTTCTACTGATCGCGTTAGTCTAGAAACTTTTTCGGCCTCTTTAACAAGCCATTATTGAACGTCGGACATATCTTGATCCGAAATCTACAACCCATCCCAAAGCATGTGTGCTCGGTACTTAAGACTCACCACGATCATGGAGAAGAGTATCTTTCCCTTGAGGCTGTGCGCGTGTTTTATCTGGGGAAGACTGTCCAACGCCTCCAGTGCGTCCGCTCGGTTCTCGACGTAGAGATTCCGATAGAGCGACACCATTTCGCTGGGGAGAATCAGAAAGGGGGAGACGTTAACAAGAGATGAGCAACAGAGTGTGGGTCTTTGGCAAGTGAGAGTTGGATGCGGTCTCGATCTGAATTGACAGAGGTTGTAATGTGGGTGTTACACCTCTTTCAAAGTGGGTCAAGTGCTAGAATCGGGCACATTAAATTACCATAACATGGTTATTCTATAAATTATACATAAATAAAATCAAATAGTCACTTTATGGATTTTTGTTTCATTAAGTTAATGATTCTACAATGTTACATAGATTTTTTAGAAATAGTTGCTTACCTGCTATCGTCGCTGCCGGAGTCATCCGAGTGGTAGCCGTCGCTGCAGCTGCTCGTGCTGGCGCCGCCCGGGGGCGTGGTCTTGCCCATGGAGAGGGCGGAGCCCGGGGGACCTCCCTCGGGACCCATCATGTGGAGCACCACCTCGCAGCCGCGGGAGAAGTTCATCAGGAGGCCGGCGGCGGGACGCTTCTCCACGAGGGCCTGCGAGTCGAGGCGGCGCACCTGGCCCACGCAGGTCAGCACCTCCTTGTCGTTCTCCACCCGGGTGCTCAGGTTCTCCACCAGGGTCTGCAGCTGCTTCAGCGCCGGCTTGTCCAGCATGGTGAGCAGGGTCTTGTTGTCGATCAGTCGCTGCTGAATGTCCCCGTAGTTGATGGCCAACAAGCGTTGGTGGGAGGAGTGGGCTGGGTCCTGGTTCACCGTCACCATGCTCAACTCCTCCAGCTTGTGAATGGCCATCTTGTAGGTGTCCACATGGCGCTGGAGCTCTGTTTTCAAGGCCACGTGCAGTGATATTAGCTGACCGGAGGCATCGGTGGTCAGTCCATGGACTCCGAGTCCCTGAACAGCATTGTCGAAGCTGCGCCTGCGTTCCCGCAACGTTTGCCGTAGACCGGGTTCATATTGAGCCAAAGCTTGCAGGAGTCGAGTGCATCTCTGCCGGAGCCCAGATTCGTGGGGATTGGCAAAGAGACGCACCAGTTGCCAGGCCACCGTTTCACTGGGAACATCTGGTTTCGGAGTGGTGTTCAATGTGGTCAATCTGGGGGACAATCAGAGAATACGAAATATTCTATTGGATAAAACTTAACTAAACTTGAGCTACTAAAGTCTTATTCAATTTTATTACAATCATGATCTTTTGTTGTAAGTTATAAACATACCTTGTGAAGAACGATTCCAGCAGGTAGGCGCTGTGCGGCAGGTGCTCCAGCAGCAGGTCCAGCGGCAGTTCGGCGATGACTGACCGCAGAACGGAGGGTCCCAGTCTGCCCACCACGCCAGCAGCCTCCCTGTACTGTCTGCCCTCCGAGAGCAGCATCAGCCGACGGAGTACCTGCCTGGGACTGGTCAGGAACTCGCGACCATCCCGAGAGGGTCCGCGAATCCGTTCCCTGCTGTCCGCCATCGAAGCGGAGCAAAGAGAGAGGGGAGGCGACGGAGAGTTCCCCTGGAGCTGCAGAATCGCGTCCTGGTGGTTCTTGAGCAGCAGCTGCTTCCTGGATTCGTGAGGATGCGGGTTACTCTGGTTACTCAGTTGTGGGTTAATGGAATGGCTTTGTACAGATGCAGATGCGAAGTCAGAGGGATGCAGATGCGGATGCGGAGTCTGAGAGATGTGGAGATGCAGATGCGAGTTCAGTGGGACTGCTTACAGCATATTGGGCGTGGGCTCCATGACGATGCGTTTGCCTGGGCTCCGAGTTTCGGGGAAGGGGCTCTGGAAACGGGCAGACACAATGCCACAATTAATAACGAATAGGAAATCTCTTTGGCAAGAATTCGCGCACAAACAATTGGCACTTTCACCGGCGCAACATAATTTATCATAAGTTAAGGCGCCACGCACAACCAGACACTGCAATGCAATAATACAATCGCCAACTTGTCAGTTGGCTGTGGGAGTTTCCACCTCAACTATGACAACTAGGAAAATGGTTGGGCCCCCGCACAAAGGCACTTTCCTTGCGGCCATGTCTCGAATGCCAGCTATTTCCCAGCTGCCCAGGAAAATGCCTTTTAGCCTCACACCACATGCGTTAAATTGAAATTTTGATTTGGGAGTGGGTAATGCACTGTTGGGTGCGACTAATAAATAAACCAAACGAAGATCTTAGAACTCTGTGCACCTGCAGTTGGGCCGCTATTCTCCACCCTTTTCCAAGAGACTGAGTACTTCGGTGGAGCAGCAGGGAATCGGACACTGGGGCAACCAACCCGAACCGAAAATACTGACCATGTTTGCCTTCCCGGGAATCGAGCCGAGGAGAACATTAAATGTTTGCCAACAAACCGAAAAGTCTGGAGAGGCAGCCAACCACAGCGATTAGGTAAGTGGCTATCACATGGTTACACGGAGAGAAAACATTGCTAGAACCTAAATATACATTTCCAACTATTCTTCCAAAATCACCTTGAAGTGAATAGAACATTTTGGAGTTATTAAGAAGAAGCCGCTTTTTTCTGTGCACTCAACATATTTTATAATAGTAAACTTCAATTAATGGCGTTTTGGGCTGACGTACTCCCCATTCGAGTGGCACTTCCAGCTAAAAGCCGACTTGGGGCTGGAGGTGACAGTGACCCAGCTCGGAAAGGTCAGCCATCGGGCATGAGCGGAGTTAACCGGCTTAACGGACAGGTAGACGCCTTAATTGAAGGCCCAGTAAGTGCGCTTTGGCAATACTTTCCGTTACCACCTGGCGAAGGCGTGTCCCTCGGCTGGGAAAGAATGTTCCGCTGGCGGGGCGTGGCTCCATGGGAAAGAGATCAGATCGGAATGGATAGTGAATAGCGGGTTTTCCGATCTGCGTACGTGTTGCCAAAATAGCGTGCAGGATCATCTGCTCGATCTTTTCCCTCATCACCATGCGAAATGCGGGAGATAAAAAAGGTATTGCACTTCGCAGAGATCATGTGGCGAGAACCCAGACATGACGGGCACAAAGAAGGCCCGAGATTACCAGGCAATTATGACTACACGGGCGACAAATTGAAAGATGCCATCGAGCGGAGCTGGGAAAGCCGTAGAAACGTGGCCATGACACTCGGGATGCGCTTCGTTGGGTTCGGCAGAACTGAAGAAAGGGCTGGGAGATGGGGTCTCCCTCCACTTGGTGTGTGTTATGTAAGCTGGTGACAAATGAGCGGGCTGAGAACGGAAGCCAAACTTGTCGCCACGACTCGAGAACCCTGTCTTCCATCCACCACACCATCTCCATCTGTCCGTCTATCTGTATCTGTATCTGTATCTTTGGCCGCGGCTTTTAGTTACACTCCGGGTCTCAGTTGGTTTAATGAACCCAGCGAAAATAGAAATGTGGTGATGTGAAGTGATTTGTGGTGCCGGCCATAAGGCGAGCCTGGCTCTCTGGCTCGCCATTATTGTTATTACAACAATTCGTTATGAAGTCGCTGGCTTGATAGTTTCGCAGGCCAACAAACTTCTAATTGCCCCGACCCCGTGCTCTGCATGCAATCGAGAGGGCTTTTTATTGTGCCTTTGTAGGAGATTTTCGAGGGGTATATTCACGCATATATATCTCAGATGGTAAAGAGCAAAAATTACTAAATTGCATGCTAAGCAAATTAAATTGTTTCCTAGTTTTTAATCAGTTTTCAAGTTTTTGTAAATAGAACAGATTTAAGATATGATATCCCTTAATCTAATTATGCTCTGGATAATTATTATGAGCAAGTTCTAATATGAAGATAACCCCCTGAAGTACAGCAACTTGTTCAGTAAACACAAGAGTTTTCTAGAGTATTCCCCAGGCCATGCAGCTCCCATTTCTTTTTGCTGCTTCCCCGATTTGTGTCTTTGTCATAATGGTATCCATAACGAGCTCGGAATGAAGTAGGAGCTGGGAGCTTGGAGCCATTGCTGGCGTGCTGCTGCCATTAAGATGTGATGGCGATCAACAATCTGCGGCACGCTGGGGATCCATCAGACACCTGTACCTGTGGCAATTAGCCGCCAGACGGGAACTGCCAAAAAAGGGCAAGAAGAACCGAGCCGCAGACAGTGCGGTCCACTCCATTCCGCTAGTCGTTAATCAAAGAGAGCGACCCAATCAAGTTGACCTCAAAATCCGGACCAGACAAAAAGCGGAGCGAATTTATTGTCGTAAGACAAACGCACAAGTTCTGCATGGCGAAGAAAGAAACTTGTTTGTGGAACGATCGCTAACTGTTCTTCGCACCTTTCCACAAAGGGAAGAACGGCCCTCGCTCATTTCCCATATCTTGAGATCTGCCGAAAATTAGCATATCTATGTTCTCCCATACTGATTGATTCCCTCATAAAGCACAAATAGTTCGCGGCTAAGACAGAAGACGCCCGCGGGCTTGGCCCCCGAACTCCAGCTCACCTACTTTTGCCCAAAGTTTCTGGCTGGGGTCCAACCCATCAAAGTTTGACAGCTTCCCCAACAATCTAATTCGTATTAACTTTTTCTGGCTGCCCCTGGCCAGCACCTCAATTATGATGGGAACAAGTCTGGTCCGAAACTGGGTTAATTCCATTCATTCAATTAGAATAGGCACAGCCGTCTGTTTTATGGCCAAGTTGCAAGTGGTCCGCTAATTGGCGTCGCCTGCCGCAAGTTTGTGTGTCTGGGAAAGATCTTCTCTCTTCGGGCGGTGAAACGAGCCACTAAATCTGCATAAATTAGCACAGACCAGCCCTTGACTAACTAGCCTTAATGAGAGACTAAGCATCCGATTTGTGAAAAGTATCTCATTATGCGCGGATTCTCACTCGCTGCAGTATCAAATTATTTAAGGCAGTCTTCTCTATTTGGGAACGTTCAACATGATTTTATGGCTGGAGACTGCGCTATAGGAAATCGTTAGGAGCTTAGTAAAGAAAACTAATTAGCTGGAGAGTTTGCATGTCAGGCTGAGCCTCCAATTTAGGTACTTAAGTCTGTTGGGTGTGGCCAAATTTATTGATAACTTTTACATTTTCAACGTATTTAAATATTTCCTTTCTAACGTATCGGCATACTTGAAACACTCCGAGATGTAAGCAGTTTATTAGTAGAAAGTTATATAACTAATCTGAACTAATTTAAATGGAGCTATAACTCGAATTCAACAGATGAAAAGTTATGAACGGCTTTAGCAATAACTCGTGGCATTTTTGATTGATTTTATTGGAGTTCCATATTAATGAATCAAAAATATATTTAATATTTAAGATATGCAGCTTCTGCTTGGAACCCAGATGTTGAAAATATTGAGGAAAGTTGTTTTTTTTGGAAACCTCTGTGCTTCACTTTTGCACATTTCTGGGTGGGCTGCACTTCGGGTTCCAGCCCAGTCCCAGCTAATTAGCTTAATTACCCAATGCCAGAGGCGGATTAATTTCACCGGCGGCAAACGGTGAAAAATGTCGGTTCAAAAACAAAAGCGAGCAAGTGTTGACTCCACACTCCCATCGCTTGGCATGCACAGGGAAAAACTTCTAGCTTGCCAATTGGTTTTAGTATCCTATAGATGCAAATATACACCACTTCACAGAAAACACTTACCAAAAATATAGATCGGAAATAAAAATAAATTGAATGGATTACTTAAGATTTTCTCAAGCATCCCCTATAGTTGTTGTTTTCGGTGCGCTCGAAATATGAGCCAGAATGAGCCGAGATCGACGGGAACTGATTGGCGCCCATTGCCAGCGCCTTGGCGAAAAGATTCGGCCTCGGGCCAGCGGTCTATCTGCATGCAAGTAGACCAGACCGAAGAGCCGAGTTCCAAGAAACCGAAAATTGCGCCACCTTCACGTGTTGCGCGCAATTGGAAGACGCTCCACAAACTGTAACCAAAGCGGAGCAATTAACGAGCTCCCACAAAGGTGAGTGGTATTTTCGAGGGGCTCGAGGGATCGAGCCCATTTATTCGCGGTAGGTCGGTGTGCGGCATTTGCATTTAGCCGGCTTAACAGGGCGTTAAGCTTGCGACACGGCCATAAAAATACTGGTACATCTCGGCGGAGTTAGGGTACTTATCTGCCGTAATCCCAGGCACCAGGGCCCATTGGATTGGGTGTTAATAAGTCAAGGTCCCCGGCAATGGAGCGGATTAACTACAGCATGGGTGGCTTCTCCAGAGATTGAGCAGTCCCACCTGGTCACATATCTTCCTGTCCTTTCTAAACGCATTTCACTTTTCGCCAACGCGACAGGTGTGCAAATATTTGCGAGAAATTGCTAAGTGGGGGACGAGAAAACAGAGGCATTGGGAAACCGCTTACCAAATCAAGTAATTAACGGTTTGATTTACTAAACGCATCGGACTGTCGCCTGTTGGCTAATGGTCGCTGGTAATGGTTGCTGCTCGACGCTCCACACTTCGTGTTCATGTGCGAAATGTCGCCAATTTGATGCGTGTTTTTTAGGATTTTTACATTTTCGCTTTTCCAATTCATTTCGATGCGCCTGCGCACTTTTCACTGCGTTATTTGTCAGCTCTCGGGCAACTGTTTATGCCTCGAAACGCGGCTTTTCCCCCGCCGCCAGAGCCATCTGCCAATCCTGCGATCGCCGATTTCTCTTTCGCTGGAAAAATGTGGCAATAATCGTAAAACTTTAACACAAATATTGAGCGGAGTAATTATGAGACCCACAACTAGCCACTTGAAAACTGCAAGCTCGGCTCCTAAATGACTCGGGATGACTGCGGCTTTCAGCGACTGGATTGATCGTTAGGATTGATCGCTTGGCCCGATTTCCGAGCCATGAAAAAGTGGATGCAGGCTGCAGAAGTTGGTCAGTCTGGGGAGAAACTACTCGACTGCATCCCATGCACCAGCTGATCATCCCAAGATGCACTCGCAATCCCCATAAACAACATTACCGCATCGCAGAGTGCACGAATCCAGCAGATAATCATCTCGGCAATGATAAAAATATACAAATGCAAAGCCCATTTCCGCTGCAGACAGCCCTTTGAATTGATTAAGCCCCCTTTTGGGCCACTCTATTGTGGCGCATCCGCGGCTCGAGTCTCTCACCTTAGCTTCCGTGAAAATAATTCAATTTCATGCCGCATTATCTGGGTGGGTACTCCGCGGATTGAGTTCTTACATAAGGCCCTTGAGATTCATCTTAAGGGAGATGTGATGGCATATTGCAATTAAACTTCAAATGGATAGCGCACTCATCACTTCGATGAAGAGAAATTAGCCCCCTTCTGAGATTTATAGGTAAAATCGGTTAGTCAAAGAAATACTTTATAAGTAAGTCCATAAACACAAAAAAAATTAAAGTATTTCATAATAATTTTTGGCTTTGCTTTAAATTCCGTCAATAAATTAAATATTTTCTTAAATGCATTTTTATCTAAAATTTGATCTAATAGTTTTTTATTTATTTGGACACAAAAACTTCTCTCAGTGAGCAATCTCGGTGGCTTCGGACATCATATGGCTGATATGCGCGGCTCCTTGACAGGCGGCTCGGTTTGGTTTGGTTTGGTTTGGTTTGGCTTGGTTTGGCCAGCCGTTTGACAACAACTTTCACAAACTTTTGCCAGCCGGGCAGACCGATCGCGATTCTTATTACAGAATCAGGCGCGGGACTCTCACTCTCTCTTTGAGTCAGTGAACTGGACACTGCCACTTGCAACTTGCAACTGGCCGCTTGCAGCACGTTCGGTTGACAGTAAAAGTAAAGCGGCGCGGGAAAAGTGAACGCAATCGAAGGCGACCCACTTCCCGACCCAACAATAAGTCTCCCCGATCTTTATCTCCATCTCTTTTGGGGGCAAGGGGACTCTGCTCACATATAAATTTTGGAAAATCTGTGGAGAAAAGTGGGTGGCCCACAGCCAGCAGCGACTGTCTTCTTTCGGGTGTCGAGTGGCAGTGGTAGAAACACAAATCGAACCGAAAAACTGGCCGGACAAACGCACACGCAAAATGAACCAAACGAGCCATTGGCGTGACTTAATGACGCATAAATATTCGGGCCTGCAACTACTAGACTAGGCTTGGCTCGGAGGCCAACCAAAAGATACAGATACTAGTGCACACAACAAAAAATGATGAAAAACGATTTATCATTTAAGAGAAAAATCTCATAAAAAGATTATATATAATATTAGTTTTATTAAAAACAAGATTGAAAATATATCCCGTAGTTAACTTAAAAATCTTGTTAGTGAACCTCTTTGGTTTCCAATTTAAATGGTAATTATTTTCAGTGTATAAGCCTAGCTCCCGCACGCATCTCTTTCGGTGAATGCGGCTTAATTGCGCACACTGCCGCTGCAGACCAATGAAAGTGAGCTGGCGATCGCCGCGGAAAGAAATGGGTAAAAACAAAAGTGAGCCGCCGCCGAGATAACCAGAATTTCCAGCCAGACTCCTCTCATCCTTTTTTGGCAGACTCTGCAGAATTTCATTGCATTTCACTTTTTCTTGTGGCTTGAACTTTGGCTTGAGATCGAAAGGAGAGGCTTGTGCGTTTCTAAGTAAGTGGCACAGTAATAAGTTGATATTCGAAAAAATATTTATAAAGGCGGATATTAGAATACCAAATAAGTTTTAGATTTCCAGTTATTTAGATATGGAAAAAAGAGATAGCATGCTTTATTATTTTCAGAACTCATTTAACCATTTAAGTTGTAGATTAATTCGGTTGTTTATAAGTTGGTTATAGATATAATATTATTTGATATTGAATTTTGAACCACTTTTAAAGAAACTTCACTGGTTTTAACATTCATTGCAGATATATATTTTGAATCGTTCACATCGAATCTTGACTTGATTTCAGTAATACCATAGCACATACACATAAAGCACGATCAACACGAACAGCAGATGGATCAGGAAGAGCTCGATGGCCAGGGTGAACAGGGCCAGTGGCTTGAAGGCCACGTAGGTGATCTGGACAAACATGGCTCTCCCAGATCTACTGGCTCATTGGGAAGTGTAGATCTCAATGGCTCTCCTACTCCTGAATGGTGAAGGTCAACTGCTTGCTGCGCGAACTCTCGAATCGATTGGGCGTGTGCATGCTGAGCATGGCGGAGATCCCGAGTCCCAGGATGCCGAGGAGCAGGGTCACCACGAAAAGGCCTGCCAGGATGGGCGCCGAGACGAATCCAATGCAGTCGTACACCTCGCCGTATTCCTTGCGTCCGCTCAGCCACGGCTGCACCTGGAAATCAGTGAGCACCAGACTCTGAATGGTCTCATTCCGCGAGGGGTTCAGGAAGTGCGTGTTCTCCGCCGAGCAGCGGTAGGAGAATCCCAGGGGAGCTGAGGGCAGTGTGTACTCATCTCCTCGAGCCACAAGAACACTCTTCAGCTCCTTGTACTCCACCTCGACGTTTCGCAGGGTCCAGGATCCCCGGATCAGGGAGAACTTGAAGCGCAGCGTGCACTTCTCCCCGGAGTGCATGAAGGTGATGCTCAAGCGACCATATCCCTTGGCGCGCTGATCGTCGAAGGTGATCTGCTTGATGTGCTCCTCCAGCTTCAGGGTCTCGTTGGTCAGCCGCAGCTCCAGTGGTCCATTGAGGGTCAGCGCCGCCTTGTTGCCCTCGGCCACGTAGATGAAGCCGCTGGCCTCGGTCTCCCTCGGGACCCTCTGGAGCCTTGGGCTTCTCCTCTGGAGCCTTGGGCTTCTCCTCTAGAGCCTTGGGCTTCTCCTCTGGAGCCTTGGGCTTCTCCTCTTCCTCCGGAGCAGAAGTAGCCTCTCTCTTGGCCAGGAAGTGCGCCTCCTCCTCGCGGCTGCCCAGGATGCCCAGCACTTCTCCTCTTCCGTAGGTGTTCAAGGCATCGTTGTAGACGGTCAGGATCTCGGCGTCGTCCTCTTCTCCGTGTCCTGAAAGGCTCACCACCTAAAAAGTTGAAGGGAAATTATTGAAAAGAATTATAGAAAAATACATTAACAACGACACAATCCAGAGGCGTCGTTTAAATATAGATGGCCAGATGATTTTGTTTTGCACCAAAATATGTATTTTTATCACATGATTTCTCAGGTCGATGGAATTTATATACGTATGAATTATTTGTCACAGCTCGTAACTCACCTCAATGTTGGCGTTCAGACCGAACGGCTCCGCTGCAAGTCTCCTTTGTGGCAGGTAAGTCCAGGCAGCGCTCTTCACCAGATTCTGGAACTTTGGGTACTTGGTGCCCTCCAGTCGACTGGTCGAGTTCCGTATAAAGACCACAATCGCCTTGGCCTCCGTGAAGAGTTGCGTCAGCGGCAGCTCCCTGCTGTTCGAGTCCACCAAGGCCTGGGGTTGCAGTCCGGAGACTCTGGGGTTGCCCCAGAGGATGAAGGGTCCACTTATGGACGCACTGCAGCTGCCGAGGGCCAGGCACAGCAAGGTCGCAACGAGAATCAGCTGCATTCTGGAGTCGGATGGAAGTGCGCGTCTTCTCTGCGGTCTCTAGCACCAAAGACTGCCCTCGATTGAATGCGGGATGTATGTATGTAGAGAAAAATCGATTGGGCGAGACTCATGCGCAGAAATAAACCAGAGGTGGTGGGTCCCAACGGGTGGTGGAATATGCTCGGGTTCCTAGGTCAGTTCTTATGCCACATAGGAAAAGGAAACCCACCACCAAGTTGAAAACGACGTGCTCAAAATTATTTCGAAAAACACTTGAACTGGAATTTGGAAACCAAGATGACGACTGCATATTATATTTTTACTTGTACAGATGGATTGATGAAATATTTACAGGATTTATTAAACTACTTGTTTCGAACATAAGATCTCAAATTTACAGACATCTAATTACTAGGCTAGTGACTACAATGATACATTAAACCTTTTGAGTATTCAACAAAACAATATTCGTTTCTCAACTTAAAGGAACCTAAGGGCGAACCCGATGACTACGAAAGTTAATATAAAGGGCTTTGGTTCGGTTGCCGAGCTTGAGGAATAGAAGCCGCCCTTAAAGTTCTTGGTGCCTGTTAAATAAATAAATAGAATAAGTAAGTTAAGTCTTACCAAATCAAGAGTACTTACGCTTCTCATTGGTATCCCTTACGCCACAAGTGCGATATGATATAGTCGCCTTTCGCTTCTGGTTCACATAACCTGGAATGAAGAGACTAGGGGAGTCCAATCTGCCAGCAGCTATCAATCGAGACATATCCAGCTCCAATCGATGGGCAAGAGGTCCCTTGAAGTGGATTATCATCTGAATGCAGGCACCACCATGCAGCTCCTTGGTCTTTCGGGCATCCACATCCAACATCCACTCAGGGATTCCCATTACTGACCGCAGTTCATCCAGGAACTGGGCCCTAGATTTATGAGTATAGAATTTGATTATAATTTCATAAAGATTTTATGAGTAGTATAACTTACACCACGAAGCGAGGCGGTTTTTGTAGGTTTATGTATTTAATGACATTGTGGTCGGGCTCTATATTTGCACAGGCAAATCTCTCATGGGAGTGATCAGGTCCAAAGATCACTATGGAACGTCCAATGGCTCCCACAGGAGCCTCTAAAGGAAAGTTGGAGTCGGTAAGCACTACACGCTCACCACCCAGATCTGGATGGAAATAAGATTGGCCATGAGAAAATATATTTCTTGTGGGACATTATAATAAAAGGATTTACCTATTGTGCCCAATCGAGCTCCCACATCGCCCACATAACAACGCAGGGGATTATCCGGACTGCACTCCTGCTCATAGAGATCCAACTAAAAAAATATATCCTTTTCAGAGAGCTATACTCTTTGAATATTATTTTATGACCTACATTTAGTGGATCTGCCAGTTGTGTGTAGTACGGATTCCAAACGTATCCTCCAGCCACACAACGCGTGATTGTTGGCTTAACAGCTGCATCCACGCCAACGGGATTCACAAATATCTGCCAATTGTGATTCCTCGTGGAGTTGCGATCATTCTTTCCGGGATGCCTTAACTTCACCTCAATCACAGTCTCCGATTGACTTCCATCATTGTGAATGAGCTGGGTCATCTTAATGTATCCATAGGCGTAACCCGTGGGATGATGAAACGAGGCAATCGCTCTGAGTTCCCTGGCCTCGCTGGGACTGTAGCCACGCTCTAGGGTACTAAAATAATAGGTTAACTATTAATTAATTTATTTAAAATTCTGTGTAGCCAACCTGCAGGCCCATCGTGCATTCTTCTGTTTCTTCTGAATAACCACAGATCGTCCAATGATGCTGTTGTAGCCAAAGAGAGGAAGATTAGTGTCATTGTAGGAATCCTCGAATTGGGTAACTCCTTCGAGACTTCCAAACTTTCCACTAAGGTCTCCCATTTCGTACTGATCGGTGGTCCCCCTTTTAGTTGGGGGTGATGACTTCGGACTGATGTCGAAAGGATTCCAGTGGCCATACAGAGTGGAAGCCTCGCAGGGAAAAGCCAGATTGGCTTCAACGGGTGTCTGAAAGGATTAAGAGTTTATTTAAATTAAAATACTACTTTGTAGATCAAAGAGTACTCACCCTGTGAATGTGGTAGCCAGTGTTATCTTTCAGTCCTTTTAGCTGCACTTCCACATTGCTGATATCGTACTCCGACTGCTGAGTGACCTCCACTTGGCCACTGACAGTCAAAGGATCTCCATTGGCATACCACTCCTTGGCCACAACTTTCCTCCGGAAATGTCCAATTACCGCGGAACAGGCCAATCGTTCGCCTCTGGCCTTGGGACCACTATCCTCGTAGATGACCAGGGACGTCCCAAGAATTCCATGTCGGCCAGAAAGCGGAAGATTACCGTCCACGTACATCCTCCTGCTTATTTTCTGGGCAACCCTTCTGCCTCCGGCGATGGTAAGTGTTCCCGACCTCGCATCCATGGCTCCAACTCTGCACATCGAGGGAAGATTCGCGTGGCAAAAGTCATCCACACTACGGTTGCCCCAGTCCACTTTGAATGGATTAAAGACGGGTCCTGCGGAGATGCAGCGCTGCTGCCAGTCGTAGAAGTCCTTTCCGGGGGCGTTATTGTGGATTGCCCAGCGGTGATCGCTGGTGGTGTTCTGGGTGGAACCATCTGCCTGGATGAGGTACTCGAAAAGTACGGTGGTGTCCTGCCAAGGCTGTTCTGCAGGCTGCCGGAAGATTACCCGACCCACCACTGGATATCGAAAGAGAACCTACAAAAAATAAATATAATATTTAATCATAATATAAATTTGTAAGGTATTTTTCACCTCACCTGAGCTGTAACCATGTTCTGCTGGTAAATCCCATTCCGCTGATATTGCCCCAGAGTGGAACAGCCCCATATGCTCTTTGTGATATTAGACACATCAGTTCTGTTAAAGGTGTATATAACCAGACTCCTCTGGGCTATGCTATGGCGACCTTGAAGGGGAAGGAAGACATCCCAATAGAGGCCGTTCAGCTCAGAACTCGTTCCCGGCAGGACATACTGGTGCCAGTAGCCTTTGTTCCGACCCTGCAGCTTTCCGGAGAGATCGCCCAGGGGATACTGCTCCTGGGTTCCATAACCAGGAGGGGGAATATTTTCATTTATCTCCCGGGGATTGTGCATGTCTCCAGTTGTCCAGCAGTAGTCCTCGTGACCCATTTTTTGCGGAACTGGCGGCAGACTGTGAATTCTGAAGGCGGCCACATCTTCAGCAAACTTGCGACTGACATGCTGAGTAAGAGGTGCGCCCAAGGTGAAATTAAGAAAAGTAGGGTCGAACTTAGAGCGCTGCGTGAAGGTCACCTCTCCCTTGACACCACCAGAGTTGATGAAAGTTCTTTGTTTGAAATATGAAAAAATTGTAATTTATGGTAGTCTGGTAATATAAAACCCACTTACTTGTAGGTCAGAGGCTGAACATGCCGAATCTTGGTGCAGGCGAGGTAAGAATCCGGATGCTGGTTGTCGAACAGCACCAGGTAGAGGGTCCTATGTGGAATGGTTAGATCCGAAGGGAGTAGGGCCAACTGTGCATCCCTAAAGACACTGCGTTGCGGGGATCGTAGCGCATTCTTGGCCACCCCGATCCTTCCAAGACGCGCATCCAGATCTCCGATTCCTTGGCCAGCTCCACCGCCTTGGGGATCGAAAACCAGCTGAAGGAAGTTGCAGTTGTCCTCGGTGCGATGGTGGTCGTGTTTGAAGATGTCCGTCACGAAGATTTTCCAGTGGTGCTGGGTGAAGGATGCCTTTTGGCTGCTGTCCTCCTCCAGAGCCGCGGGTTGCTGCCTGATGTGGTACAGATCGGAGTAGATCAAAGTATCCCCAGCTGCTCCTTCCGCCGGCGCCAGCCACCGAAAGTGGACGGATCCGGCCACCGGTGTATTGAACCGGGCCTCTGCCATGTGCTCTACGGAGCTCTGGATGGTGGTAATGGTGGCACAAATGCGGGCATTTGAGTTGACCTCCGTGAGTACCAGCGCCTTGCCCCAAATTCCCCGATCTCCAATCAGCTGCATGTTACGCTCCCACGTAGAAGTCTCGTTTCCGGGCAGCACAAGATACTCCAGATCCTCATCGAAGGTTAAGACTTGGGAGCCCAGGCGACTAAGTTCGCAGCGCTCCTCGGGGTCTGTATTGGAGTAATCCACGGGGAATCGCCGAACTCCCCAACTCCACACTTGGTCGGGATACTGCAGGGTGGCCTCTAGATTGGCCTTGATCTCCACCGTGGTGGCGTTCATCTGTCGGAAGGTAATCTCCCCATGCAGACCCCTTTGCGAGATGTATGCGATCAGATGCTGAGCATCAGCTGGGAAAAACCAAGAAGTGAGAGCGAGAGTGTTTAGTCGAAGGTGTGGTGAATTTATGAGGGTCGCGCCAAAATAATATTCAGCAATGACCTTTACCACACGATAATGCCACCTTGCAAGGGTCGAGTCTAAATTGCATTCAGTAATGACCTTTACCACATGACAAAATTGCCAATCGATTGATCGCGTTAAGCTTTTTTGGCATTATGGCATTTTGCAGGACGCTCGTATACGTCCACTCTCTCTCTTTTCTTCTGATCGCCGATCGAAACGGACATCTCTCGCAGTGATTAAATCTTAAAACTTCAAAAAGTGAATATTAAATATTTGAATTGTTTGTACTGCAACAAGAGAGACCCGATTAACCCCAACTGGGAAAACCTTCAGCCGATCCCACGATCTGTGACGTGTAGAAAAGTGAAGTCAAGGAATTTGGGAATTCCCGGAATTTTGCGAATTCTAGGAATCGGTGAATTCGAGGAAACGGCTTCTGTCAACGGTAAGCCAGTGAACGGCTAAAGGCCTAGTGATTTAAACTAGTGTTTTTACAAGGGCGGAATTCCAAGAACGCCGGAGACGCCGAATTTGAGGAGGGACTTCTCCAGACGCCTGGCGCGTCACATCGTCGCCATACTTAGGCGATCGCATACAAGCACAACGCTGCACACGCGTGATCGTATACACGCACATAGCTGCACACGCGCGATCGCACACGCACATCGCTGCACGAGGGCGAAAGCACGCACATCGCCGCGCGAACGCGAAGGCGCCATCTTGCCTCTGCGCACACACGCGCAAACGCCTGCTGCGCACACACGCGCAAACGCCTTCGGCTCTCACGGACGCCGCATACAGGCAAACGTCGACGACGATCGACACGATCGTTCGTGCCCGCCTGGATCTCTAATTGGAACTTTTTGTATCGTATACATAAATTTTATTTTGCTACTTTAAACTCGTAAAACATGTACTTATAAACCTCTTCGACCCCGTTATAGTTTTATGGTGCAGCAGTAGAGGATTATATATTCGCCTTTTTCTTTCATAAAACAGCAACCACAACAACACCGTCAACAGGCCTGCTGACTTCGTTGGAATTGTCGTGAGTACGGCATAGCCGTGTAATCTCTTGTATTTTCGTATATTTTTTGGCCATATATATATATATATTTCCTATTGCTTGCAACCCTTGAATAAATATATGAAGTAAATGTGAGAAATCCTTTAAAGTTAGGAACCCATCTGATTTTGATACCTTTTCTTTTCTTTTCGAATTTATAAACACATACACATATCGATAGGTGATAAGCTTTTCTTAAATACTGTTAATTAGATTTAAGGTTAGGTTAAAATTTCAACATGTATATTATCGCTTTTCTTTCGTTTTCTTTATAATTATATTATATTCAACATGATTTAACTTAGTATTCTTGGAGGGCAAAGTTTTGGAAATGTAGCATAGCAGTTGATAAAGGGGTGGAATCTTCTCAGATTCCACTGGTAGGGTGGGTATAGAGGAGGCCATCACCATCTGGTCCTCCAACATCGATGGATACCTTTATTTTTCGTCCGATTCATAGCCGTTTGGTGTATGATCAGTTTTGGCCTTTTGTTTATCTCTGTCTACTATTTAATTCTGTAGCACCCCTGTTCTCTCTTAACACAAACCCACGCCACCTACCCTGAGCAGGCCGGACAAAATGTAGACAGAGCGTGTTGGGAGTGAGCAGCACTTGCGTGTGTGTTCGTTACAGAATTAATGGCGCCCAATCGTGAAGCCAGCGTAGCCTGATTAGGTTCTAGTCGTTGGACTCCCTAGCTTCCCGAAAATAGTATTTCCATCCAATGTTTTGAGTCGTAGTTTCAGTTGATAAATATATTCTCGTCTCGGATTTACTGGTAGTCTGGATAGTTTCGGACCCAGTCCAGCAGATATATTTATCATATAATTTTTCGTTTTACTATCAGTTCGGAAGCCGAACATTATAGAAAACGAGCTCCACCTTAAGTAAATTTTTCTTAGGATTACTAGTTCTGGTGTTGATCGGTTCTAGGCCAAGAGAAATTGCTTAAGCCCACTATCTTACCTAAGTGAAATCGAGATTTGCTCTTGCTGGATAGTTTCGGCAAGTTCCTCTTTCACTGGGTGAGACATCACACAATTTTATTTCCATAGTAAATCAGTTTCCACATACAGTTTATATTATCCATCGATGTTAAATTCCTGCTTATGCTGCTTTCCAAACATAAGTCCCTCAATTATCGTCAGTTTTATCGTTTACCGTTAGATTTATCGCTTATCGTTTGACTTATCGCTTACCGTCAGTTTTATCGCTTACCGTCAAATTTATCGCTTATCGTCAGAATTATCGCTTACCGTCAAATTTATCGCTTATCGTCAGAATTATCGCTTATCGTCAGACTTATCGCTTACCGTTAGATTTATCGTTTATCGCCTTTTTCATTTGTAAGAATCTTTTAGAAAGTTCTAGAATATTAGAATGCCTTTAGTACGTAGTACAGAAAATTTGGTCTCACTTGAAAGTGAGGAAGAGATAGGGATTTGTCTCATTTGCAATGTCACAATTGCTTCAGCAGACCTGCACGAAACAGGCTGCAAACATTCTTTTCATGTAGCATGTATACAAAATTGGCTACGAACCGATTCCAATTGTCCCACTTGTTCCAAATCTATTGGATCTCAGAGCGATCCAGGCGCGAGCTCGAACAGTCACAGAATGACAACTAGATCGAATTCACGCGCGCTCATGGCAAACGCTAATGCAAATCAACAGGACTCTCAGTCGATTCCTCAACAACGAGCGGATCAAGTGACTTCTCAGAACTCATCAGACGTAGACGAAAGTCGAATTCAGCAGTTAATCTCTCGTGCATTTGAGAGATTTCATGCACAACTTTCTATGGACATAACCAATCAGATCACTGAAGCTTTTCAGCAATTAAATGGATCTACAATGGGTGCAAATAATCAGCGTGTCGGCCATCAGGTCCAAGGAAATGGTTCAGCTCATCCAAGCAACCCGGTTGGCTCGGAAGGAACTCCGACTAGTGGTCGAAGCGGCCGCAGCCCACACAGCGATCTATCAATCGATCGCCCAGACAAGATCTCAAATACAATTTCGAATTGGCGCATCAAGTTCAGTGGCTCGCCAAGCGATATAACTATCGAAGACTTTATATATCGTGTAAATTGTCTAACTCAACAATCACTTGACGGAAACTTTATCGTACTCTGCCAATTCGCCAACTTGCTGTTTACAGGTTCTGCATTGTCGTTTTATTGGCGTGTTCACAAATCTGTAGTGTCGTTGAACTGGTCAATTCTATGCAGACATTTGAGAGAGCGTTATCAGGATCAGAGATCTGACCGTGAAATTAGGAATATTATGCGTCGCCGAAAACAAGGACATAACGAAAGCTTCGATGAATTCGTAGACGCCATGCTTTTAATTGCAGACTCTCTCCAAGAACCTATGCATGACGCAGACCTAACGGCGGAAGTTCGCCACAACCTCAAGCAAGAGTTAAAGCTCGAGTTGTTGCACCTTGAAACCCCAATTTTGGCTTCTTTGCGTAAAGAATGTTATCGCCATGAAGAATTTTATCGCAGTAATCGCACAAAGACTGTGAATCGTTTCAATCCTCCCAAACGAGTAAACGCTATCGAATGTGAAAACAATGATGAAGAACACTCCGTCGATGATAACTCAACAGTTGACAAAGTCTGTGCCATCAAGGTGGCAGAAAAGCTAACCTGCTGGAATTGTGACGCCAAGGGTCACAGGTACCATGATTGTCGTAAACCTCGCCGCATCTTCTGTTATGGTTGCGGTACCCCAGATACGTACAAACCCGACTGTGCCAAATGCGCATCAGCTTCGGAAAACTCCAAAGCGGATGTCCGTCTAGTCTCGAAAAGGGACATCCGACACTAACCACGAATGCTCAAGAGCCGGTAAAGGTGTTGCAATCAGCTGATTCTTCAGTGTCACCACCAGTTACATCGGACATATCACCTCCCAGACATTTCATGCTAAGGACATCTGGTGATTGCATTTGGACCCTTTCTTCAGTTTCTATTTTAATCGCAGGGACTAAAATAGAATCTGTGGTTATGAGGGTCGCGCCAAAATAATATTCAGCAATGACCTTTACCACACGATAATGCCACCTTGCAAGGGTCGAGTCTAAATTGCATTCAGTAATGACCTTTACCACATGACAAAATTGCCAATCGATTGATCGCGTTAAGCTTTTTTGGCATTATGGCATTTTGCAGGACGCTCGTATACGTCCACTCTCTCTCTTTTCTTCTGATCGCCGATCGAAACGGACATCTCTCGCAGTGATTAAATCTTAAAACTTCAAAAAGTGAATATTAAATATTTGAATTGTTTGTACTGCAACAAGAGAGACCCGATTAACCCCAACTGGGAAAACCTTCAGCCGATCCCACGATCTGTGACGTGTAGAAAAGTGAAGTCAAGGAATTTGGGAATTCCCGGAATTTTGCGAATTCTAGGAATCGGTGAATTCGAGGAAACGGCTTCTGTCAACGGTAAGCCAGTGAACGGCTAAAGGCCTAGTGATTTAAACTAGTGTTTTTACAAGGGCGGAATTCCAAGAACGCCGGAGACGCCGAATTTGAGGAGGGACTTCTCCAGACGCCTGGCGCGTCACATCGTCGCCATACTTAGGCGATCGCATACAAGCACAACGCTGCACACGCGTGATCGTATACACGCACATAGCTGCACACGCGCGATCGCACACGCACATCGCTGCACGAGGGCGAAAGCACGCACATCGCCGCGCGAACGCGAAGGCGCCATCTTGCCTCTGCGCACACACGCGCAAACGCCTGCTGCGCACACACGCGCAAACGCCTTCGGCTCTCACGGACGCCGCATACAGGCAAACGTCGACGACGATCGACACGATCGTTCGTGCCCGCCTGGATCTCTAATTGGAACTTTTTGTATCGTATACATAAATTTTATTTTGCTACTTTAAACTCGTAAAACATGTACTTATAAACCTCTTCGACCCCGTTATAGTTTTATGGTGCAGCAGTAGAGGATTATATATTCGCCTTTTTCTTTCATAAAACAGCAACCACAACAACACCGTCAACAGGCCTGCTGACTTCGTTGGAATTGTCGTGAGTACGGCATAGCCGTGTAATCTCTTGTATTTTCGTATATTTTTTGGCCATATATATATATATATTTCCTATTGCTTGCAACCCTTGAATAAATATATGAAGTAAATGTGAGAAATCCTTTAAAGTTAGGAACCCATCTGATTTTGATACCTTTTCTTTTCTTTTCGAATTTATAAACACATACACATATCGATAGGTGATAAGCTTTTCTTAAATACTGTTAATTAGATTTAAGGTTAGGTTAAAATTTCAACATGTATATTATCGCTTTTCTTTCGTTTTCTTTATAATTATATTATATTCAACATGATTTAACTTAGTATTCTTGGAGGGCAAAGTTTTGGAAATGTAGCATAGCAGTTGATAAAGGGGTGGAATCTTCTCAGATTCCACTGGTAGGGTGGGTATAGAGGAGGCCATCACCATCTGGTCCTCCAACATCGATGGATACCTTTATTTTTCGTCCGATTCATAGCCGTTTGGTGTATGATCAGTTTTGGCCTTTTGTTTATCTCTGTCTACTATTTAATTCTGTAGCACCCCTGTTCTCTCTTAACACAAACCCACGCCACCTACCCTGAGCAGGCCGGACAAAATGTAGACAGAGCGTGTTGGGAGTGAGCAGCACTTGCGTGTGTGTTCGTTACAAATTTTAGGAAGGTGCACTACAAAAAATAGTACTGAAGAGCACTATTAATCAGTTTATCCCTTACAATTTCATTATCGAAATCAAAATTCCAATCCAAGAAACTTCACTTGATACTTATGAGCTTTTCAAACATGAGCTATAGTCTAAGAAAATCTATTAGGCTTATGTTTGTATCTACTATTTTCATTTGTGCACTCGGGAGTGTGGTGGGATACTTCAGACAAGGCGTGAGATACTTTCGATTTCTTGCGCCACGCAAGATTAGCATACAATGCATTCGATTCCCAGCACTTACCGCCACTTAGGAATGATGCAATCCAGTAGCAGACCACCGCGAGCCACAAAAGGTGTCCCGATTGAGCCATAGTTCTGGTTTCAGCTCCCGGAATAACCAGATCACGCGAAAAATACTGTTCAAGTGGATGTGGCAATCGTGGCTGACTTTCACATCGTAGTGCGCATGCGTGCGCCTCGAAACTCGAATGAAAACTGGTCGCCCGAAGGTTTCGGTTTTGGCCATCGACTTGGCCAAGTGTGGGGAGTTTCTCCGCCTTGCTGGCTCCCCAGCTTTAGCGGCGCTTTTGTTTTGACCTCTAACTGGTTTCCGGCACGGCTCAGCTGAGTCAGACACTCCACCCTTCCCCCAGAGAAACCCCTCCCCTGGGAAAGTCAAACTTCGGTGGCTTAGTAGTTTTTTCAAGACGACTCTCTTATGCTTTATTCCAAGACTTCGTCATCGTATCATCATCTAGTTATGTTGTATAAAAACAGTTACTTGTTTTCTATCTTTTTAATTCTTTTTGTTAATATTTCTGACCGGGTTAAAAAATTTTCAGATTTTTCTCATCTTGCCGTGTATAGCTTAATTTATACTGAAGTAAAGATTCGATTCGTATTTAACAACTTGTTGCATGTTGCATTTTGAAATGGATTGGTGTGTGTGGTGTGTGCTCGTGTCGAGTATTGAGTATTGAGTGGTGAGTAATAAGTAATTAGTGTAAGTACATAGTATACAGGTTGGCTTGTTCCGATCAGCCTAGGTACAAGTGGTTATAGGGTACCTTATTCAAACTAAAACGCCGTGTCCCCACCTCATCCCGGGGAAAAAAAGGATCCTCCTCGAAGCTTCAAAACGCATTAACTAGAAACACTGGGTTGGTTGTTTGATCGTTTCTTCATATTTCAGATATCATTTTGGGTTCTTGTTGTTATGTTTGGTTTATAACGCTGATAGTTCATAAGCAGAAAGTTGTGGTGGTGATCGGGTTATGTAAATTCGCATTAAACAATTTGAGTGAATGAACTTAATGTTTCTCTGTTATTAGCCTAACTCTCGATAACTTGCAATAATATTGATAACTCATAACTGATAATCGTAATTGATATTGAAATTGAAACTGAGTAACGAACGATAGATATGCATAACGGTAAATATTGTGTTCATAGAAGGATAAATATTGGCTCTCAGTTAAATGTCCCTAACAATAGTTTGCTATAGGTTGCCTCTCTCTCTCCTGGTCCTGCGAGATTCAACGAACGAACGAATGAACATCAGAACTCACAAACTCGCTAAAAAAAATTCGTATTCATATTCATATTCATATTCAAATTCAAATTCAAGTTCAAGTTCAACTGGAGGGTCCAGGCCTAACGAATCCAGCCTGGCGACCCATCAACATCTTCATCTTTTCCTTCGACTTCCTCCCTACATCATCATCACATCCTCGTTTCCGATTCGATCTCAATCTCGATCTGTTACTCATCTCTCTCGGTCTGCGGTTCTTCAAAGGACAGCGATTAAAATAGACACGGCTTGGTTGTTGTTTTAAAGTTTTTTTTGTTGATTTTATAGGTGTTTTAAATAAAATAGATAGCATTGTTTTATAAATTTTACGTGTAAAATTTAACAGTAAATCAACTAGAAAACTAACGCGTCAGTTCTTGCCGTGACAGTGAACGTGATCGTAAGTATCCCTAACTATGATGGACAGATACATATGGTAAATGGCTACGAGTTGGTTCTGATTTCGATCGCTACCAAGTGTTGCTGAAGAAGTTCAGATTCGGTTGTTGTGATCGGATGTTGCTGATCTGTTGGTGGTATTTGGTATTTGGTGTTGTTCTTGGTGGTGGTTAACAAAAGAGATTACAAGATACTGAGAATCTACATATGTAAACGAGCGGTTCTTTTAATTACGTTTATTATTACTGATTTGACTGATTGATTTAACGTTCTGATTCTGGCTGTAATATGGATGCTGAGTTAGAAGTTAGGATGTGATCTGGTGATCTCGGATGGCTTAGGCGGCCTCCTCCTCCTCCTCTTCACCCTTGCCGGTGAGCATCTCAATCAGGGAGGCGGTATCGATCTGGTTCTTGTCGTCGATCACCATCTGATCGTAGGCATCATCGACCTCCTTCATGGTGAACTTGTCACCGAAGTTCATGAGCATTTCGCGGAATTTGTCACCGTCGATGAGACCATCGTTATCGAATGTTTTGAAGGCAGCAATAACAACTTCGTCTTCATCGTTGGCACCGGAGGTGGCCATGCGGTTGGCGAACAGGGTCAGCAACTGGGTGAAGTTGATCGGACCCGAGGCCTCGCCGAGCATAGCGTCCAACTCCTTGTCGTTGGCGATCTTGCCGACGGAGTCGAAGGCAGCGCGCAGATCGTTCTTGCCAATAATACCGTCCTTGTCGGCATCCATGAGTTGGAAGGCCTAATCGATCCCGCACGCAGAAGACAGAGAGATAGAAAGAAAGAGTGGGTTGGTGACTTGGTCCTTGACAAGTGCGATATTTGATGGCAGCGTGATTAGATGGTGGGATGGTAGGATGACGGGATGGGATCGGAGTGCTATGAAGAGGCTCTCGTCGAAACTCACCTCCTTGAACTCGGCGATCTGCTTCTGGGAGAACACAGAGAAGACCGAGGAGCCAGCGCGCTTCGACTTCCTGGAGCCACGGGATCCGCCCGACGCTCTCTTCGAACCAGTGGCAGATGCGGCCGGGGCAGGAGTTGCGGCTGGTGCCGGGGTTGCTGCCTCGGATGCGGCCTCAGAAGCGGTTTCGGAAGTACCACCCTCTTCCTTGGTCTTCTTCTTCTTAACCTTCTTCTTCTCATCGGCCTGGGGGGAAAATAAAGGGGTTCCATTAGTGGGTAATACGGTTTTTGGGGTCTTAAAGTCGGTATAGTCGCGTTTCAGGTCGGTTGGATAGTCTGCATTTGGAGGATCTCCTACTGGAAGGTTTTCGGCGATGAAAACATCAGAAAGATTTATTCGAGAGAAGGGTTGTCTAAAAGATTCCCATATGGTAGGTATTCCTTTAAAGGATCTATGTTTGGAACTTATGTCCTCTATTCATGTTTAGCTTTAAAAAGTTTTCCGAATCAGAAGTTTTTTTTAAAAAATTTACTTATTTTAAAAGTTATCCATCAAAAGTAGCCAGAAAATATGTATCTGGGGCGAAAGTTTTCCTCTCGGCTAAAATTAGACCGGGGTCGCAAGTTACGTAAGCTTTCCGCCGTGCGTCACTCGCCGTCCCGCTCGCTCCCCGACACGGATATCGGATTACGTTACTGACGCGTAACACTCGGATCGGATCGGATTGGATCGATCCATTTATAGAACTTTCAGCACTATTCTCACTATCGAAAGGTGACTTGGGATCACCGTTAAGTTTAGAGTTCACTTCATATTCATATATCCTCGGTCTTTCTCAAATGCAAACGGTTCACTGCACTGGTCGGGCGTTATCCTTGCTGCGTATATCCAGGCAGTTCGGTCGGTATTCCGGAGTGGGTCGTATCCTTACCATGGTGCTGAACTTTGATGTGTTGTCTAATCGAGTCGAGCCGTCAGAGCACACTGAATCTCTGGCTGATTTTATCGCCAAGACAATGATGTTTTAAGAGCTCGGAGGAGCTCTTCTTCTTACCCCATTTGGGGCATTTCGTCGGGGATTCGGCCGAGTTCGGGGGCCTTCGGGTCCCGTCCGCTGTATCTGTATCTGCTATATTCGTGCTGCCTTTTTTAGTATCTGCAAGGCGAGGTCCGCCCAGGCGATCGGCGGGGTGCTGGCGACCATATCTATATAGCTATAGCCGTGGGGTATAGCCTACGGTATAGCTGTATCCAAGTTGTTTACTCATCGGGCGCTGCTCTAATCAAAAATCTAATTTTAAAGGCAGAGAAAACGCTTTTGGCTTTGGCTTTTGGGCAGAAGCCTATACATATGTTCGGAATTTATTTCGGTGCGATTCGGTTGGCTTCGGCTCTCTGTTGTGGATACATTTCCCCATCTTCAGATGTTGTTTTGTTTTCATTATTTTATTTTGTTCTGGCCGGCCCATCTCTTTCTTAGAGGCCACCTCCGAAAGGTGTCCTCTTGCGCTGAAATCACCTACATTTCCCTTGGCAGCACATATCCGAAAAGCCCCCACACATATAGCCAATGTCTATTCACGCCTATATACTCGATGTTTGCCTTGCCTATTTCTACGCTCGCATTTTACGTTTCTTTTCTGCTTTCGAAATGCCCCGAACATTGTGCAATATGAAGAGAATTCCAAATCTATAGATCTGTATATACACAGAGATCGGGCGGATTTCGTGTCGCATAAATATCCAACGAACCCGATATTAGACCAGAGTTATTTCGGCAACAAATGTGGAATAAACATCTGGCTATCTATATTAGAATGATCCATGGACATTGCATAACGATCGGGAGACTCTTGGTCTTCCGATTTTCCCATTTCAATCATATCAACTAAACTTTGTTATTAAACGTCATGGTATATTGAACTTGTTAGGAAAACCATTTAAAATATAACTATAATTGAGAATACTATAATTAATTTGGGGGTATTGAGATTATATTTACATTTTATTTTTTTTTTTTTTAACATGGTAAGGATCACCGACAGATTAAATTCCAATGGTGTGTGTCATTTGTAACAAGCAATATTATTCTATTATTAACTTACAAATTGTTAGTTCATATTCTTGGATATATTTAAAGAACTGAGGAACGGCATTCTTAATGTTGACTTTGTGAAAACATTAGCTTTTTCTTAAAGATCCTTCGCTTTCCAAGAAACATTGTAAAATGCAAAACATTTCAATAACAAAAATTTACCTGCTATCACTTATAAAATTTGGGTGGTCACCTAAATGAAGTCCCCCCTTTGCAAATGGTATAATTAATGAAGGTTTTATGCATGAATATCAAACGGAAAACATCTCAATTAATAATGGGGTCCGTGCGAAAAATCCTTCATAATTCATCGATCAGACATAATGAAAATCGATTGCGGCTGCAGTCTTCTTCGTGCTCCATTGAAAGTGATTTTCGGCGAAACTCTCTTGGCGCTGCAATTTTGGCACGTAACCAGGCGACATTTTGGCCTCGGGCCAAGCAAAATAAGAATATGTAGAAGGAAAACTGCCCACAATCTAATACGCAATGTAGCATTGAATGTATTGCGAAAATATAAATAGAACAATGTGCAAAAAACGAGCAAGACGCAGTCAAAGGAATGTTCAAATTAATGAAAACTGCGGCAAATGTATTCAATTTTCCAAGGTGCGGAAGGTATCTGGGAATATTAATGATTTGACACTTTGGAAGTATTGTTTATGGAGAGGTTAACAATCAAATAGAGAAACAACAGCCTACACATAACATTTGTTTATCTCATAGTATTCTAAATTTAAACGCCGAATCATCTTTAACGATTTACTAGATATACACAGTTCCACCTGATACATAGGCGAACTTGGAGGCTGCTCAATTGGGAGGTCGGACGTCATTGGGAATCAACTGTATTCAGTGCCCGCAACGCATTCCTAACACATCTTCGCTCTTCAGGCTTTGGCCGCCCGATGGCCGAAAATAGAAGAGCCAACGCGAACCACTGTGCTGCCCATTTCGATCTGAGGGAATAGTTCGGATTATACAGAGGGATCTTAGCCAGTCTGGTTCTGACTTACCGCCTTGTCGAAGTCGTTGGACATTCCCATAGACACTAGCACCGAATCTGAAGCCAAAGAGTGCGCCTCACAGATAGAATTATGCACTTTCATAAGGGATACAAAATCCGGATTGGGCCCATTGCTGTAGTCGAAGCCAAAAGCACCGATCGTCATTATGCCCCTAAGGTTAAGATGTTTCAGGTTACTCCTGATGAACTGGTAAAGCCCAGGAGCATCCTTGGGTTCGATTCCGCTCTTGACTAGGGCAAGAATTATTTGGCAAAGTAAGTATGTAGCTGGCTCTTGTTACTGTTTCAAACTTACCATCTTCGCCACTGGTATTGATCTGAATGAGTACCTCCAGCGGATCCGTAGGAGCAGGTTGTAATTTCGACCAGGCTGCGTCCAATTTGGTTGCCAGCTTCTCACTGTCTACGGTCTGGATCATCCGCAGGTTCTTAACGGATAAAACCTGTAAGAAAGTTAAAAAAGAAATTAAATAAGTTAACTTGTTGGTCACTCAGACACTTCGGGTTGCCACAACTTAATCTTCATTCCAGCTGACCTTGTTGATTTTGTTGCTTTGCATGTGACCTATAAAGTGCCACCTAATGTCAGGGCACTTGGCCAGAATGTCAGGATGCCGGCTCTTCTCCTCCAGTTCCTGCACGTAGTTCTCTCCGAAATCTCTTTGTCCAGCTTCGTAGGCCTCGATTACGGCTTCCGCTGGCTTTGTTTTACTGACTGCCACAAGAAGAGGCTTTGCAGCTTGAATTTCCTGCAGAAAAGATAAGGGTTTCCATACAGAGAGCCATAAACTAGATAAGTAAAAGGCCGATCTCACCTTGGGACGCTGCAGGAGCACCTCGTCAATTCTTTTCAACACGTGCTGCAGGCCGGCTTTCACGTCAAATTCCGCCATTGTGCGTCTTAGCATGAATCTAGGGAGTATTTAATTAGTTGTTTTCTTTACATAAAACCCCAGATAAATGGTAGTTATAGTAGTTAACTCACTGATAAGAAATTAACCTTGTAGAAATAAAAACAAAACTCGCTAGGCTGAAGAATCAGCTGTTTGACAGTGCGACCGCTGCCTACAAAAATATACCATGCATTTTAAGAAATGGTATTTTTATTTTGTTCAAGGCGGGAAACTTTAAACTCCAACGCAACATTTGGAAAATAACAAAATAAAACGTAGTTTTACTGGGATTATAAATTAAAGTAGTTAGCAAAGGTAACGTAACTTAAACGGTTTACTTCGCTTGTATTTCTTAAATAAAATCCAATTGCCTTTGCCTCGCCACTCGTTTGAACCTTTCCAAAACCCTGTGCCAGGGAGAAATGCCTTCACTGGTACGCCAGCAGAATCCTCTACTTGAACCATGGCGGACGCCATCAGGTGCGCGTGTGAATCGTTTAACTCCGTGGTGGAGTATTTGGTAACCTTAAGAATTTGCGAAGTCCGGCACTTACTCGAGTTCCTCGGAGTGGCACACGCAGAGGTCCTCGTAGGTGTCGTTCTCTTCGTCCTGATGCAGTTTACCAAGTTCACGGTCGTTCTGCTGTTGGCTGTTTTCCTGGCCTACGGGATATTCTACCTGGTAGGTGGATACTCTTCTATTGTTAAAGCCCTTATAACAAAAGGTTCCACAGTGGGAGACCTTCTTTCCGGAAATCAGTCAGTTAGGTCGCAGGAGCATGAAGATGTTTCGAAATGTACGCACCTCCGCCAACTTGCCGCCTTTTGCCTCAGATACTGAAGAAACTCCTGGTAGGTTGACACATTAAGTGGATTTGGTGCAATAAGTAAAATATTGATCCCTTTAGGAGAGTACACACTCAGCTCAAAAGTACAACAGTACACCAGTGGCATTATGACCCCTCCGAATACTATGAATATGCCTATGCTTCTCCCTCTTTTGGAAACGAATAATAGAGTAATGAGGACAACCAGCATGCAGACAGGTCGCCATCGAAGGGAGGAGGAAAACAGGAGGGGATCTCGCGGCCATCAGTCATTTCATCGGGAAACACAAGAAGCAGGAAAGCATCGTCAGGAACGTCCTTATTGGAGAGCTGTGAGCCCCGAACCCGAAAGGGAGCACCGTTCCTCCAGAAGAACTTCCCGCGGAGGCGGTGGAAGTGGTGAGTCGAAGAAGATGACGAATGTCCCGCGAGTCCCGAATGCGACTAGTGGAGTGGTGGACACTCGAACGCTTACAAGCGTGACCAGTGACCAACTTAAGCGGCTGCACAATATCACAAGTGGGGAGTCAAGAAGAGCATCCAAAGGAGCAAGTGGTGCCAACGAGTCCAAAAAGTTGCACAACATAACCAGTGGAGAAATCCATCAGTCCCGACGGATGCAACCAATTACGAGCAACACCAACGAATCGCGTAGATTACAAAATGTGACCAGTGGTGAAATCAAGGACTCCCGGAGACTTCAAAACATAACCAGCAACACAAACGAACCGCGAAGACTGCGTAATATAACCAGTAGTGAGATGAAAGAATCCAGGAGGAGCTCACATCCACATGGGGGTGGTGAATCCCGACGTAATTCTAATTCCCAAAGAGATGGAGGAGGTGGGGAGTCCAGGAACCGTCGTATTGCGGAAAAATCTAATCCACTTCAAGGTCGTCGACCGGAGGAGCATTCGAGGCACCGGCGTAGCAATAATGGCCATTCCGGAGTTACCAGGCGTCAGTTTCCGGAAGATCACTACGATCGGCTGAGGAACGAAAATCGAGAGTACCAGGCCCGGCGGCTGCAAGCTAGTGGGGCCGCAGGATTCCATCATAGTATAAGTAATCCCACCTCCGAAGGCGCTTCGCTGACCAAACAAGATAACTTTATTGCCGGTCATCGACAAAGTGACAGGCGTGAATCCCAAAGGAACCCCAAGTCAAGTGAGTAAACAGGGAGAAGTTTATCACCGAAAAATGATTTTAAAAAAATTATTTATAATAGACAATCCAGGCAAGGATGCCGGTCATCGGCACGGACCACGTCGCATGGTGAATCCAATTCTTTAAAATGGATAGAAACAGTATTCGGAAAAAATCCACCTTTCAAAGTGGGGCTGACAAGTATGCTTGTTATCCCATTTTAAGGGGTCTCAACAATAATTGTTTTCTCCAAAGCCCAAGCTCTGAAACGAGAACAACTATCCAATTCAACGAATATCCCAAGACGGTCGATAGCAACGACGACACAGATGAGAGGCCAAGTAAAGTTTCAGTCCAAGTGGTTGTAATAGATCCGAAAATGCCCATAGGTAAGGATAAGGAAATAAATAAGGGGCAGAGCAGTGAACAAGTAAATAACCCAAAGGAGTATCCTTTTGTCGTGGAGATACCCGAGCAAAGCGAAAATCCGAAAAAGAAAAAGGGAAGCTTTGGCGCCAAACCAAAAGACAAATTAGGCGAGCAGAAAAAAAAAGAAAAAGACTGAAGCTCATTATGAATTTTTATCTAAATTACATGTTTTTTCAAAGAAATAAAAGGCAATAGTTATTTTATGAATTAATTTTTTAATCTGTTTTGTAAAATCTTGTTTAAAAATATGATATTTAATTGAAAAGTAACGTACTTATTCGCGAAATCCCCTAACGCTTTTAATCAGCTGTTTTTGGTATGTTTCAGTATCAAAATCTGGTGAGTTGGCAGCCCCGGCACAATATTTATGTTTTGCATGGGAAGCAAAAGTAAATTGCATTCCATAAACTCGTGAAAAATTAGATTATCGGGCTAATGCCATTCCGATTAGCTCTATCACGATGACGATCTTTAATCTGTACATATTCGACAAGTTTGGCACACTTCTACATTACGCAGAATGGAATCGCACCAAAAAATCGGGAATCACGAGAGAGGAGGTGAGCCATGAAATATAAAACGTTATTTATTAATCATTTGGTTGATTATCCGTAGGAAGCAAAACTAACATACGGAATGCTCTTCTCCATCAAGTCATTTGTGAGCAAAATATCACCACACGACCCTCGCGAGGGATTCCTGTACTATAAGACTAACCGCTACGCCCTACATTATCTGGAAACTCCCTCGGGGCTAAAGTGAGTTAAGATTTGCATACAAGTTGAAACCAAAAAAATCTTATCAAAACTTTGAGAAAAAACTATTTCGGCATCATGTTTTGGTTATATTGTAGTATAACTAGTTTATCTTATATATCTTGCTTCCAACTTTCTGAATACTTCCTTCCTATTAACACCTCGTTATTTTTACGTCTCAGGTTCGTTCTCAACACGGATACGACGGCCATCAATGTAAAGGAACTGCTGCAGCAACTGTACGCCAAAGTGTGGGTGGAGTACGTGGTGCGGGACCCACTGTGGACGCCAGGTACTGTGGTCACCTCGGAGCTGTTCCAATCCAAGTTGGACGAGTTCGTCAAGCAGTCCCCCATCTTTGGCATTCGCAATATTTAAACAAATAAATAGCTCTAAACTCATTTTCCCATTACCCAGCTATGCGAATTTCAGCTTTGAAAGTCAAAGGTCTATGTCATTAGCTTCGCGAACTGCAAATTGCCCTGACAAGTGCTCCGAAATGCAGCCCGCGAGATCCGGGCTCCGGAAATGACAAAAACTGTCTGCGGGGCCGGCGAGTAAAACTCGCCTCCATGTTGCGCAAGCCCAGTCTTTTTCAGTTATTCACTGTTTACTGTCCGGTAAGCAGGGCCCAGTGTAAAATAACCATTGCTGGCAAAGGGGGACAAATGTCAAAGCGGTTGCTGCAACATTGAGATTTTAAACAGCACCTCGAATAATCTGGCTGACCGACTGTCTAAGCGGGTGTTGTTGCAGGCTAGAAGTATCTGCACGGATAAAAAATGTATCAATCTTTCGGATTTCTTTCTCTTAGACACTCCTTACAAATCTGCTCAACGTGCAATTCAGACTTTGTTCGCTGGTTGAAAGAGCTTCTCCAAACTTAGTATAACGTTAAAGATAAACGTTAGATAAAATCAAATATGCATATCGTTTCCAATTAATAGGGCAGCTGAAATTAGTTTTTATAAGTTTTATGGCTTTTTGAATATTAATCCACTGGTAGAGATATTATTGCCAATATTTTGCAAAACGAAACTATTTCGTTATGATATAATTTGTCTGGTAAGAAAGTGAACTGACCTTTTTGGACCTTATTTTTACCCGTGTAACTGCAATTTTTGACAGACACCTGAGTTCGTCAAGGGTTTTCGCAACTTTGCCTGAAAGCCGCGGAAAATGAAAATGATTTGCAGAATGCATCCATAATCGGGGGAGCAGCACGTGTACCTTAAAAAACCAGTCGCTTTGGCTTCGGCTAGCGGATTTCCAACGGCAGCATGAGCGGGCAGATATAAAAATACGGCACACAGACAACGCCGGGAATGCTCTTTCCTATATGCCCGATGTCTCACTTATTCAAAAATTTTTGTGCAAGTCACAAGACGCTTGAACTAAATATGTTTTGTATGTTTTAGCGCTCTTTCGCATTGTCTTTGACGAATTTTAAAACGGGTTTCCAGCATTGCAAAAGCCTCTGGCGGGACAATAAAAATGGAACCACAAAGCGGTTTCTTTTCTCCGCGATCGAAGAAATCAATTTCAAAGCCAAACGCCCAGGCCGAAAAGCACAAATAAATCAAATGGTCGCCCAGCCATCAAGAGCTAATGATGGACCCATGGACCACCGGAATTCGACCCGAGAAAAACCGAAAACTTAAACGCACGCACAAGTTACAAAACACATAAAGGTGCCCTTTCAAAATCGGCAATTGCATAGACTCCCAAACTAATACTCGCAGATAGGTATCTTGTGGATACCAGTTCCGAAAGAGAGGCTGCATATCGGCGATCATATGGGTGTAGGTATATTATGGCTACAGGTCTCCGATGTCATCGCATCGGCTTCCAATTAGCCGTGGATCTGAGAGGGCGTTTAAGGGGTATCCGGGGAACCCGGAGGGACAAAGTCTGGGCTTTCTGTTTTCATTCGCAAAAGTTACGCAAAATTCGGGCCACACGACTTGGGTTTTCATCACCAACTCCGCATCACGGCAAGGTTATAAACGGTTTGCTGGTCAGCGGCTAGGAATTGGAAATTGTCGCCCGGTCACGTCATTAAATGACTGCTATCTTGATTGCTTTACGACCGCTGCAACCTTTTCCCGCGCGTAATTAAATGTTTAACGAGCAATTGTGGCGGTATTTAATTCATTTCCACGGAGAAAGAAGACGCATCTCTGAAGAAACTCCATTGGACCACCCACACAAGTCTCGTGTGGCGATCAAGGCCCTTCGGCGAACCGGAGGCGGACCTGATCTGCCAAAATTCCCATAAACCAGCCCATCGGCAATCTCAACTGGTATGCAAATTTGGTAGGCCTAACGCTTACCAAATTTTGTTGTTTTGCGAGCCAAATTGGGGGAAATGCTCGAAAAGAAATCCCATAAATTTCGCATAAATCTCGAGACAAAGCAGTCAGAGTTCAAAGCAGGGCGATATTGTTTACCTGGAAGGGCCATAGTGATCCATATGGTTGGAGGCTCCACTGAACATGTGCCGGAATATTAATTAGCACCAGCTAAAAATATCTAACCAGAATGATTAGCATTCATGTATATGCAACAGCCACGAGTCCCTATAGTTAAAAGGCCCCAAAACCTTCTAAATGAAAGTATTGAAGCACGTTTTTAGTTTTAAGAATATAGAGGAGAGATCACGGGTTTTTGCATAATACTCTGAAGAAAATTTTTTACCTTTCGTTTAAGAGCTTAGTGATTTATTCAAATGTTTTGTAAATTTCGGCTTAAATATAAAAAAACCGTTTGCGTCTTTCCAACTAGCTTAATAAAAAATCATCTTAATAAGTCATTCAAAAAGAATATAATTTCAGCAGGAATTAATTATTTTTAAGGTTCCTGTTTCCACCGCCACACTAGCTCATATTTTCCAATGAGTGGCTGCCAATGGGTTGGTGTAACTCGGATCCAGCCCCTCTGGGGCAACCTTCAATTAACTAGGCCCACAAAAATGGGCTAAATGGAGTGCTCGTTTGCTGTCCACTGGCTCGTCACCAATTAGGTGACGATGACAGCCCCACAGAAAGCGCTAATGAGATGACGATGACACGATAGGGTCTTTTTTTTTGGCAATCGCTTGGATTGTTGATATTGGCAAAGCACTTGACCTTCCCAGCAAGTGGCGTGCAGGTTCAGTACACAGAAAAAAAAGTTAAAATATTTATACAAAATTAGTTTTTGAAGCTGCAAGGAAGATTATTTAATCGCTTTTATTCCAGAAAAGGTATTGCCTAAACAGCTCCTGTGAACTAATTTGTCAAAATATCTGGGTATGCCCGTAAATAAATTACTTATGAATATTTATAAAGCTTCAATATTTTCGCTCTATAACTAAACGAAGTGGGGCAGGAATAATGCATTTTTATGACCGCCGGGAACTCCCATCCACTTTAGTTCCATGATGTAGGGGCGATGCTCCAGGAACTCCCCTTGACTGTCTGATGGCTTGAACCTTTTCAAGGTTCTCGTTCTTCAGTTTGCGATTGGCGTACGTGCCAAAAGCACGTAGCCCGGTTTCAGTCGGGGATCGACGGGGAAAGTAGGGGACCTAACCAATCGATTAAGGGACTATAATAGTCTAGTCGCAGTTCTTTGTGTCAGTTCCTACCAAACAACAACAGGTGAATTTCTGGATCGGATGCCTCGTTTGTCACGTAGTCCAGAGTCTAAAAAAAAACCTGTTGAGTCTAAAACGCCGCCTAAAACGTGGCCTAAAACAGCGACTAACTCTGCACGAGTTACACCTCCCAACCCACATAAATGTGTAATAACAATGGTGATGATGCTGATGGTCATAACAATGACAACAATGACAACATTTCCCATTTCCATTTGCATTTTCATTTCGCTTTCGTCACAGACTGAAACTGTCATTAAGTGTGGCCGGTAAATAGTTTCGTTTCAGTGGGTGGGTGAAAGGGAAATCCCATCGTGGGTTTGCCACCTTAATTTGCATCTAAACTGAATAACGAGCGAGATGCTCAAAGTGGGCGATCATCTCACCTACTACAAAGCCCGCTCAATGATTGTTAAGATACACTAAAAGTAGGTTTTTATATGCACTGGTTATCACCGTTATTATATTTTAATAGCTTGAAAGTCTTTTGTGTCATATATATTATAATGAGGGAAGCCTCGCAGAAAATTGACAAGTACATAATGCATCTCAACCTTCTAAATTCCGCAAGTTGGCTTGTCAGTAAGTTGAACTAAATCAACTGTAAGCGAAACTCAACTTTTTTTTTTTTCAAAAATATATGCCTATAACTGTCTTGACTTATTAATGACTCACTAGCACAGTTTGGCTGAATTCATACAATGGGATTGTTTTCGGATTTCGCAACTTCAACATTGACGTCAATTGTTGATATGGGCTAGGTATGGTTAAACTTATGAGTATATATTCAGAAACCGTTTTTGTACTTCTTGTTTACTATGGTTGATATTCAAGGGTTCTTAAAACATTAATACACAGAGCTTCCTATGTGAATAATCCGAATAGAATGGATGATTTACTTTAGATCACGAACGCCAACTTTTGATGTCTGGTAAACTCCGTAAAATTTATTCAGTAATACTTTTCGCACTTTTGGTTCATTTGAATAAATAGGTTTTTTCCAGGCATCAAAAAGTTTCCAAGTTTACTTCTGTGGTTTTGACCGAAGGAACGGAATTACTTCATGTCATATGTCCATATATTAGTCACTCCTCAGCAAAAAGTATTTACTTTAGCGACCCCCGATCATCAACCAATTGAAATGCGATTTACTTTGAGTTTTCGAATTGTTTTTATTTGTAAATATTTATTCTCTTTTATTTGTCTCGGACGGAGAGCATATTTTGTTGTTGGCGTTTATACGTAAATTTGTGTGTGACTTATAACTTATGTCGTACCGTGCTATCTGCTAAATACCTAAACCTACACAAATGAAGATACGAATATGAGTGGATGTGGGTGTCTTTGTGTGAGTGTTAACCGTTGCGGTGCAGGTGTGTTGGTCTTGGAGTGAAGATATAGATAATGATAGATAGAATAGGGTTTAATTTAAAAAACGATTATCGACTATGTCCCGCCCTCGCATAGACGCAAGATTAAGTGACGATCCTTCCCATCAGTGATCCGCGAGCCCATCTCGATCTCTGCTTTCCGGACGCCCGTATCCCGGCTCCGAGCTCCCTAGTTGGCCGCCTTCTTCGACTTTTTCATCCGCTCGCCCTCGTTCTCGTTCTCGTCCAGCTTCGCGCTCTCCGTGCTGCTGGACTCGGCGTCGTACTCCAGGTCAGGGTCGGGCACCTCGGCGTAGTGCACGTGGCCCACCATGGTGGCCCCGGCCACCACGCCCTCCTTGAACTCCTCGGGGCCGCCAATCTGGGAGGCGTGGGTGCCGTCGCCGTACTTCTCCAGGGTGCGGCGCACCAGCTCCTTCGACGGCTGCTTCATGTTCCAGGCCCAGCCGAGCTTGTGGAAGGCGTCCAGCACCATGGTGGTGAAGTTGACCTTGTAGTTGCCCAGCTCGGCCGCCTTGTAGTCCCAGGGGAAGACGTGGTGGTAGTTGTGCCACCCCTCGCCCATCGCCAGCACGGACACGTAGATGTTCTCGCTGGGCATGATACGCCTAATGGGGGAGATTGAGGGGATCAGTTAGAAATACCTTTGTACAACTGGGGAACTATTCGACACTGACATTAAAACTGAATCTTTTAGGTTATTTTATATCAACAGTACTTAATGTAGCATTATTATTTACTTTGCTCTTCATTCTATTTTGAACTAAAGGTGCTACCAATTGCTCGTTTGCTAAGTCATCAGAATAATGGATATAATACACGTAAAAGCAGTGACCTGCATTCTTGCTCTACTTTCAATTAGCTAATGTCAGCATCTTACTGTAGTAGTAATAATAGTAATATCCGAGGAGAAACACTCACTTATCGTAGGGACGGGATCCCCAGAGATGGGCGGCGCTGTTCACGGACCAGGTGAAGTTCAGGCTGCTCACGTAGCGGAAGAGGCACTGCTGCACGAAGGCCAAGCCCCAGGACTCTCCCCAGCAGTAAACCGGGATCACGGTGGGCAAGATGAAGCAGAAGAAGATCTTCAGGGGGATGAAGTACTTCTGGTGGAACCGCACCACGGGGTCCGCCAAGATGTCGCTCATGTCGATCTGGCGACCGCGGCGGAGGACATCCGGGTGCTTCAGCATCATCAGCCATCCCACGTGGGAGAAGAAGAATCCCCTGTTGGCGTTGTGCGGGTCCGCATCCGTCTCCGAGTATTTGTGGTGGACTCGGTGGTCGCGAACCCAGTCGTACAGGGTGTTCTGAAAGAAATAGTTTGCTGGGTGTTAAGAAACGTAGTAAAAATGGTATTCAATTTAGCGATTTTTATCTCCCCTGTCCATAAAGTGCCTCCTGCGAAGATCTGAATCTTAGTGCGAAATGTTTAGTTTTCAGCGGGGCTCGTTTAACACGCCATCAATTTGATTGTCCCCCTTAATGTCCAGGTCGCTCAAAACTCGAATATATGTACATATCTTTCACGCTCCGCATCTGAGCTTCTGCGACTGCGAACTGCTGCGCTTAATCGCTGCAGTCATTAAAAAAGACAAATGTTTCTGCGAGGCACACAAAGCACTTTGCCGAGTAGTTGGAATTGTCAATTTTACAGTTTGTCAGTCGCGACAGGCATTAAGTTGTTATACTTAATGATGCAATTAATGTTAATTGCATTACAGCCCCGAAAAAAACCGAAGGTGGCGCGAAAAATGAATTGGCAAATTGCGGCCCAGTCTTCAGGTGGCATTTCGAGGGCCAAAGGTCGAGGGATCCCCTTCGGGTCGAACTCACCTGTCCGGCCACGCAGTAGCAGACCATCAGAATGGATCGCAGCACGGTGTTGGCCTTGTAGCTGCGATGGGTCCAGAACCTGTGTGCTCCGGCCGTAACTCCGAATCCAGCCACGCCGCCAACGAAGAACGCTGCAAGATACAGAAGACACAAAAGATAGATGTAAGTGCGACTATAAAGATTCGGACAAAGGCGGTGCTAATTGGATGCCAAAAGAAAAACCCGAAATTACATTTCCGCAAATTGAGCTATTTGAGGCAGGGTGCTAATTCCGCCGACAAACAAATGGAGTATAAAAGAGAACCGAGATCGCACAAGGTTGTTTGAGGGGGGACTTTATTGAAACCTGGTGAATGACTGATCACGATTCCGACAGAGATCAGGAATGTCATCGGGAACCTTTAGAGACAATCTCCTCCATTAGTTCCTCAATTAGAATATGCAAAAGCATTGTCACCCTCCCATTGAATTAGATAATTGCTTTGGCTTCAATTAGAAGCAATGACTTAGTGAACCGCTGCGAAGAGGCTTTCCGCATCGATTGACGTTTAAAAGTACAGGAGGAACTCACAGATCGCACACTTCGGCAGCCAACTAATGAACTATTAACGATTTCACTGAATGGGAATTTCGTCAATCGTTCCACTGATACGAGGAAAGATTAGCCTTCACAATGTGGCGACGAAAACCAGTTTCGTCTCACCAAAAAAAATTAACAATTAAAGGCCAACGCAGAGTGCGGAAATGATCAAATTCAACATTGGCATGCCCAAAAATGTGTAAGGTTTTCGGTGTACTTTACATACACTAATAATGCTATAATAAACTGATATGGCGAGACATAAACCTCAACGTGGACTAGGCCCTAGTTTTACGGCTAACATTTGAATCACTATGACTAAGTTATTTAATTTAAATATATGCATTTCAAATGCATTCAAATGCAGGGCTGCTGCAAAAGGGGTCAAGTTCAAACTGTTTTAAGATTAGTTTTTTAGTTGATCGCTGAGTTGCTGAGCTGGGTTACTCCATTGACCATCTTTTTCGAACGCAACACCGACAAAAACAAGTGTCCCTGAGTCAGAAGTGCGTTGACTCGCCTCTGTACAAATGTTAGTTTTTTGACCAGCTTCATTAACGCCCAATGTTAAGGCGTTTATGTAAGCCCCTCAGCGGCATCTTCTCCCCTTTTTTTAAGTCCGTCGAATTTAATCAATATCTTGGGCTGAACACGACAATTTTCGCCATCTACGAAACCGGCAAAAGATGATAATTCCCAGCATGCCAGTGAGCATCTTTAAGCGCTGCACGTCCGCCCGGCAATTTGCCAAAATATTTACGAGCTCGACGCCCCAAATAAGGACACGCTGTTTATGCAAGGATCCAACTCATGCCTATTTTTTGTACCCGCAATGCCACACAATGTGCAATAAATATTGAAAATTACCAGGTATTAAGGCATTTTCGCTGTACAGCCATTAAGAGGGAAGTGCCCAAGTGCCCAAGTGCCCAGCTTCGCATGCTCCGGTAATTCCGATGAAAACGAAATCGGTTATGGTGGATCCCCCTGTTTTCCGCCTCTGAGTCTGTCTCAATGTCAACTGATTTTTTGCTCTTCTCGCATGTGTAGTGCTCATAAATTGAGTCAGTGTTTACCGAACAGATAAATCATCTTTTGTCTTGTGAAACGTCTGAGTTTGGGACTTGTAAAATGGGGTCTAAAATGGTGAGTTACTATGCAAGTCCCACGGATTTTACTTTCAACCTTGCTAACTACAAAACATCTTTAAGTGCTTTGGAGAAGTGGGTTTACAGCTCCAGAAAACGCCTGAAAATTCTAGCTCAACATAACTAATAAATTTTTAACTACGTAAGTAAATCTCAAACTAGTTCACTGGGGATCGAAGGTGCGGAAGAGTTTCATCAAAGTATGTAAACTTTAGCTCAACCTTCCCCTATAAACTTCTAGGTTAGGTGACAGTGAGGTAGATCTTTCAAAGCCCCAAATTAATTTGTGTCAAGTGATTCTTGTTTCTCTTTCTCGCTAGCCAGCTCTCTTTTTGGCCGAATATTTGGCCCAGCACGTTTTGGTTTTGTTTTCTGCAATCCACCTGTGTCAGTCAATTTTTATGCTGAGACTGAAATTGCATGCCAGTCGAAAACTCAAAACCCAAACCCAAAGTAAAGCCAATGAAAGAGATTTCAACACACGTCGTATAACAAAAAGCAGAAGCTGAAGGGCATTTCGGTGGGGAAAGGGGGAAGCGGGGGGCGTGTTAAGCGGCAATCAATTAAAGGCAATAACAAGGGGACGCATTTTGTAATGGCCCAGAGAAAGAAAACGCCGAGAGGCTTTAGGCGCTGGGCGCGCTAAATTGCAAATAATTGGTGGGGCAACATAGTTTGGGGGAGTGGAGGCTGTAAAGACAACATCATCAGCGACACCAACAACTCATCTGCACTGGGAGAAAACTCGAAGCCCTCTAGCTAGGGGTTTCCCATCATTGCGACAAAGAACTTGGTCCAAAGTTCCAGAGCAAACCACTAAAAATACAAAAATATATGTTAAAATTTCATATCCGGTTGAAATCAGTTAAAATATATTTTCTGTGGAGCCGATAATTGAGCCCAACATGATTTTTTCGGGTCGTATTAGTTTTTGCTTTACAGCATCGATCGGAGATGACTCTTTGTTTCCACACCTATCTCACTATTTCCCAATGCGAGGCGATAGAAAGAGAGAGTGGGCGTTACGCAATGCCGGACGGAATGGGATGGACACGGATGGGTTAGAGACGCCATACTTGGTGGCCATACTTACACCAGACGGTGGTGTACGGGTTGAGCTCGCGCAGCGGATAGGTCAGCAGGCAGATGAAGGCCACGATGTGCAGCAGCGAGATCTGGATGACTTTGTCCCACTTGAGGGGCGCCTGGAACTGCCAGCCGAGTACGCGGTCGCCGACGAAGGTGCGGGTGTACTCCTCCAGGTCGATGGCGTCCTTGGGCACGTGTTTGACGATGTCCCTGGGGATCACCGCCCGCGGCGGCTCCTCCCGCTTCTGGGGCAGCGGCATCTTGGCGCGGGGCGGCAGCTCCGGGGAGGAGTCGTCGCCCCTGCGCGCCTGCTGGGCATCCCCGTTGGCCAACTTGGCCCTCCTGGCCAAGAGCGGGGGACTCGCGTCGCCCGAAATGGCCGGCGTCTTGCTGCAAACTCGCTCCGAGGTGGACAGATGACCCATTTTCGCTTCACAGATTTATGTATTTCCCTCTGGGCCGCGGGTTTTTGGGTTCGCCGGCGGAAGCCGCGTTTCGTAACTGCCGCGCTTGCACTCGCCGAACTTTCTTCACAGCTTAACACAAACACTCGAAGGGCCTAATTGCGGAGTACTTGGCCAAAGTCGGAGGTGGAACTTGGCTTTTGGCTTTGGCTTTCTTCCAGAGACACACAGTCACTTCACTTCGCTTCGCTTTGTGGCGGTCTCCTTTTCTTTCCGCGTCTAACTCAACTCGAACTCAACGCGGCGCCGTTCCGTAGACAAATGATCGTAGCCAAAAGCGTTAATTCCTACCTATGCGGCTCACCTGGACAGCGACCGCTACGCCGACGCCGACAGCGACAGCGGCAGAGCCAAAGTTGACTGATTGACCGACTGACTGACGACGGAGTTTCCGATCCGACGCACAAAGGTAAAGAAAAGAAATGGAGAGACGAAATGGCCAAGAAGGCCAAGATTATGCCACCACACACACACGCTCAGCCACCTGTAGCCGCCAACGAGCTTCGGCTGCAGCTTCGGGTTCGGCTTCGGGTTCGGGTTCAGATTCGGATGTAGCTTCGTGTTCCCATACAGCCATACGTAGCTTCAGGTTCCACTTCGGATCGGCTTCGGCGCAGAATCAGCAGCGCAGTCAGCAGCCCCGAATTAACGCTACCTCGAATTTGCACCAAGTTTTTGGGGCTTTGGGTGTCGTGCCTCAGTGGGTCACACTTGGTCGCAGCGGGAAACTCAAGCCTCTGAGGAAAGGTTTCGCGGGTTGGGAAAGATCACATTCACCAATGACTCGGCACTGAAATGTCAATAGGTTTCTCTTAGGGCAATACACACGAAGTAATAGGAGTTAGTTATTTGCTTATAGTACTAGCTAATGGGAAACTAAGCAATGTTTAATTCTTAAAATGGTTTTTATACATAATAAATCAGTTCCTCTGGAATTCCTTCAATTCCATATTCTTCCAGGCTTATCTTCTTTTAGTCTCGATAAAAAATTAATTAGAGATTAAAATTTAATTATATTCATTTAATAATCACATTATATATAATTCAAAGCATTAAAAATCACTTATAATTAAAGATTATATATCTGTTAGGTTTTGTATAATGACTTTTAAATAATTTTGTGACCTCCAGGAAAGACCTTACATTACACGGTATTACGAAGTCTACGCTAGTATTTTAATTCTTGTTTTTCTGGCCAGAGGTCTCTCTCTTTTGACCGCCACAAAAACTCGCAGACCGACAAGAAGTCTACCGGCGCTTTTCACGATTACTCACGAATGTTCCAATGCTACTCGCGACCTACAAGCCCCCCACAGACGATCTAATTGCGATTGCCAATTGAAATCGAATCTGAAACGTGGCCAGAGTGTTTTGGCACTGCAAACCGGTGTGCTAATTGATCGAGTCGAACTTCCTCCATGACGGATTCGCACACTTGATCTCTTGTTGTCAAGGGCCTATCAACCCATTCGACCGTTAGGTTCTCGGCTTAAGGGGAACATTCCAATAAGACCTTTCCCCTGCCGATTTCTATTTCAAAAGCAGTACCCGGACTCTGCGATTCTGCGGCTCATTTGCATACGGACAATCTCACCTTTTGCAAGCCCGAGATATTTTTAATAAAATCGATTCCAGCCGTCATCTTTTAACTGGGCTTCCACTCATCTGCGAGTGTGTGTGGTGTTGACCAAAGTCAAAAGCCGTTCGATGATCATGAAGTTCAGCTCCCGAAGACCCAGAGACGAGAGTTGCTTTCTCTTTACGTAACCGCGGCGACAGAAACAGAAACCGAACTTAATTAAAACCCAAAGCAAAAGCAAAAGCAAAAGCGGCGAACCCGCGGCGAAATAAAGCCCCAAACGAAGGAAGCCCGCTGTCCGTCCCATCGTAATCGTAAAGTGGGTTTACAGCTTCTCCGAAAGTCCGAACCCAATTTCCGAATCCGCGGACATTCACGGTGTCACGCGACCGAACCCTTTGATCTCGACCCACTGTGGATGCTGTCGCATATGGACACTGTGGTGTATGACATATGGTATATGGTGTGGTATATTTGCAAGACGCTGCTGATGAGGTGCTGATGTTGTAAGGCCCGGCCATTAGCCAATTATGCAAAACCACAGAAAAACAGAAAAACGCTTGGAAATTGCCCGCGAAGCTGTTGGGGATCGCTTTGTTTATAAACAAACAGCCAACTCGAAATCATTGGAAACCACTTTGATATATTGCGCAGCCCCTCTTTTCGCACCGTCAGCGTTTTATATGAGGCTCGAGGGTTCTGGCCGAAAAGTTCCCCGAACAAAGCCACTTCTCTATTGTTCATAAATATCAGGTACACATGTGTGTGCTTTTTTTTGCCTAATCGCTTCCCGTTCCACTGTTCTTGGTCAAAAGGCAGTCATTCATGCGCGAGATATTTCAATTTGCCAGCGATTAGGCCGTGAATGGTGAGGTTTTTCGGCAGGGCTAACCCCAGCATCCAAGCACCTGCCCGATTCGAAGCCAGGTACTCTTGGGGTCTATGGTAGCCGTTGAGTTGCATAAGCCGACTAGTCGACAGCGATTTTGCGTACCACGTATTTGTGCAACCTTCAACTGTCGCTCGGTCGGCTTATGGAAAACAAATTAACACTAAACAAAGCGCAGAACGCGACGCGACTGCAATTTGCCACAGAGCGGAGCGGATCTCAGATCTCAAATCTGCCACAGCGCAAACAGCTAGAAGCGAGTAGGGATACACTCAGAGAAATCTAATAGGTCACTAGGGAAAAAATGTTTCAATCAAATTTTAAGTACTATTAACATTTTTGTAAGTTATTCATCTTAAAATTTACATTTAATAAAATGACCATTACATTTATTTTGTTACCTTTCTGTAGCTCATATTCCTCACACTTAGCCATGGATATTCACGCACTTGTAGGTCATAAAATGTTTTCAGTGTGCCAGCTTTTAGCAGGCAAATTCATTAGTAATCACTTCAATGCAGAGTCATTAGGAATTGGTACAAGTGGCCGACTGAAATGTGAGTCAGTGGAGTTGCGTTGAGTGTGGAATGTTCACACCCAGGTGGATTGTGCTCGTGGAGTGTGTATTAGAATGGCCAGACACTTTAGCACCGATCGATGTGATCCAAGTCAGGCGCACAGTTTGCCTAAACCAAGTTTGATGAGCAAACATCGGGGGAAAAGGAGGATAGATTGGGAAAAGGCTTCTGGGCAGTGACTGAGTGGGGTGTCAATATTGACGAGTCAATCAGCGACACAGCCACTGAACACACATTGCGTATGGCTAATAAAATCATTAGGCGCAACCCATAAACCCGGCACAAAGCACCTGATGCCGAAAACACACAGAAACTACACATATCCACAGCCATATCCCGATACCAAACTTATTCGAGGGAATGGGAAAGCAAACGAATCGATTGCCAAATGAATTGTCTTCTGTAAATAACCGACAGAAAAATAGAAAGAGGCGACAAACTCGAGCTTCACTGGAAATCAAATCGGAGAAGGAAAGAAGGGGTCCACAGCCCCTTATGTATTTCATCATAGTACGCCTATATAATCTATACCTACGTAAAACCAGCATCAACATATTTATTAAACTCCTACTTATATCTGATTTCTTTATTTTGAAACAAACCATATCTTTATTATTTTACCTTTCTGTGGTTGGGATGCATAATTAACCCGGTTTGTTTAGTCTTGGCCAACAAAGACCGAAAATTGCATCCCGCCACGCCCACTTGCTGGCATCCCACTTCCATTTCGAGTTTCATTCAAGCCCACGAAGTGTCTTGCAGTTCGAACTCCACCTCTGTTTGCCACGTTTTTATGCTGACCAATAATTAGGCTCACAGTTTACTCTACCCCGCCTCCCCAACGGCGGTTAATTTATTTTTACGATGCCGCGACCATTTGTCACATCTTTTTAGTGCCCGCTGATGCAATGTGCTCACATAAACTTCTCCCGGTTGAGAAAATGGTTGGCGGGCAGGGCGTTCTCCTCCAGCTGAACCTCCTCCTCGATGCACTCCACAATCGGACGACCCGACTCCACAGCCTTTGTGAGTCCCTGACGCACGGCCACGGATCCAATGGTCTTCAGATCCTTGGCCCAATCGAGTGCGGCGAAGACCCGGATCATGGCCGATCCGATTCCCGAGGCGTAGTCCCCGTACTCCCCGCTCTGGTAATCCCGGGGCAGCAGGTAGTGATACTGCGGCCAGTAGCTCTTCGTGATCAGAAAGATGCTGTTCGAGTCCGTGGGCTTGAAGCCCTTGTGGATGCTCCAGATGAAGTGCGAAGAGTGCACCAGGTTTCCCAAGTTGATAACAATCAGACTTCGCAACCAGAAGCCCACGAACATGGAGTCGGCCAGGGAGTCTCCAAAGTATTGGAATGGGGTGTTGACCGAGAGAAGTACGTTCAGGAAAATGTAGAGCAGGACATAGTACCTAAAAGATATCCCAAAATCAATGCGAGATAACGGAAAACTTTTCCGCCCAGGATATAACCTACTTTTTCTGAAACATCACAATGGTATCACTTTCCAGATCCGACATGTCCACATCCTTAAGCAGCTCCTCCTGCTGCGGAGAGTACTTCAGGAGACCCCCTCGCACCTGGGCGTACAGGAAGCTGTGTTTGCTGTAGTAGGGATCCTCGTCCTGTTGGAACTTCGCGTGATGCAGACGGTGGGCCTGTACCACACTATAGATGGAGCCCTGAACCGGACAAAACAAACATGATCTACAAGCTTTAGTTTCACGGTTTGTGTCTCAGGTGAAACTATGGCCAAAAGCTTTTACCAAAGGCGTAGTCAGTAAGAGCTTTGGGGGGTATCTCACCTGACCGGCTGTCGTCTGGCAAAACATGAGGAACACCTTCAGGGGTTTGGAGGCGGTGAAGGTCCTGTGGGCCCAAAGGCGGTGAACGCCCACAGTCACGCCCAAAGTTCCAAGGAGTGTGAGGCACGCGGCTAGTATGGGTGCAAAGAATATATTTGGGGCTAAGCTCCAACCACGTTAAACTTATTAACCCGGCGAACTCACTGAATAAAATGGTGGCCCACGAAGCGCTGGTGAGCAGAATATAAGTCCCATAGACCCCGAGGATATTTAAGTGGATATAGAAGAGAACCAAGGGCCAGATTGCATCACGCTTCTTATGGACAGAGTCTCCATCTCGATCCATTGTGCTTGCTACTTTGATTTTCTCCATGATAGATTCTCCAAGTCCGCTTAGCAATCCTTAATCCCAAAGGTTCCGCCTTTCGCCCCAGTCCAGACTAAACTAAACCGCGGGCATAATTACGAAAGGCAAAGTGGCGAAGGAATGGATTATTCATTGATCAATCGCATATGCATGAGCCTATAAGTGTCCAAGGGTATTCAGAGTCGAATCGCTTTTTTAATACAAAACATAGTTTATTGACCCGCAGGTAAGTAACGAAAGCAACGATGGGAGATTAGCGTCCCTATACGACGATCCTAATGATCCGGGATGGGATGGGTTGAGATGGGTCAAATGCCCAGTTAAACGAGCTAAGTTCTTATCGGATTACAACTTTAAATCGCAAAATCTCAGACGAGAACACAGATCGGATAAAGAAGCATAAGGCATGGCTGGTGCTACAAACTTAAAACTAGGAAAACCACAGGCTGAAAACATAATACAGGGCCAAGGCTTAGTTCTGCATCTTGGCCAGCTCGACGATATCCTCGCAGGGAATGTCCTTGTCCCCAAAGCCCCACACTGGATCCTTATGGGCGAAGTCGTCGCTCAGGAAGCGGGTTCCGTCGCCGCACTTCCTGGCCCTTCTCAGGACCATGTCAGGGGACACCGATTTACCTGATTAGAGGATAATAAGTAATTTAGTAGTCATTCATTTTAGGATATAGAGGCAAACTTACGTCCTTTGGCCAGGCCCAGCCAGGCGCAAAAGTCGATGAATCCGGTGGTGATGTTGAGGCTGTAGTTTCCGAACTCGCCCGTCTTGTAGTCCCAGGGGAAGACGTGGTGGTAATTGTGCCATCCCTCTCCCATGGCCAGCAGGGAGACGATGGGAGCCTCAGTGGACATCAGGTTCCTGAATTACGTAGGCCAGTCAGTAAGTATTTACTTAGATTACAGAAATCGGTTCGGAATATTTGAGGAATCGCAAATGACTAATCCCATTGCGGAAAAAACAAGCAAATGTCTTATTATGAAATATTATTAAGCTTCATCATAGGAATTTTAATCAGCATTCGCAGTGCGTAACGAATGTATAGTTAGAAGCCAAATGTTAATCTAAACGCAAAACAGAATTATAAATTGTTGAGTGGCCAATCATTCCCTTTTTTTATATGTTAATATTATCAGCAAGTACGACTGGCCTTCCAAACTTTCACTGCAAACCTTTTTCTAGTGCTACGGTTTTTTCCGTTCTATTTTAGTTATACATATCGCACCCTCAAATCGAACCATTCTGAAGTACAGTGATCTGTCTTACTTGTCGTACGGCTTGTTGCCGTACATGTGGGCCACGCTGTTCACGAAGAAGGCCACGTTGAGGGTCCAGGTGAAGCGCATGTTGAAGTTGATCCAGAAGGACATCCAGAGGTCCTCGTTCCAGAAGTACCAGGGCACGGCAACGGGCAGGATGATGGAGCAGAGTGCGAAGAGCGGGATGTAGTACTTCCTCTGGAACATGCACACGGCATCCGCTTCCAAGTCGGACATGTCAATGACCTTCCTCTTGGCCACCACCTTGGGATGGGGAGTGAGGAACAGCCAGCCCACGTGGGCGAAGAAGAAGCCCCTCTTGGCGTTGTGTGGATCGGCGTCGGTCTCGGAGAACTTGTGGTGTATCCTGTGGTCCAAGGCCCACGTGTAGGCATCTCTCTGTGATCGGAGGTATTAATTATCAATAATTCAAGGGGGTTTTAGTCAAACATTACTCACCTGACCCGCGATGGAGAAGGCGAAGGCCAGCAGAATCCTTAGGGGCAACGAGGCCGTGTACGATTTGTGCGACCAAAGGCGGTGGGCTCCCGCCGTGATTCCGATTCCGGAGACCCAAACGGTGACCACCACTGAAAGAAGAACAAGCGGATGTCATTGTATAAACAAAACAAACAAAAACGGTATACATATACCCGCCCATCGGAATAGTTTGGTGTGCTGGTGACGCTTCTCGCTTGATTTGCTCAGCGGATGACACAACGCCCGGCTCTAAATATATCTATCTATTGCCCGTTCTTCGGGGTGGCCTATTTTGTCGCTCCCTCGGAAATCTTCCCGCTCTTTCGAACGCTTCGATCACCAGCCAAATTGTATCGGGCAATTGAAGCGTTCGTTAACTTCAATTGCCAGCGGTCAAAGTTCACGAGGCAGCATATGCATATAACCTGATGGTTGTTTACCTCTTGCATAATGGTAGCCTATTTAGAATTCCCTGCCGTGCGTCATCCTGAGCGACCAAATTGCAGAAGCATTTAATTGGGGACCTCACTTGGTTCACTTGTTATGGCATTTTGCACCTTGAAACCCATGACTCACAAAACAGATTGATAGAGATAAAGGTATTGCTAGATATTTATAAGCTACTATCACCATCTAATCAATGCCAGTAATTAAAATATGATTTGTTTCACTTCAAAGCATTTAAAACTATCACTACTATCTTCAAAATGTATCTCCGGTTAGAATGCAATGATTACCTCATATCGACTTGTAATATGGACAGCTAACTCAAACTGGCCCAGTTAAAGGCAACCGGCGTTTGGATACAAAATAGCTGGTATCACAAAACTGTTTGCATGTTGGCAGATGCAATTACGGAGATTGGCGACCAAGTTGCAGGGGCGGCAACTCATTAGCTGCCCGAATGTTAATTGGCCGGGGACCACAGTGGACACTCACCCCAGAGGAATGTGTAGAAGCTCGCGTAGAAGAGCTGGTACAACCCGTAGAGGGCTCCGATGTGCAGGAAGGCTTGGGCCCCGAGATCCGGCCATCTGATGCGCGGATGGTACTCCTCCTCCTCCTCCAGCACGGAGTCCTTCGACTTCTGGTCCTGCTCCAGCAGCAGCTTCTCCTTCTCGAGGACGTTCTCCTTGTAGACCGCGTTCTCCTCCTTGTAGCCCAAGTTGTCCTCGTCTTTGGTGTCGTTGTATGCAGCGTCTGTGGCGTGTTTTCTATGCTTTAGTTCTCCATTTGGGGCACTGGTGGCACTGCGGTTTCCGTTCCTGTCCAGGCTGCAGGATCCATTGCAGTGGCTTGTGGTGGCCTGTTTTTGACCGGGAATCGGGGATGAAAGGCACATTCTGTAATGAAAGGAGAAATTTAAGTACGTACAAAAGGTTTTGCTTGGAAAATAACGAATTAAAAAGTAAAAACTGATCATTATTCTTGTGATTTTGAGATAAAAAGTAAATGTAATGTAAAACCACCTCCAGCCAAGCATGAATAATCCAAAGCAAACAGCTAAAGGCTAATAAACCTTTCATTGTGTACATATTTGCTTCGACTGTTAAACTAGTTATAGCTTTCAAGAGCTCATCTCCCTCAATAGAACTTTTCTCGCTGTGCAATCAAAACAAATCCGCAGAGACTCGCTAATTGAAGTTTAGGACGTTTATAACTATTAGCGGGCTTTTCAGAGAGCCTCGACTGTAATTGGTGTGAAATCTGTTGCCAGCCTCACGTGCCACGCCCCAACAGTCAATTCACCGCCTCCAGGGGTAAAGGGTTTGCTCTGGATATTAACAGAACTCCGTTTATTTGCGGTCTTGGATCGGCATTCAGGGTCGGCGTTATCGCGGCTTATCGCCTGCCGAGTTCCATGTTGCAATCACCGATCTGCAAGTTGGCCACTATCTGGTCGAAAACAAATAGAACTACACTACATCATTACAGCCGCAACAACAATGAGTCATACATGCGCAGGTGGCTCACAGGTGGATCTGCACACGAACCACAGTTGGGTGGGTAAAAGTTCGAACTAATTGCGTGATGAACAGTGTGACACTCGAGGGAATGAGTGGATGATTCTGCCGCGTCACTCAACTCTCGAATTGCCGGGGCTTTGGCGATTCCTAATCTCCGGTGCCCAATTGCTTCATAGTTTGCTTATCTTAACACCCCCATTCTAACTAACAATAAAAAATATAAAAGAGCTCTGGAGCATGGTGGTTTTTGGACTAAAAGGCACCTTTTTACCAGCATTTAATGGCCCTTTTGACACCTGTTAGGTGCAAAAATAAAATATCTGTGTTGATGATAAGAGGTAATTATTTAGAAAATATTCGAACATAATTTCTTACTATGGTTGCAAGAAGATAGAAATTATACTTTTTTGCAATAGTGAACAAAACGCAATTAAAATATAAATTAATTTTTGTTAGCATCTTAACTTATAAGTGAAATCTAATTACCAATACACAAAAGTCAAAAACATTTCTGTGGAAAGTGGCAAAAGCGTCGATAGATTTTTAAATTCATATTATAGATTAGACGGCTGAGGAACCAAACATACCACAACTTATGAATTTATGAGACTGAAATACGAACAACTTTGAAATATTGGCTAAGAAATAAAGTTTTGTATATATTCTAGAATTTCTTATTCCACCTTGCTATAACGAATAAAAAATGCTAACTTTTCCTCAATTTTATAATTCTGTCACTCGCAAGTTAAGTGCAAAATTTGATATACTAGCCCTGGTAGCTGAGAATTCGAATCGTAAATTGTCGAGTTTGTGATTTTACTGTGCCGCACTCCTACCCGAAGCAATATACCTTTGGACTCGGCGATTACTGGGTATAGTCGACGCCCCCGCAGAACGATTCCAATGATTTTCGGCCAAGCGGAGGAAGGCATGGCCGATCCATTTCTCGTGCGTGTGAGATGGCTTATAGCCGTGCTGATAAGCACTGCACACCTGGCGCACCTGGCCCACTTTCCCGGCCGGACAGAAAGCCAACCCCCGAGCCTCCGTCACTCGGTTCATTCAAAATTTTCGGGTTAAGAGTGATTTGATAAGAGCCTATCGACTATTGCAAACACTCGAAGTGCGGCGATTGCCGGCATGATTCACTTTCTGTCTGACCCCTCCAGGTGTTCCAGGTGGCATGAGTAATGGGGGTGCCGAAGGAGAATCGCTCCCCTTACGTAAGTCTGCGGGCAGATAAGATTGGGGGGAGTCTGATCAATTTACATATTGATAGCGAGTCGAACGGGGGAGGGGTTTCGGCGCAGTGGGGAACCCGAACACGCCCCGTCTTTTAATTAGAAAATGTAGCCACGCACGCTAATTTGCAGGGAGGAGGCACAAATCGGGCGGCAGAGTGGGAGCTACAGAGCCACAGAGCCAAAAACCCTCTGAGCGACTGACGAACGCTGTCACAAGAATTGATCAACATTTTCATTGGCCCGGAGCACGCGACTCAAGCATGCATAAATTAAATTCCGAATAAAAGAGCCACTTCCCTCTGGTTTGCTTAATTTCGATTCTCAACAAACCGGCAACTTGGCAACGCACTGCAGCCCGGGCACAAAACAATCTATTTCGTATTTCGCCCAATAATAAATAATAATAAACACCCAACCCCTGGCCTCTCCTTCAGTTAGCCACTATTTTATTGGCATTCGCCCCGCTCGCTCTGGAGTGTTTTCATTTTGGCTTGCACTGCCAGAGCGATAAAGCTGACCGCCCATCGAGAGCTTCTTCGGCCCGAGTCCCGTACTCCGCCCGATTTGTAGGCTCCCCAGACGTGGCTAATTGCCTGATGGCTCGCACGTCGCTCGTCATATCACCAACTATTTTCGCATATCGTCACTCCCGAGCGATTTTAATGCCGAAATGCCGAATTTTATTGGAAATTTTCCATGCCCCATTGGCGCAGAAGCTTTTCTACATGACCGGGAAAAACCTCACAGATTTCCCAGCACTAGGAATCAGTTGAGCAGCTGCGAGAGATCGAGCATTGCCACTTGTTGCTCGGCTGCCACCTTTAATTGGAGCTTTTAATGGTCGTGGGCTAATTGAAGGCACTCGCTATCTAAAGATAATTCAGACCAGATCGCTGGTGAACTATGCGTACACTGCGGGAATCGTAAAAAATTCTACATTTTCAAGCAGGTATGTTGAATTATTGAATAGATATTTGCGGTTTGAAAAACTCGTAGCTGTTTATTGTTTGTTCCTGCTAGAGGTTTCGATAAGGATTCCAAGGAATTCGCGGGTTGGGAACCCCGTTTTATCTTAGCATCTTTCACAAATTGTAGAACTGTGATCACCTTTATCGCAGAAAAACAATCAAATAGTCACAATATTTACTAAGCAACGTTTAGTTTTCTGCGTTTTGATCTGAAAAATTTTGACGCAACATTGCTGAAGTACTTTTTTCCCGTTGGGGTGGGGCACGATAACTGATTCCCCAAAACTTGCCAGTTTTTAGGTTCGTTGGTGTGAGATCACTGGTTTCAGAAACATATTTTTGAAGGGAAACTTGCTTAACAACTTTACTGAACAGAAAAGTAACAATGGAACTCTCGAGTTAATAATATGCCTCGCTAAGTCACGGGAGTTTTCCACACGTTTGAACCTGAAGACAACCTCATGGAGAGGGAAAGTTTGTACTCTTCTGTTGTGGATACTTAATTAAATACTTTTATTATAATAATTTTCCTATTTGGGCGATTCATTATTTTTTCCCGTTAATTACTTCCAAGCTCACTACTCCATGGGGACCTCTGCTCTCCTCTCTTTAATTCAGCGTCTAACCTTAGTTAGTCAGTCTGTTTTGGTCGGTTTATTGATGTGGGTCAACGCGTGTCGCGGCAATCAAATCGTGAGGGATAATAATGTGTACTAAGTCCCAACACCTGGGGGAGGCTCTTCTGGAGGTTTGTGGCTCGAAGTGTGCATGTTATTCGCTCTGTTGACTCCCTACAAATACCCCATCCACTCCCCCTAATCGACGCTGGTAATGACACAAATGAGCAAACAATTGGGTTACAATTTGCATGTGAGCAGTGTGTTCAGAACGGGAATCGGGAGAACTACTCGAATGGTACTGTGAGGTGTGGGCGTGTACTGATTAATTGGCTTTCGAAGTCGTAGCTTATGCCCAATAATTTCAAAAAACTTTCAAAAAACTTATGGTTTTACGCGGTTAGATATTGGTTGAGCACTGTTACGGAACCTACTTTGATTTGGTTCGGGTTTCTGGGATACTGGGATTCGCGACTCCGCGGCGGAATGTTTGGAACTACGGATTTTCGGGATTCTCGGGATTCGCCGGGGCTCTACGCAATTCTTCTCGCTTTCTCCGCTGTTGTTGACCAGACGACCGAACTCAAGTGACTAACGACGCCCGCCGCAGGCGGTCGACATTTTACATCCAAAAGAGCGGGCGCAAGGCGTCGCTGCCGACGTCGGCGTCGCTGCCTTAGTGGCACCCAGAACTATTGACGGCAGCGACGCCGACTGAGGTGGAGACTATTCAATTTGTAGTTTGTTTTTTATCGCTTCGCTGCGTCTACAGTTGTTATCTACCATTCCGGCTTGCCCTATTCGTCCGTCCCTCCCCTTTTATGTTCGCCCACTCTGTTTGCATTCTCTGTTGTGCTCACACATTCCGTAAACATTACACAAACAACTCTCGGTTCAAAGTCAATGCTGCCGCTCTGAGACATGACCAACTTTCTGGAAAACCAAGGGCTATAGGCGAATCTTAGATGTCCTAAAATGGTCACTTTAAGGAAGGCAAAACAATTTGCAGCTCTCATTAATAAGTCATTTTACATTTAAGCCACTACATAAAGAAATTAAATAAAGAAGAGATTTTAAATTTTTCGTGATTAGTCTTTCCCATCCGCTATGAGCCCTAATATGCTCTCTCTTCAATAACCAGTTACGTTTACTTTAATCCAAATTCGTAGGGTATTCAACAATGTGTAGGTGTCGACGCTGGCAGAACTATTGGCGTTGACGCGGAAGCCGGCGCAGACGCCGGCAGAGCAGCAACAGTCGCGCAAACGAAGCCGGCAACGGGTTGTATACTCAACGACAGTTGGTAACCCACAACGCGTATACGAGTAGTGGGCTATGAGTGTGGCATTTCGTCATCGCGTGAGATCCCAGAGCTGTAAATATCGGTCAGGTTCCCAACCGCTTTCCCAGAGAGCGGGAAATGAGAATGAAAATTTATGACCGAGAGAGTGCTGCTTCTCTCTATTTGTTTGTTGCCAATAGCATCATTATCGTAGTGCCGCTTTTATCTGTTTTCTTTTCCATTTTCGTTTTTTATACGCTCTGCGTTGGGGGATATTTGTTCATGTTTCCCCTTCGAGACGATAATAAGCAACAAAAGTTAGGTAAAAAGAGAATTGTTGTGGTTTTATAGTGGGTAAAAAATAGTTTAAAACCTAGTGTTAGAAGAACAAACCGACATTGCAACAGCAATTTAAAGTATTTTTTTTAATGTTTCCTTAAGGTGTGATAACAGAAAAATGGATCAACTTACGTACAAAAAGTGCTTCTGCTTTCTTTTTCTTCCAAATGAAATCCATAGCCCCTCCAGTAATATTTATAATTTATTGTTCGTTTTCCGAAAAATCTACACTGAGAAGCATGATGTAACATTAGCTATGGATAAATATAGAAAACTCAGCAAAGCAAGAATTTCTGGGCGATGCTTGTGCGATCGTTAAATGAGCACTCGCTCAGGGAGCGAGCTACATAGTTGATAGTAACTGTATAGCTGGTTTATCGGGGGCTTATCAGGTAGTGTCTAGCCACGGAAGTCATCGTGGATCGGCGACTTTAACCGCGCGGAGCAGTCTCGTGCTGATTGGTTCGACGCATAGTGGATCCCCCCTTGAAGCCCTCTCACTTAAATATTTTTAGGTGCATTGCGGAGAGTCGAAGTTATAACCGATAGAGCGATAAGCTGATAAACTTTCTATAAATATTAGCTTAATGGTAAGTTTCTACCAAATTCTTATACTGAGAATGTTTATCAGTATTCAATTAAAAGAAATCGTAACTAGCTTTGATAAGGGTTATTGGAACCAAAACATGATTTCGGCAAGGCTTTAGCCGTGTTATTCGTATTTAACTTTACCCCTGATATCAAAGAACTAGTAACATAGTTCTCCGAAAATTTAAAAGCGCTCTTAAGTGCAATTTATAGCTACAAAAATGATTGAAAGAAAGTACATATATAAATATTTATTCTTGGTCAATGAGTATTTAATAAAGAATCAATTACGAACATTCCATTTAATAAGTTCTCATTCAAAATATTTGATGTGTATAAACTTTAAACACACATAAATATGTATTCGGTGTAGATTGGGATCCCGCGTTCATGTGCTTCGCATCGCGAAGTGACTCAGACAGCCGTCGCCATCGTCAGTGGCTCGAGATGACATAATAATTTGTCAAAAGGACAGCCAAGTCCCGGCTGGGGGTCTCCCACTCCCAATCCCTGCGGCCCACTCCCGACAGGATATGGTGGGAACCGAACTACGACTGTCATAAACATTTTCCGCCCAGCACATGTCAAATAAAATCTACATACAAAGTGCCTTGAATCCGGGAGTTATTATGTGGGCAGCGTTTTAATTAAGCCGCGGAATGGAGTTGCTCAAGACGGCATTGCGCATTAGCGGTTCAAGGACGAACAACCCAAGACAACCCACCCCTCCCAACCGCGAAATAACACCCCTAATGATAACCGCTAGTCTAGAATGTGCACAATTAGGCGACATCAATAATAGATGACCCGGCGGGGTCATTTAGATAAAATGTCCGATAGTTGGCGAGCTACTCCCCCGAAAATCCCACCAACTTGTCATCGAAGCACCTGTCTCGCCCATTGGAGACGCCCCCTTGTAGCACCAACTAACTCCCACCGGGAATTCCCCAGACAAAACAAACACAACATCAACAATTTGTCGGAAATCGAAAGTTTTACTCGAACTCTTGTTGTGGCCAAAAACTTTTCCCCCCACCACCCAAACTTAAAGCCTCTTCGTGCTCACTTTCGTGTTCATGTCCTGTCAGTCCTCTGACTTTAACCCCAATCCTTAATTTCAGCGGTTGTAGTTCTTTTGTTTGCCATTAGTTCGTGTAACATTTCGGAATTGTTGAATTGCGTGATTTTGCGGTTGCTTCTAATTGATTTTCTGGACTGCAATCAATCCGCTTGGACAGCTTTAATGGCCGGGAATGCACTAGTGTCATAAATAAACCAAGAACATTGTAGCTAACTAAAGCTCGCCAAAGGACTTGATTTGGTTTCCGGTGAAAACAACGGCGTTACTGATTTGATGATAACAAAAAACACATCAGAGGGTTGAAAGGAAAATGAACCAATCAAGGAGCAATTACTGAAAGTATTTTTTATTCCATTTTAGAGATTGACTAAAATGGTACAACTGATGTACTACATTTAAAGACTTTTAAGTAAATATTGAAATTCAAATTTGGCGGTAGAAAAGCTTCTCCACAAAACGTTCCGTGTATCTTCGAACGTGTTACGAGCTTTATAGAAGCTTTCTCCCACAAACAAATTAATCAGCCAAAGAAACTCCCCTCATTTTACTTGTTGCCACCCCCCATCACACATGCGATTATTCAGAAGCGTAATGCGTGTAATTTAACCAAATTCTGGAATACCTATAATTACAAGGCATGCAAATGTGGCGGGCCAAGTGGGAAGTTGTAGTCACAAGATTAACCCCTTTTGGCCCAATTTGAATTCATTATAACGAACATACGCCGCCAACTTTTTAATTAAGCAGCTGAACAAACACCACATGACATAAAATGAATATCAACCAGCTCTAGTCTTCCATATAATGACTTCTTTTATGGCTGCCCTTAAGGGGTTATATCCAGTTGCGATTTTGAAAAAATCGAAATTTTTTTTTTTGCCTATTTTGAATGTATATATATCTAAGAAGATTATCTGAAAATTTCAAAGTATTCCGGTAAATAGTATTGGAGTAATCAGTGTATTTGTAAAGACGTCTCCCATGTAGTTCAACTAGTAGCCAAAACTTTAAATGCGTTTTTCTCGAAACTATGTCTTCAAAGTCGGTGAGCAAAATTTCTCAGAGACGGCTTGTCCGATTGACTTGAAACTTTCACATTCTCTTCTTAGATATTTTTTCAGGTAATGAAACTTGGAATTTTGGCTCCGACAAAAACTTCGATTTTTTTAGCCACTTCAAAGTTGAAATTTTTGTGCCAAAAACAAAGTTTTATGTTTGGGAAGCCGCCATTTTGTCAAAAATCAAAATTTTGAAAATCACAAGTCTCATTACCAGCATTTGTCTATTCTTTACGTAATCCTTTTGGTTTTTTGCAATTCAGAAAATTTGGACCGGAGAAATTTTGCTCACCGCAAAACCTTTTTTTGAAGTGGACCCTCGGGAGATCCTCTACAGGACCGACGGAGTCCAAATTTTTTTTTTTTTTAAATATATTCTAAAACTAGAAATAATGACCTATCTTTTCATATATATTACGTATTCATACAATAAATTGCCTCTCCAAAAATAATTTTCAAAAAAGCTCATTTTTTTGGCCTCGCAACTGGATATAACCCCTTAATCATAATGGTGACGCACATCCCTTTGGAATAGCAGGATTACAAATCCAGCACATGTAAACCCCCCGTTAGCGCAGATTAATTACAGAACAGAGTTGGCTTAATTGAAAATTGCTTAGTTTTAAATTGTTTAATGTTTATTCACGTTACGTTCTCTAGCTCATGTAAAAAACGCATCTTCTGCACGACAGAAGCGCGGTGACTTTCCCAGATGAACCGGCGAACCAGTGCGAATCGCTAACGAGAACCCGCTCTAGACATTCAGGTAGTTGTCGGGGAATTCGAAGGTAACGTCGCGACCAGTCAGCTTCTTGTAGACCGAGGTGAAGGTATCAACCTGGAAGAAGAGAAACAGAACTCATTAGTCATATTCACTTAAAAATTCTACGTTTAATAGTGTACAGCTGCCGTAACCTCCTCTGCAGAAAAGAAAAACCACAGAGAAGATATCGTACGTAAAACTGGATTAGTCTACCGCTTTTATAGGAAGTCCCAAGGCACCAGGATAACTAAACGGCGCTTGGGAGGCAAATAGGCGGCACTCAAAGTGCATCGTGGGTTTTGCAGTAAATAATGATATGGTAGATAGTGTAGCAAACATTTAGTAATGGCGTAGTCCTGGCTAAATTAGACTCATCATTATGGAGTGATTAGTTGCGTTTTAGTTTGCGTTCTGTTTGACAATCGCTGGACTATGAAAGACGTCTAGCAAATAACACAAGAACGGTACCAAATTCCAGGTAGGTATGTATATATAAACAAAAATGTGGCGCGCATTTAGTAATGCTGAAGCCCTGGAAAGTCGGCTCAACATTATGGAGTGATTAGCTGCCTTTTCTATTCGTTCTGTTTGACAATCGCTGAGCTTGAGTAATCGCTTAGCAAATAACACAAGAACGGTGTTTCTTACTAGAGGTTTTTAGATGTAGCAAACATTTAGTAATGAGGAGGCCCTGGTTTGAGTAGGCCCATCATTATGGAGTGATTAGTTGCTTTATTTTGCGTTCTGTTTGACAATCGCTGGACTATGATAAAACATCCAGCAAATAACACAAGAACGGTAGGATACTTCGAACAAGTTCAAATATCTACATATAGGAAACATTAGGTAAAGCAGAATTCCTAGCTACTTTTGAATGTTATACTTTGTAAGGAAAGAGGTCAAGTACTCGAATAGCAGATATCTGAATGTGGCATACATTTAGTAATGCTGAAGCCCTGAAAAGTCGGCTCAACATTATGGAGTGATTAGCTGCCTTTTCTATTCGTTCTGTTTGACAATCGCAGGTTTTGGGTACAACAACCAGCAAATAACACAAGAACGGAGATTCTGATCAGAGTGTGGCCAATATTTGGAGATGCAGGACGGCAGTGGCCTTTAATGCCTGCAATAACGAGTAATTGGCCTGCGCTGTTCTGCGTTCCCTGGCGAATATTAGGCTCCATAGAGAGAAGTCCAAATATCGAGGGAACGCACTGCAAAAAAACACACGATGCACTCTTAAAATGGATTCCTTTTGAACTTACTTTGTGCTCAATGGTGGTCTGCTGGTTCTTGTCCAGGTGCACCTTGACCAGCTGGGAGCCGTCGAGCTTGACGCGGATGCGCTTGCCCACAATCTCAGCGGGGAAGACCAGATCCTCCAGGATGGCGTCGTAGACAGCGGTCAGGGTCCTCGAGCGGGGACGCTTCTGCTTCAGCGGGTTGCGGGCCTTGCGCGTAGGCTTGGGCAGAATCTTGCGCTCGCCGATGACGACGACGTGCTTGCCAGAGAACTTCTTCTCCAACTCGCGGACCAGGATGATCTGGATCTTCTGGAACACCTTCTGCTGTGGAATGGGCACGTAGATGATGACGGCCTGCGGAGAAAGAGGGTTTAGGATTGTTCTGGAATGCGGGTAGAGCACAGTTTTCACCTTCTTGCTGCCGAACTCGATCTCGCGGGCACGGGTGATGTGCAGATCCCGCAGGTAGGGCTTCAGGTCGCTGTTTGCCTCGAGCTCCAGCAACGCCTGGGCAATGGACTTCTCGAAGTCATCGGGATCCGCGCCGCCGGGCTTGATAATCTTGGAGCCGATAGCCATCTGCAATTTTCAGCACCGGATGGAGAGTTTTAGTCAGTGTAAGTCGGAAATCACGGGATTAGACCCCTCTCCACAACGCAGCATAAACACAAATCGGCTTTCTTTCGACATAACCTGGAAAGCCTCAATTTTGCGTCCTACGCTGCCTACTTTTTTTTATTATTTCGGTGCGCTGCGCTGCGTTGCGGGTACCGCGTGCGTAAAGTGGCCATTTTGAATCGTTAAAGAAAAATGCCGACTACTTGGCCACTAGTTATAACGGTCTTTAGAGCGGGCAATCTGCACAACGTGGATTTTAAGACAGCAAGGGACAGTTTTCAGTGATGGGAAACCACGTTGCCCAGAGGTTAAAGAAAAAAAGTACCACCTTTGTCGACTATTTTGACAGGAAAGGAAGTCGAGCTCCGCCGGTGAGACCGTTTGTCGGAAAACAGAAAAATACTAGACTTCTTGCAAAGTAATCGTTTCGCTAGCGTCTAAGATGAAACGCTGACAATGGAACACAAATGATTGTTATTTTTTACATATAGACCAAATATTTTTATTTATTGTTCCCTCTTTTTTCATTTAATTCATTTATTTCATAACACTGACCTCTGCCACTTGATACACAGACAAGTTTTCAACCCCAAATGATATATATACCCGTATATTTACACATAAATATATTTAGTCTGTTGCCAATTATCAAATGCGTTTTGGTACTTATTTATGTTTAATATATTTTATTTAGTGTTTATTAAATTTGCATTCTTGCTGTATGATTTTACATAATACGCTTTCTTGACGCTTAAATAAAATACTAAAATTTATTTACGGCAATCATACTAACTTCCGATTGCCGTATTTGGCTTGCGTCCGTGCACCGGCGGTGTGCGCCTCCGCCCTTAGTCAGTTTTATTGCCCATAGAGGGCGCTAGGCTTAAACGCTTGCGCCCTCTTAATGAAATTTAATAAGTAGGTATTTAAAATTTAAAAAAAAATTTTGGATTACTTTTGGAGTTTTCTGAAAGACATAATTCCAAGCACTAAGCAGTGGCTTTTTAATATTTAATGTATTTTTCCATATGTGAAATGCCCCTTAGTATGATTTAAAACTACTTTGTATTGTCAGTTTCAATATTGGCACGAGAAAAATTTAGTAGATATACCAAAAGGTCGTTCGTACGTGCCCAGAAAAAATTATTATTTATTATCATTCTCTGGTAGTTAAATCTACGGAAAAATATGATTGTGACTCCCCAAACAAGGTTTTAAATTTAAGAGAATGTTGATCTTTAAACTATTAAACTAATTTAATAATGATGAAAGATCGCATCTTTGCGATTTTAGGGACTGTTTCCTGAGTTTTCCTGGCATTTCATTTATGTGGTATACATTTAGACCTGCCCGAATCAGATTTCAACTGGCTTGGGTACTTTTCTGCCAAGAAAAATCCCCTTGGACTCTTATCGGCAACGCTTTTAAGCTGCGAGCTCGACTATAAAAGCCGACGCCTTTCGAATAGCAGTCATCAGTCGTCCAAAACCCACTCAACAGCACCAGCTTCTTTATCCTTCTGCAAACCGGAATAAAATCCAGAAATCACCATGAATTTCTACAAGATCTTCGTTTTCATCGCACTCATTCTGGCTATCAGCTTGGGACAATCTGACGCAGGCTGGCTGAAAAAAATTGGAAAGAAAATCGTACGTTCCTTAATCCATGGTATCATTGTTTTGAAAATAGCACTAATTTAACACTTATTTTAATAGGAACGCGTTGGTCAGCACACTAGGGATGCCACAATCCAGGGTCTGGGAATCGCCCAACAGGCAGCCAATGTTGCAGCAACTGCTCGCGGTTGAAGACGATAATAACCTATTGATATATATTTAAGTCTTATTTATTGATTAATCCTAATAAAGAAAACTTTATGAAAATGCTACCTTGTATTATTTAAACAAAAAATGAATGAAATACAATCAATGGCAAACACAACGTTTAACGGTGATAATTTTTTTTTTTTTAAGTACATATAGATAGAAAGATGATGATAGATTGAAAAGTACTGACCCTTGTTTAATCCAAAATACTTCTGACAACGCACAAGCCATCAAAAATATTTTTGGACGAACGAGTTCTAAATATCTTATCAACCTTATCGGCATCACTTTAGGCTTGCCTGCTAAACAAATACAAATTTAAGGCATATGAATTAAGTTGGTTTCTTTCCTTTCGCGAAAAATTGTATTCCTCATGTTTATTTTTCGTATCTGTAGCCAATAAACCATATCTTTGGGACCTGTAAGAGGTCATGCCCTAATCGAAAAATAATACATACTTACAATGAGCTTTGCCCTCCCCAAATTTGTCGATAATTTTGTCGCAATCTTAGGGTGTTTACAAAATTTTCGCGAGATTTCCGTAAATTGTATTGCGTAAATGATTAATAAGAATCCAACTGTGATTCCCCTACACAGAAGAATCCACTCTTGATGCCGACTTACAGATTGCAGAAGTAGGAGCTTATCCTTCTACATACCAATAATTTCTATAGCTTTCTTCATTCCAATTTATCATGCAGCCCTGTCAAAGGTTGAGTGAATCACAAATTTAGTGAACTACCGAGACCAAAACCCCCAAAATCTGATTTCGATTTCAGGCAGAAATGGTCAGAGTGATTTTTATTGAATAGGGTTCCTCTCTGGTACTTTTTCCCGCAATAAAAATCCCCATTGAGACCTTATCAGGCAACGGCTTTACAACTGGCAGTTCGCCTATAAAAGCTCTCGTGTCTCCTAGTTCAATCATCAGTCACTCAGTTTTCACTGAATCCGCAACATCGAAGCCTGAGCTACTTTTGCCACATCCAAAACCAACACATCTCACCATGAACTTTTATAAGATCTTCGTCTTTGTCGCTCTTATTCTGGCCATCAGCCTGGGACAATCTGACGCAGGATGGCTGAAGAAAACTAGGGATGCCACAATCCAGGGTCTGGGAATTGCCCAACAGGCAGCCAATGTTGCAGCAACTGCTCGCGGTTGAAGACCATAATAACTCATTGAAATATATTTAAGTCTTATTTATTGATTAATCATAATAAAGAAAACTTTATGAAAATGCTACCTTATATTATTTAAAAATAAATTAAATAAAACCCATTCAATTCCAAACACTATAATTAACGGTGATAATTTTATCCTTTGAAAAGAATAGATTGAAAAGTACTGACCAAAATACTTCTGACAGCATCAAATATATTTTTGGGCGAACGAGTACTAAATGTCTTATCAACCTTATCGGCATCACTTTAAGCTTGTGTGCTAAACAAATACAAATATTGAGGCATATGAAATAATATAGCTTCTGAGCCACCTTACTGTGAAAAATTGTAGTTCTCGTGTATATTTTTTGGGTCGGAAGCCAATAAACCATATAATTTGGACCTGTAAGAGGTTATGCCATAATCGAAAAATATATACTTACAATGAGCTTTGGCCGCTTCAATTTTTTTATAACTTTGTCACAATCCAATGGTGGTTACAAAATTTTCGAGATTTTTATGAATCTAACTGCGATTTCCCTGCACAGAGGAATGCACCCTTGATGCCGACTTACAGATCGCTCAACTAGGAGCTTATCTTTCTAGATATCAATAATTTCTATAGCTTTCTTCATTCCAATTTATCAAAGGTTGAGTGAATCACAAATTGAGTAAACCACCGAGACCAAAACCCCCAAAATCTGATTTCGATTTCAGGCTGAAATGGTCAGAGTGATTTTGATTGGATAGGATTCCTCTTAGGTACTTTTTCCCGCAATAAAAATCCCCGTTGAGGCCTTATCAGGTAATGGCTTTACAACTGGCAGTTCGCCTATAAAAGCTCTCGTGTCTCCTAGTTCAATCATCAGTCACTCAGTTTTCACTGAACCCGCAACATCGAAGCCTGAGCTACTTTTGCCACATCCAAAACCAACACATCTCACCATGAACTTTTATAAGATCTTCGTCTTTGTCGCTCTTATTCTGGCCATCAGCCTGGGACAATCGGAGGCTGGCTGGCTAAAGAAAATTGGAAAGAAAATCGTAGGTTCCTTAACCCATGGTATCATTGTTTTGAATATAACACTAATTTTTCACTTATTTTAACAGGAACGCGTTGGTCAGCACACTAGGGATGCCACAATCCAGGGTCTGGGAATTGCCCAACAGGCAGCCAATGTTGCAGCAACTGCTCGCGGATGAAGACGATAATAACCTATTGATATATATTTAAGTCTTATTTATTGATTAATCATAATAAAGAAAACTTTATGAAAATGCTACCTTATATTATTTAAAAATAAATTAAATAAAGCACATTCAATTCCAAACACAATGATTAACGGTGATAATTTTTTCTTTTTTTTTCCCGATTAGTAAGAATCTAACTGCGATTCCCCTGCGCAGAGGGATGCACTCTTGATGCCGACATACAGATCGCTGAAGTAGGAGCTTAATCGGACTAGATAGCAATAATTCATTCCAATTTATCATGCAGCCCTGCGAAAGATTGTGTATCACAAATTTAGTGAACTACCGAGACCAAAACCCCGAAAATCTGATTTCGATTTCAGGCAGAAATGCTCAGAGTGATTGTGATTGGATAGGATTCCTCTCAAATACTTTTTGCGACAATAAAAATCACCGTGGAGACCTTATCAGGCAACGGCTTTACAACTGGCAGTTCGCCTATAAAAACTCTCGTGTCTTCTAGTTCAATCATCAGTCACTCAGTTTTCACTGAAACCGCAACATCGAAGCCTTAGCTACTTTTGCCACATCCAAAACCAACACATCTCACCATGAACTTTTATAAGATCTTGGTCTTTGTCGTTCTTATTCTGGCCATCAGCCTAGGACAATCTGACGCAGGATGGCTGAAGAAAATTGGAAAGAAAATCGTATGTTCCTTAACCCGTGGTATTATTGTTTTGAAAATAACACTAATTTAACACTTATCTTATCAGGAACGCGTTGGTCAGCACACTAGGGATGCCACAATCCAGGGTCTGGGAATTGCCCAACAGGCAGCCAATGTTGCAGCAACTGCTCGCGGTTGAAGACGATAATAACTTATTGAAATATATTTAAGTCTTATTTATTGATTAATCATAATAAAGAAAACTTTATGAAAATGCTACCTTATATTATTTAAAAATAAATTAAATAAAGCACATTCAATTCCAAACACAATGATTAACGGTGATAATTTTGTCTTTTAAAAATAATTTATTTAAAGGTACTGTCCCTTGTTTAATCCAAAATACTTCTGACAACACGCAAGCCATCAATAATATTTTTGGACGACCGAGTACTAAATGTCTTATCAATCTTATCGGCATCACTTAAAGCTTGCGTGCTAAACAAATACAAATTTCAAGGCATATAAATAATTTGGCTTCAAAGCCACCTTACGGCGAAAAATTGTATTGTGTTTGTAAGAGGTTATGCCCTAATCGAAAAATATATAGTATTTTTACAATGAGCTTTGGCCGCTTCAATTTTTTTAATAAAATTTTCCCGATTAGTATCATAAGAATCTAACTGCGATTCCCCTGCGCAGAGGGATGCACTCTTGATGCCGACATACAGATCGCTGAAGTAGGAGCTTAATCGGACTAGATAGCAATAATTTCTATGTGTTTTTTCATTCCAATTTATCATGCAGCCCTGCCAAAAATTGTGTGAACCACAAATTTAGTGAACTACCGAGACCAAAACCCCTAAAATCGGATTTCGATTTCAGGCAAAAAAAGCTCGGAGTGATTTTGATTGGATAGGGTTCCTCTCAGGTACTTTTTGCGGCAATAAAAATCACCGTGGAGACCTTATCAGGCAACGGCTTTACAACTGGCAGTTCGCCTATAAAAGCTCTCGTGTCTCCTAGTTCAATCATCAGTCACTCAGTTTTCACTGAAACCGCAACATCGAAGCCTGAGCTACTTTTGCCATATCCAAAACCAACACATCTCACCATGAACTTTTACAATATCTTCGTCTTTGTCGCCCTTATTCTGGCCATCAGCCTGGGACAATCGGAGGCTGGCTGGCTAAAGAAAATTGGAAAGAAAGTCGTAAGTTTTTCATTGACCAATACTTTGATTCGAAGCTAACTCCGGAACCCCTTTAAAGGAGCGCGTTGGTCAGCACACTCGGGACGCCACAATCCAGGGTCTGGGAGTCGCTCAACAGGCCGCCAATGTGGCAGCAACTGCTAAAGGTTGATAAAGAATCCCTTATAGTTATAAACTACGATGTCATATTTATTCAATTCATTTAAGTAAATAAAAAATAACAACAGCCAAAACCTTATCTTTATTACATTTTAAAGCATGAAAGACCGTGAAAAATCACACTAATGTATTGCAAAAGGCTTACCAACTTAATTTATATCTGTTAAATATTAAGTTTACCAGTAATAATATTGTTGTTCCAGGGAATGATTTAAAAATAAAATAAAAAATATATTTTCACAGTATACATATTTTTATTACGCACCTTAGACTAAGGCCTCTTCTCAAAATGTTTTGATTCGTATCTGTAGGTCCTTTTTATCTAACAGTTGCTTGGTGACAACATAAAAAAAATTCTGAATTGTCTTTTTTGGCATCAAAATCAGCACCAACTAAAAAGTTGTTTTCAATTTTGTTGCTCAATTGCTGCTTGCTTTTTTGTTGTTATTCAGATGCTAAGACTTGAATAAACCTAAATTTGGCTTTAATCTTAGTAAGTCTTATCAGACAAAATAGAAAATCAAATGCTAGGAAAATCCTAGATTTTTGTTTGTGGTTTATGGAGCAAAGTTTTATTTGTTCAAGGTAAGTTATGATTTAGGGTTTATCAGTGATTTCCAGGTAAAAACAAAACACACATTCTTTGATTGTTCACAAATATATTGTTTGCTTGGCATTTGTAACGTAATAAAATAAAATTTGTTACTTAGAAAATAAAATAAATAAGATTTTCCGGCAGTCTATGAATGTGGAATCCTCCCCGATCTTCAACCTCGAGCCGTGGCTGCCACATTGGCGGCTTGTTGGGCGATTCCGATAACTTGGATTGTGGCATCCCGAGTGTGCTGTCCTATGCGTTCCTGTAAGAATACCTTTATGAATTTGTCCACTCCAAGCTCTAAGGGGTTTCTTACGATTTTCTTCCCCAGCTTTCTAAGCCAGCCGGCTTCTGATCCCAAGCTGATTGCCAGGATGAGAACGACAAAGACAAAGATCTTGTTGAAGTTCATGTTGAGTTTCCTGGATTGCTGTCGAATTGGAAGAAAGCTGATGCTGTTGCAGTAAGAACTGGTAGACTGATGACTTCACATTAAAGAGATTGAGCTTATATAGCAAAACCATCATCCAACGGATGCTGTTACTGCAGAGTCGGGGATTTTTTACGACACAAAAGATCCCAAGATGGATTCAGATCGGAGCTGACATATACATATATATACTTCTGAGGAGGTCTTGCAGAAAATGATAAGATGACTTTCTAGAGGAGTCTAACTGAGTTGCTTTAGACAAGCTGATTAACTTTTAATAATATAGAAATTGATAATGAGATAAGAATTAATATAATAAATAGAAATTTAGAAATTAGGATTCGTTTTAAGCTTGTCAATTTCCCATTTATCAAAAAATTGTGTAGGTCAGCATTAATGAATATCCGAATGCCCAGCCTCTAATACTCATTACTTTCATGCTTTCCTTTCTCCGGCAAAATCCCCCTGGTCGCCTCACTTAATAATGTCCGCTTATCAGTGGCTCAGTTTACACTTATCAGCTCAGTATAGACTTATCAGCTGGGTCAATAACTTGCGCAATTTTCTAAAGTAGAAATTCATAACTTTGTTTCCCCAAATTCGGCCACAAAACTAAATATAAAGCAAAGTTCCTTTCAACTCTAAACAGAACAGAAAAAAAAATTAGCTATTTCCTGGTCATAGGAAATCCCCTTAACCCAAAATGTTTTTTGTGAGCATTACCACAAGACACATAAATATTTCCTTTTTTCCCCACAAAACATAAAAAATTTATTTAATTGTGGTAGCAAACATTTTGGGTGAAAACAAAAAGTTTGGGAGTGAAAAAGTACGGGAAATAACGTCAAACATTCGAGGCAGAAAGCTAAATGGATTACTCAGCAAACACGTTTCATTGGCTTCCCCATTCAAAAAAAAAACTAAACAATAACAGGCGATTACTCAATGGGTTGAACGATCGTAGAATTGTGTCGGAACGATCCACTGACACATAAGCAATACCTCAAACTAGAATTAATTAAAGCCGTAGAAGAATGATATTCAACAAATGTTTCCTACTATACTACAACGAATCACTTTAGAAAGAATGTCTTTTCGATGTGAAGACCCATTCTTCCTATCCTACTCTTGATTATCTGATATTTAAATGGTAGATTACCAATTAAACTGCAATAAAATATCCCCCGAGTAAACACATTCAGTAGTGGGTAACAGAAACGTTTACTACGAATGAGTTTTATGAATGGAATTGCACGCGGGTGATTTTTGCTCGCCCAAAAAGCACAGAGAACTTAAAGCCAAGTGGGAACCCATATGTAGATCGGATTACTTCTTCCGATTCGTTGTTGCGATTCAAGTGATCAATCTGAGGGGGCACACCTACAGCTGAGCAGATTATTCCTTTTTTCTGGCTTCATTGTCGTTGTTCTTTATCAGCACCTCCCGTTGATCAATTCATGTTCCGCTGTCTTTCTCTATGTGAATCCCAGCGAAAAAGTTCCCCTGGCGGCATCTGCTGATTATTTCGCTATCAAAGAGGCAAGGCCAAGATTCCCAAACATTGACACAGCCCTTGTCTCCAGGTGGACTGATAATCTTGGCGACTGGAGTGGGAATTTAGATTCCGGGGATGCCAGCTAAAGATCTCTCTGAGTCATAATACCCCGAATAATAGTTTTTAAAATTAAAGGGTTTCAGCAAGTGACTTAGTTAGCTACATTTTCCACATAATACTCAGCTAAGAACTACTGGAGACCCAACTCCTACACCCTTTTACCTCATCTTAATATCATTTAAGGCACTTGTCATCCGAGTACCTCCCTCCAGTTTGAGAAGTTGAGCCATCCTTCGGAACCAGTTGCGGCATTTACTGACTTACTTACGCTCCTGTGGGTTCTCCAAACGGGATGAGGATGCGAGTGAGGACGAGTCCTGGCGGTTATGACACAGGACTCGCTCCCTCCTTGGCGTCCCCGTCTGCCACTTGTAGCTGTCACTCAGCGGTTAATTCGAGCGATTTTATTTACATTTCGCAGTGGCTACGGAACCGGAAAGGAGCAACAGCGAGCTGCAAAGGAAGCCGAGTCAAGGCCCAAGATGGATAAAGCGTTTTTACTTGTTAAGGAAATTAGTGGCGTATCCTGACAAGGCGCCCATCATCCTCGGAGCTTCTTATCCTAGCTGCTCTATTCCTAGTCACCTCTTCACCCCAACACATATACTATATCCATATAACCCCCGCCCCGGATTGTGTGAGTCTGTGCCTCCCTTGCTGATTTAATTCATTTGTTGTCTTTGCTGCCAGTCTATTGTCTGCCCCTCGTTGTTGGTTTTTTATGGTTGAAATTAAAGTTACATTCTCGTGGTGGTTGGTATTATGTGCCGATGTGAGCTAAAGCCCAAATCCACGGCCATCCCCCTCTTAAAATCAAGTACAGTTGCGTGAGTGTGTTTGTGTGGTATTAATCTAGCGTTTCTATTTCTAAAATAATATTTTGTAAGCTACCTCAAAAATATATTCAACACAAATAAAGTGTAAATTTTTATTAAGATTATTTTTATATAGCTCTATTTTTTATTAGCAGCTGGACAAATATGTTAACGAAGACAGTCTCTCTGAGAAAGAAGGGGATCCACTGCAGTCTTTCTCTTTTCGCAGCGAATAGGAATCCCCGTCGTCGCCTTATCAGCATCGCAGTCTTCGCTATAAAAGCAAACTATGCCACCAGTCCGGTCATCAGTACCTCAGCTCTCACAGCAACAGCAAGTCAACAGCTTATTCGCTTTCTCAAGACAAACAAACAATCCCATAATCTCAAAATGAACTTCTACAAGATCTTCGTCTTCGTCGCCCTCATCCTGGCCATCAGCGTGGGACAATCCGAAGCTGGTTGGCTCAAGAAACTAGGCAAAAGAATCGTAAGTTAACTTGCCATAATTAATAAAGTTATTTCTAACTAACTCCTTCATTTATCTGAACAGGAGCGCGTTGGGCAGCACACTCGAGATGCCACCATCCAAACCATTGGCATTGCGCAGCAAGCCGCCAATGTGGCAGCCACCGCCCGAGGATAAGATCACGGTGTCCATCAAAGGACTCTCCCAGGATAACCTGCTTAATTATAAACACTTATTTATTTGCAATCACATAGAAATAAACTAGCGTACATCCCCTAATTTGCATGTGCATATGTGTCTTCGTTCATGGGTTTTTTATGAGCACCGCGAGGTTGATTACATTTTCCCAGGGTGGCTGGGCCTGCCCTGTTTTCCCACAGTTTTCCCGGAGATTGCCGGGATCAGGGCACAAGTGTAAGGGCTCCCTTGGGCCATCGTCCTTGTGCCCCGGGTCCACCTCTTGTTGGTGGTCATTTCGGGCACAAAACGCGCCTAAATGTCAAAACACTTGTGAACCTTTTCTGGGGCGGAGTTGTGGGTTCAAGTTGAAATGGGTGAGAGTTGCCCTTGGCCCATGTGTGTTGTGCCTTGTATTTTGTGTGTTCGGCTGGTGATTTGCTTTGATTTACTTACATGAGCGCAGGTCGCGCCACGTGACCGCAAAGTTTACATTAAATTATCGGAGCTCCTTGTGAAAATGATTACACAAGTTTCGCGAAAGGAAAACATTGGCAGTGGGGGTAATGAAATTGAAGTATTCTCTCTGGGATCTCATACATTTTTGGTAGGCATTAATATAAAATTAATGAGTAAGCCACCTCATTTGAATGTGTTTCTTTACTGAAACTTTCTGAAATATATTTTCTTCTATAAATCGATTCGTCGAACAAAAACGCGAATTTAAAACCGCATCCTAATCAATTTTGAAGGCACTTCCGATGTCGCGGGGAGCCGCGGCCTAATTACACGGCATCTCCATCGGATTAGACCAACTCGCCTGGGAAATCGACAGCTTGGGATGTCAAGCCCGACGCCTCGGGCTCAAAAGCGCTAAAAGCCAGAGCACATGGTCTGAATTATTGACAGATTAGACCAGGATTGTCTGCCAGTCAATCATTATCGTTCCCGGCGCCTCAGAGTTCCGACTTCAAATGACGAGGACGATGACGATGGAGCCGCGGCAGCTGCCAAATGATTTGAATAACAATAAAGATCAGCCTTTGTCTGCCGGCTGTATTTTGTAATTTATGCATTGATTTCCGACACCCCCTCGCAGTAATAATCATTTCGAAATTACATAAAAAGGAGACTCGCTCATCGCGGTGTTATTTCCTTTTTTAGCCGCCCGTTGCGCAGATTGTAAAATTTGAAAATTTCATAAAGCAAATCCCGGAAAATCATGCGTAAGCCCCTCGAACAGCACTCGAGAATCTGTTGCCAAAAGTCTAATATGCGTTGCAGGGGAATAAGTATGTGGTCCCCCGCTGGGTTTCCCCTTGAAAACCCCCTCCGGCACCAGAAACCCTCCAGAAATCGTTTACAAGCCATTGAGAAGCTGCCGATGTATCAATAATATTTGGCCACCGAGTTCAGAGGTGGTGAAAGTTGTTTTAAAATATATTGCACACAGATGGGCGAAGCGGGGTGTCCCGAGTACTCAGCCAAGAATAATGTTTGACTTAATTTCTTTTATGGCTCAATATAGCCATTACTCGCACTTTTGGCGTGCAATCAGTAAATTTAAATTCAATTCGCCTTTTAAAGCGTTAACTGTGTGGCCATCCGAATGTCAAAAGCAGTCAAAAGTGGGAGGGATATAGCCACCCAGTTTTCCAAGTTTACTGCGGTTTCACTTTCTTGCCAGCAATTTCATTTGAGACGTCTGTGCGACAATTTATCATATTTAAAATGCCATAATCTGTGTGAGGTATTATTCTATATTCTTGCCAGACGGCTAACGATGTCTTTTTCCGAGTATACACTCAGCTTTTAAGTCCTTTTAGTAGTTCGGAATTTGAGAGATTTAAGTTTTGAAGGTAAGTAGTAAAAATCTAAGTAGTAATATTCCTTCAATTCACAGTTCTGCCAGACTTTATGTCGCTGTGATTCGATTTCCACCGCCCTTGGCGGCATTCTAAACGCGTTATAAATCACAAAGATACACAAGAACATATATTTGCACACATGACTTCGCTCGTGAACTCATATTGGGTGCTTTTATTTGGTTTTGTCGAGCATTTCGAAATAAGAGCAGCACTCGTTGTGCGACAACAATGCGAAACAATTCAATTTATGAAATATTTTCCCCGAACCCTTGCTCTTCATTCCCAATCTTTGTCTATGGCGCAAATAAATGTGCGAGTGAGTATCTGAGTATCTGAGTGTGCATGGTAAATGTCGAATCGGGAATTACATCTCATACGCATTTTGGATTCCCTGCCACGGCCAAGATTTATTGCCGGCTTGACGATTAACAAAGGTGGACCCGAGTTGTGACCGCCCTCCAGTGACATCTCACCCCTTTCGAGCCAACAATTTAATAAACAGACTAACAACAATGGCTTTGCTTTTGGGTGCCTTTCCAGGACAAACGAAATGAAATTGTTTGGCATACAGGCATTTTTTATTGTGTGTGTCCTGAATCCAGCATAATGCCCATCCATTGAACCGAGGTCCTGTCGGCGCATAACTTTCCCGGGCAATAAAACCAATTCAATTGTTGTCAGCTTCCAGGCGAGTGCCTCCCAATGAGATCCTTTAGATCAGATCGCGTGAGCAAGATAGGACACAGACATTCCATTCGCGGGTATAAATATGAATATGGGGAGGTGTTGACTCCAGAGTGAGATGAGTCAGCACTGGGTGACCTCATCGGTCACTATTTTTTATTATAAACGCCAATGATTGGCGAAAAAGCACTATAACTTTGTCAATACATATCCGAGGTTTGTAATCGCATCCATGATACAGCTGCATTCAAAACATTTAATTTTTTGATGGTCGAAATTTTGACCCCTGTTCATGTCAGATTTTTCCCAGTTTCCGATAGTTTTTATAGAACTGCCCCTAAACTGGACCTCCAGAAACTATAACTTTGTCAATTCTTATCCCATTCCAAAGTGTTATACCTCTTAATGTTTGTAATCGTATCCATGCATTCAACATTTTTCATTTTCCGATGGTCGAAATTTTGACTCCTGTTCTCAATTTTGATCAGACTTTAAAGTGGTTTAACTCTATAAGTTTGCCATTTAACTAAGCAAATGGCAAAGGAATGGGCTTTAGGCACATTTGAAATTGACTAACCACATTGTAATGCGTAAACTTCCTTTCATTCCGTTGCTCATTTTTCATTAATTAATTCTTGCAGAGATAAGAGAACAATCCAATTAAAACTGGCACCGCACGCAGAACTTTTGACTTTCAATTAATAACAATTTGACGCCTCAGCAGCTCCTCCCCCTGAATAAGGCACCAGGACCTCCCCGTCCATATCCTGGCATTATTACGAAGATAAAAGAGGGTGCTGAGCCGAAAAAGAGAGAGACATTTCCGAGTGACAGGCACACGTCAGATCCTTTCGAGGCGTAAATTAATCTCGATCCCGGCAGCGAGTGGCGAAAAAATTGTTAATGAGGCGCATGTGTGTGAGTGGGAAAAATTCTTAATCAGGGCAAAAAATGGGACCCAAGAAAAGGCGGAAAATGCGAGCCAGACGCAACAGGGTGAGCGACCCTCATTAACGGGAAATTAGTTTTGCTCTGATTTCTGTCATCTCGGAATCTGGGTCCTTCGTCGCTCGGCGAACAAAGCACCAAAGGACCAAAGGACAGTTCCCTTCTTCCAGGGGTGATTAAACGCGGAAATGAGGCAAACATCAAGTTCTCCTGGTCGCTGACACTTTGCGATTAGCGCAAATCAAAGAAGAGATTCCGATTCCTAGGTGTCGCAATTGCACCAAATTAGTCGAACTGGAGGGGAGTGGACTGACATCCAGGACAACAATGACCTGAGGATTAAGTTCTGGACGCATTTCATTTGAATTAATTTGCGGCACTCAAGTGCCACACATAAATCCTCTTCCCTCTCCAGAGTATTATGTAAATGTGAGCTTTTGTCCTGTCCTGGTACGGTTTTTTTGGACCACTGCTGGGGTACGATTACACCGAAATCTGCACTTAACGAAACCAGTTGTAATTTTACTTCAAAGGTTCACTAATTACAATACTTCTATAGAAATCCAGATATAGTTCATTTAATAAGGCCTTTTAAAATATGAATATTTGCCTAACAATTTAGTTTTTTTTACTTTTTTAACAAGCCCAAATATTTTTTTGGAGTGTCTTGAAGAAAGAGTGCGTTGTGCGGCCACCTTTTGAGTGCACTTAATTATGCGTGAATCTTGCACAGAAACTTACTGAATTTTCCTAACGTTTCTGCCCCATTTTACACCAAATTTGGCGCAATTATCGCCGCTCTTTGTACTCCTGTCAGTGGCAGGTACAGTCTGACCTCTGACCTCGGACTCCAGTACAGTTGTGCTCGCCACCACGGACCCCAATTACACTGCGGCTCGCTCTCTATATAGAATTTCATTCGCATTTTTCAATTACCAATCTAGAGCTCAGTTTTCCTTGCCATCCTCTCCACTTGGCATTGTTTGTCCTGGCCGTTGTTTGGTTTATTGATATGTTTTCGCTGCGGTCCTCTGGGGAAAATGGCCTGCCAGGACTCGTTTCGAGTTTTTCATCTCTTCGACGGCTGAGCATCCCGAACTTCCCCAATAATTTGTTTAATGGCAGCGTAAAAAATTAGACCATATTGAATGTCAATTGTTTGATTTTTTGATTAAGGTTCGGTTTCCCATCGTTGCTGGTTGATTGTTTGCTCTCAGCATTGATTAAATATTGAAAGAGTAAAGTAGCGTAACTTGAGGCTCTCCTGAGCCGGAGTTATCCCTCAAAAAACAGGATGTAAGTGGAGAGATTTCAACTGGGCCTTCCGATATTTTTTAATAATAATCCTGGATAGGTGGGCCAGCTGTGGCGGCTTTGCATCAGCCAGTGGCATCATTAATCAAAACTCTTTTTTACGGCCCAAAGGACATTAGCATAACGAGGCAGAAGAGGAAAAATAGGGGAAAAGAAAGCAAAGTCGTGTCAATTTACGCGCCAGCGCCAAAAAAAGGGAAAACCTCTGTAAAGCCAAAGGAAAGCCAAAGAAAACACTTTGCACAGGGTTTAAAAATCGCAAACGGATATGGAAAGTCCCCCGGTTTT